CCTGGTTGTCGGGAATCTTTCTTAAGGTGTCAAATTGGTGTTTTGTTTGATTGCCGAGATGAAAAGGAAGTAAACCATAAAAGAATGAGCTGCCTGTGGCATTATGTAGGGCCACCAAATTCGAACTTGCGTTCTTTGCCGAAACCAGGCATTACCTTCCTCCACTAGGCCATATACACTTCAGGCGCTGCTCATATCCTCTTCTGCAAATCAATTGTCTATGAATGCTTCGAGCGATTCTCTTCAGTGATTCAGGCCCCAAACCAGAATACCTGAATGCAACATATGCTCACCTGACACCCGCCCACCTGCAGTCATTGTGAGCCAGTCTAAGCCCAGATTTCCTACAGCAAATTGCCTCCTCAGTGCTCGTATTTTAATCATTGATTCTTTTTCCACTAATATGGTACATATATCTATTCTATGTCTCGATCGATGGGTAAATATGCCTTCTGGACGTGCTCTTCATTTGTTACCTCTGCCGTGAATCTGGATGCGACATCGATGACTCGGTCAGGTTGCACCGGCGGGATGCAAAGGTATGGATGATATTCCAGTTGATTTATAATATTATATACCCAAATATCTGAAACCAACTTCACCCCTCTGTCCTCCTTCAGGACCAGGTTGAGCCTGAGACCTAGTGACCACCACCGTATGACACAACCAATCTTGGAACGAAAACTGAACAATACACAAAAACATACCCTGAAATAAGTTGAAAAGTCTCATTAGATGTGTAGTGATAAGTCGGATTCCAGATATTTGTGAATGAACAGCCGTCCGGATATACACTCTGGAGCGCTTGATGAAGCTGTCGACGAGCGAGCTTCACGTCCGAGACCGCGAAGTACAAGATGTACACGCTATTGTGTAATATAATGCCAAATAAAGTGATAGAAACTCTGAGAGTAGCAGAAGAAGGGTGGATTGTGAGAATAGAGAAATTCTCCCTCAAGCTACCTCAACATCAAGGCAATGTCACCGCCTCACTGTGACATTCAATTTCTGGCACAGGATTGAGTTGTGGATCCATCGCGGGTAACAGTGGAAACCTGCAGGGATCCCCACCATCGGCGGGGCGTGGGTGAGGTGAAGTCAAAGCCGTTTTTTTTTGCCGGGCGGTAACGTTTGGCAGAACTTTTTACGCTCCAAACTTTTTGGACGAGATCCTGGCAGCGATCACAGAGTATGCGCTCTGCGACATAAGAACGCCGTACGAAAAAAAGAAAATATCTTCAATTTCCACGATAATTTGATGTTCTACTTTCTCAACGAACTAAAGTGCAATTGAACGGAAACACCCTACATAATGACCAAGACGGCGAGCGCAAAGCGCAAGCGCGCCGAGAGAGAGGCCCTCAAGGCCGCCGAGTCCAACAAGCGCGCAAAGTCCTCACACGACGCCTCGGCCGATGGTAGCAATTCCCCGGACTCGAACGATGTCGCCGACGCCGCCACAGGCTCCAATGGCACTAGACTGCCCAAGATTCTGCTGGAGAAGAAGCTTTTTGTCGAGAACTCGACCGGCAAGGACCGCGTTCGCGAAGCGAAGCTGTACGACCTCCTCAGCAGCGAGAACGAGACGGACCGCCTCGAGGCCGCTGGCGCCATCATTTCTAGCCTTCTCGACGACGAGGGCGTAACGGAGGCGTGTCTCACCAGACATCTCGATTGGCGACTATTCCGTGGTCTTGCCAGCGGCAGAGCGGCGTCGAGGTTGGGCTACAGCGTCGTCTTGACCGAGATTCTCAGCCAGCTTCTCGGCCCGCCCAGGAAATTGTGCCGCGACAAGTACCCTGGTCTGACGTTCGATAAGGTGCTAGAGATGTTGATGGAGAGAACGCGCTTCGGAGGAAACATCTCGGGACAGGAGGAGCGAGACCTGTACTTTGGACAGCTGTTCGGGCTCGAGTGCTTCGTGCGAGCGAGGATCCTGTTTCTCGAAGAGGAGGGCCCCGATAGGTGGAACGAGATTCTCAGACTGCTCGTCAAGCTGGGCGGCAAGAAGATTTGGCTGCGGCCGCAGTGCGGATGGGTCGTTGCGCAGGCCTTGGCGCAGCTGGACCGTCCCCGCGTTGAGATGGTGCTGCAGCAGCTGGTCGAGCTCGGCTGGGCCAAGACCCCCGAGGGTGTCGGTATCTGGCTTGTCGCATTTGAACAGTGCCCTGAGTTAAATACCGGCGACAAGGCGAAGCACCACCACCCCCTTTCTTCGAGAAACCTGGGCGAATTGGCGGGTATCCTGAAGGAGAGCGGGCAGGATGACGTGGAGAAGCAGCAGAAGCAGCAGCAGCAACAACAACAGCAATCGAGGAGGGGCAACTATGTCAAGAACAAGCAGGCCAACTGGACGCCTCAATTGCACTTCGTATGGGACCTGATTGTGCGGCACTTCCTGCGCAAGGGTCCTGCAGGCGTCGATGAGTTTAGATCGTTCTGGAAGCGAGTTGTTGATGGTGAGTATTGAAAGCTTGCGGCTTTTCCACACACCAAGCTAATCGAGTCATTGTAGACAACTTCTTCGCCAAGACCGCCACCGAGGGACAAAAGTTCAGGGGCTTCCTTGTCTTCCAGAAGATGCTTCAGAGCTACGCCGATATCGACGACCTCCTCGACGTCCTGTTCAGCAGGAACCTGATGACATGCCTCATCAACCAGGCATCACAGGAGGATCGCTTCCTTCACCGGGCAGCTTTGAAGACATTGAAGGTCGTCGAGGAGACTTCTGCGGCGCATCCTGAGGCCACTGGCATCATTCTCGACAACCTGATTAACAACAACGGACTGTATCGATTCGATGTCATGACCAAGAGCAAGACGGTGGACAAGATTCTTCAGCATGTGAAGGCCGATACTGGCGAGGATGTCATTCAGGTTCTTAGCGGGCCTGTCATGAAGACTTCTACGACATCGTGCGTCGAGTTCCCTTTCTTGCAGAATGACTTGTGCTTGAGCTGACTATCACACAGAAAGGACATCAACTCGGTCAAGCTCGACCTCCGCGTTTACATCGAATACATCTTCCGCCTGACCACCTCGGCACCGGAACCTGCGCTTCAGGAGCTGACATCTCTCGCCTATGCCAAGCCCATATGGATCCCGGAGAACGCAAACTCGTTAGTAACGGAGCTGAGCAGAAGCCGACTTCAATCGGCCTTTGCCAAGCTCTCGCGCAAAGCCGAGGACGCCAACTACCTGTGCACGGCTGTGCAGTCGATCAACCCAGACTACATTCGTATGGAGGGAGAGATGAAGAAGGAGGTTCACGCAGCACGGAAGCGGTTGGAGAAGCTCATGAAGAAGAGTGCCTCCGTTAGCGAGAGCTCGGCGGACGAAATCAAAATTTCACAGGGCTTGGCGCTGCTTCACGCCATTGCCATCTTCCAGCTCTACAACGAGGAGCCGGATGCGTTCCAGCTTCTGAGCGATCTCAAGGAGTACCAGACTCGCTTGCAGACGGACGAAGAGGGTGCTGCTGAGTTCTTGGTCGAGATCTTGCTTTCGCTCGTCTCCCAGCAGTCGTCCCTACTGCGTGAGATCTCCCAGCGTGTATTTGGCTACTTTACTAGCAGAGTTTCTCCCAAGGCGCTGGAGCTGTTGCTGGACGTCCTTTCCGCCGACGAGAGTGCCAAGGGCCAGCAGTCGCTCTTCGACGTCGACGCCAATGATATGGACCTTGAGGACATGGAAGAGGACGAGGAAGACGAGTCCGACGATGAGGCCGGTTCTGACGCCGAGGTGGACTCCAACGTCGAATTCGACGCTCTCGACGCCGGCGATGATGAGGAGAACGACGACGACGACGAGGGAGAATCTGGATCGGACGAAGAGGCAGACGACGAGGAAGCACAGAACCTCGCAGACCTAGACGACGCTCTCGGCCAAATCCTCAACAGCCACCGCCTCGACAAGGACGAAGACGCAGAGTCGTCAGACAACGATTCGGACATGGGCGACGACGACATGCTGGAGTTGGACGGCAAGCTGGCCGAGGTCTTCAAGCAGCGCCAAAAGGCGGCGCCGAGCAAGAAGAAGGAGCGCAAGGCCGCCAAGGAGTCCGTCGTCAACTTTAAGAGGCGCGTGCTGGACCTGCTCGAGATCTTTGTGCGCAACGAGGCGGGCAGCCCGACGACGCTGGCGATCTTGCAGCCGCTGCTGCAGCTCGTTCGCACGTCGACCATCAAGACGCTCTCTGACCGGGCTTTTGAGCTGGTCAAGGATTACCAGAAGCGCGCGCGCAAGACGAGGTCTGGTGGTGGCGGCAAGTCGACGGAGGCCAACCTTCATGAGGCAGTCGAAATCCTGAAGGGCGTCTACGCTGAGCTCAGGGCCGGCGAGACAAAGTCGCATGCCAAGGCAGCGGTGCCTGCCTGCCTGATCGCCGCTTCTGGCGTGTTCCACGCCGGCAAGGGAGACCGGGCTGCGGTCGATGCCATTGTTGGAGATGTGGAAGAGGCATCTCCGACGCAGCTGGAGATGAAGAAGGCCTGGGACGAGTGGTGCAGGAACCAGGAGGCTCTGAAGAAGAAGGCGGCCGGCGGTGCTGGGAAGAGTAAATAGATGAGGGAGAAAGACTCAGATGGGGTCTGGTAGATTTTTATCTGATACAAAAGCTTTTGTTTCTGGCGCATGGAAATGGGATGGGAACAAAGATCTGGATTTGTGTCGCGACGAAAAAAGCATTGGCCTCATGAGGCACAGGGAAGATTCTGGGCTCAAGGTCTTGAGTATATTTAATACATAGAGCCCGACTTCCACAATTCACACAGATTTCGCATAGCATCATGCTTTCTTTTCTCCCTTCTTGATCCTATCTGCTCACCTTGAATCGGGTTGCCTTTTCAACTTGTCTTCTACATCTCAATTTGCTCACTGTACTAACCCAGCTCCTTAAATGGGAGAATACCTACCAATGACCTTTTTGTTTTTTATCTTTCAAATTCGACCTAGAGTAAGTCCAACATACAACATCATTCCCTATACCAAAAGGAATACCTTCAAAACTTGACATCCCAAACTCCACCCTGGCGCTTGGGGTCGTTCCTAACAGGAACTTCACCAGCCCCTGAGCTTGCACCAACATGTACAACCGTGGCATCACCTGGGCCAAATTCATATACTTCAACAGCGCGAGCGGTTCCTGTCTCATCCCCATACCAGGTAGCTCTACGGCCCAACAACGTAGCAGAAGTAGGCAGGCGGAAGTCGGGGTGCTCGTCCCCACGCAGCCTAGCGAGAGTACCATCGTCCCTGCTTACCAACAAGCCGAAAGTGACCCAGTCAACCTGGGGAGGCTCCCTTGTATCCTCATCACCCACGTTTCCAGAAGCTTCTCCAGGCGTCGACTCACCACTAGAAGAAATGCTCTGGCCGGTCGGCTCGGGTGGCGGGCTGCCTGTTTCGGATTCGGTCTCTTGGTCCCAGAAAGAAAAGTCATTTGGCGGGCCCTCTTGAGCAAGGGAGTCTGTAGAATGAGACCATCTGGACTGGTTTCCATCATGGCTACTGGAAGGCAAGTCCTGGCTGGGTGAAGCCGAGGCTGGATCCGGGTTGCGGGCTCTAAGCGTACCTGTTTCGGACTCGACCTCTCTGAGCCATTGAGAGACGCCGATCTGGGTTTGATCAAAGGCGAGCGAGTCTTCAGACGGAGACGAAGCGAAGCCTGGGCCGTCCAGCTCTGAGTCCTCGCCGAGACCTACCGTGGCGTCCCCTGTAAGCTGGCGATAGCTCAGCAAGGAGGTGGAAGATGATGCCAGAGAGTCTTCCCTAATTAGAGGCAAGGGGGATACGTAGTCCGGAGCTTGGTCAACCACTAACCGATGCTGAGCCCTGCACAGCAGAGAGGTGAAGCAGCTAAAAGTATACATTTTGGAAGTACTGTGGGGTGTGCTAGTATGCTTCTGAGCGCGTTTTTGGATACGTATCTGGATTTGCGGCCAGGTAGTTTGGAGGTGTGTGATAAGTTGGGTGTGAGTATAATGGGTTCAGAGACTTGGACAATGGATCACCTCTTTTTAAGCTCATCCTTTCAGGCAAGGAACCGCCTTGGGTAGTTGGCAACCACCTTGGGTCGTTCTGCTTGAACAATGTATAGGAGGGAACAAGGTCATTGTTCTCTGTCTAGTTGAAGGAAGTGTTTACTTCACAGCCATCCCACAAGCACTCTATACGTTTACTGGTGATATTTTCCAACCTTATTAGTTCAGGAAATAGATGATTGTGCCGAGTCATACTAAGTTCCTTTTCTACAGCACATGTTGGTCGTCATGTCTCTGTTCTTTCCCAGGACTGGTTCTGGTCATTCTAGAACTACCATGACTTTAGCCCTAAGTGAATGATACACAACTTCAACAAGAGCGTAACTTGATGTAAGGAGGGTTTACTTGGATCCATACGGGAATAACAACAGAAGAAAAGGTCCACCGGCTTACAATGTAGACTGAAAATAAATATTCAGAAAAGCTCCCCTTTTGCGAAGATCTCTGTATTATCCTTTAATTTGGAATGCTAGATACTATCATTAGCTTGATCTTAGAACCCTTTGATTGAGCTTTTGCCTTGAACGACACCCCTTTAGACCGTCCAGCCGCACCACCAGCACCATCAGTTTCGTGGTTCAACACCCGGGCGGGCAGACGGCCAGTGATGCCGTCAAGGTCGAAGCTGCCCTACCTTCTCGCCCTCAGGCCCGCGAAGACGGCTTGACATGCCATAGGTATCCTCAAATCAGATTCTGATAGCCAATCATACTGCCATTCAAAGCATCCGTTAAGAGCCACGAGTACAATAATACAGTTTTCGACGTAATTCGACCTTCCTGAGTTGCCCATTTTTACCGCGAGTCCTGGCAACCATGATGGAACCGTGGGAGTATAAAGTCGGCAGTCTCCTTCACCCATAGAAATTATAGGCTTTCTCCTTTATATGTCCACGTTCCATCCAAAAGCCAAGGTTTCTCAAGTCACCACCATCTACCTATACAAAGTCACCAAAATGTATCTTACAACATCCTTCACGGCCGTGCTCGGCCTGCTCGTCGCAGCCAGCGCAGCTTCCCCCATCCAAAAAGACAAAGTCCCTATCCCGGCGGACGTATCCGGTGACCATTCTTCGGCGATGACCGTTCCAATTGTAAGTCGAAACCCTGTGGTCTCTTGCCGGTACCGGCATGGATACCTAGACAAGACACGTTTTGCGCATGAACACAAAAGCTAACAAACTCCATAACAGGACGTACGAAGTGCTCCTCTAATTCCACGTTCTTCTACGAGGATCTGTTTAGCTGACAAAAAAACCACAGGGAGAATGCTTCTTCCGCTGTACCCCAACGCTCTTTATAGCTGTCACGTGGAACTCATGCATCAATGATTGCATGGCGCCGAAGCTGGCAGAATACCAAGGCAGAGTCGAAGATCGCGAGTGACGGTGAACTTTACATATAAGGAGTTTTGAGATCTTTCAAGGGTGGACTGCGGAGCAAGGCTAGACTGGTGGACTACTATCACAACTTACTACCGGACGAACATCTCAAGTACCTGTAGACGTCAACTTTGTCGAATCAATCTCTCAACACGCCAAGTCTCCGGTTATAGCGATAGTCTTAATGGCATAACAGTTTAAAGTACATGAAGTTTCCTGTATAAGTGAACTATGTGAACCATGATGTGCCTTCCCATGTCTGGTATGGGCGAAAGACGTTGTGCCTGTTTAGGAAATTTTCATATTCACTTGCTCTCTGGCTGCCACCAAGGAGACGGCATACCTATGTTCTAGGCAAGCAACAGATTTCTTATCTTGGTTTACGCGGGACTTGGGGCATTCATACACGCGCTAGGCACCATCTTCGATGCTACTCCGTTGGTGTTGCAGCCTTGGGTCGTTTGTCCATGTCAGGGGTAATAATCCACAACGACTAACACGGACAACTACTCGATGCCAAGATCGTTGTTAGCACAGTACACTCGGAGGAAAAGAAAAGAATGCTATCTATCCATACAAAATGAACATCGGGCTGAGAATCTCGCCAAAAATTTGTCCTGCTCCCACATGGTGCTTCCGAGCCGATCTCGGGTTCACCACGCCGCGCTGTGGCTAGGCCGTTCTTTTTGGAAGAAACAAGAACACATCTCAATCCACTAACACTTTAGTTTGTCGTACACCTTGCACCTTGACGTGAAACATTTAAGAAAGCCATGCCTCTATGGTCAATCATCATGTATTCGCCTACCAAAGTAGATCACAGTCTTGTCCTATACATCTACACCCGTCCTCAGCACTAACTCACCTCAAGATCCAAGGCAACTTTCTCTCTTCACTTCGATCTCCTCTCATGCCCGTCTTCCGTCCAAAAAATATCCACAAGCTTCAGCGATCCCCACGATCCCAAACCAAAAAAAAAAAAAACCAACACGCTGTTCTAATCAAGCACCCCACTGAGCCGGTCGATTATCCCAATAATCATCAGGATTCGGAAAAGCCTGTAAACAGTTATAGAAACTAAACATTGCCGTATCCTCCGCCCCCCCCTGTCTGATATTCGGCGAGAAATGCGCCCCAATCTTCGATCTACACAACGGACAGCTAAACTCCGCCGCCCACGTCTCCTCCGTCTCGTCGCGCCCGTCGCGTGCCCCGCGGAGGTCCCGCAGCGCCAGCCAGCTCTTGAGGCACTTGCGCCCGACGTACTGCGAGCAGCAGGGCAGCATCACGGGCTCGTGGTTCGGGTACTCGTCCCACTCGGACATGCAAATATTGCAGTTTGGCGAGCCGTCGGCGACGGCCGCCGCGGGCAGCACGGCGTACATCATCGTCCTGGCGTCCGCCGACCGGTTCCGCGACCTCATGTCCGCGAGCGCAATCGCCGTGTTGCGGTTGATCGTCTCAAAGAGATGAAGGCCCGTATCGAGCATCTGGAAGAGCCTCTCGGTCGGTCGGGTGCTGGATGGAAGGATGGGCCAGTGGTGCTCGACCCAGTAGACGCACTCCTGGATGAGGTCGGCGCTGGGGAGATCGGGGTCAAGGGTCAGGTACAGCGGGTGTGAGGCGTGGTCGTCGTAGTGCGGGTTCGGCCACGGGTTGAGCACGGCGAGCAAGGCGCCGCCAATGTACATCATGATCTGCTCGTCTAGGCCGGCGTCCATGGCGAGGAAGTTGTACAGCCAGGTGAGGAAGTGGTAGCGCCGATACACGGCGCGGCTCCAGTCTTCTTTGCCCAGCCAGGGCATCCTGTGGGAGTGCCAGTACGCGCTCGATGGGTGTTTCTGGGACTCCTCCGAGCCTCTCTCTGAGATGGCTCTGCGGGCCCGCTCCGCTCTCTCCATGAGCTTGTGTAAACGGCGTTCGTAGTTGTCTCTGCTCAACCCCACAAACGCCATCTGGTGACCGGGAAAGTCGCGCTTATCGTTGTGCAAATTCTCCAGGTTGATCGCCCTCTCGGTCGGCCCGGTGGTAAGTTCCCACACTTCCTCATCCTCATCGAAAGCTTGTCCCCGAATCTCCTCGGCAAAGGCCTCGAGAGTTCCAGCGTTATCGGTCCTGTACGCCATATCCTCGAGAATATGAGCTGCTTCGTTCTTCCTCATGGCAAACGCAGGGTTCACGCGCCACACCTCGTTCATGGCCTTGCAGTCGCAGTAAAATACGTTGTGCCCAATGTGTGTCCGCAACAGCTTGCACCAGATCTCTGGCCAAGCGGACGAGATCTCCATTTCCCACTCCCGGCTCTCGGCTTCCACGGGGAAAGGTTTCGATAGCATCGTCAAGGTCAGTCTGAGTAGCTGGCGGAGGTAATTCTCGCGGTAGATTATGAATTTGTGAGTCGGGATGGCGTCCAAATAGACCCCCGGACCCGGGAGGCTAATGGTTCTGGGGATTGATTGCATTACTTCGTCGGGGCTGTCATAGTACGCATCGACGTTGCCGGTACAGAAGTAGCATTCTCCGTCCATTATCTGAACCAAGACTCCTCGCGAGAGCCCGTTTATGCAATCCGTTGCGTGCAGATGGGCGCATCGGATCAAGTTGTAGACCCAATGGATATGCTTCCTGCGCGGTACTTCTTGAAAATCATGTTGAGTGTTCTCTCTGAAGACATTGTCTTCTTCTTTCACCAGATGATGACCATTGATTCTTCTGTCCGGCAAAGGGTGTGTTTGTTTTTCGCCATCATGTAGCGTATATCCAGGTGGTTTCGTGCAATAATACCTGCGCCATAGGATGATACACATATTGAATACGGGGTCTTTTCGATGCTATTCCAACCTGCTCGAAGGCAGGTGACGTCGTTGTCGAATCGATGAATTTTACTCTGCGCTTGGGGTTGATAGTGTCTATTTAACCCGTAGCAAAGCTGACAGGAAAGGTTTCATTTATTTTTATTCATCCGCTCGACACTCTTCCAATACTCCAACTAGAGTTGGCAACTAAACGAGGGTTGAAAGAAACGCTTCTGCTCGAAGCAGCTATTCTCGCTGTGCCCCCAGCCGAATGGGACAAGGGCCGCTTGCTGACGACGAAGGCAAACAAAGCCCCGAATGTGAATCAATTGTCAGAGTTCGTCAAAGACCATTTTCCCTTGCCACATGGACTCGCAGGAAAGACGCCACCGGATGAAGCCCTTGCATTTTTCCATTGCACTCCTTGAGCCCATTGTCCTCAATTGCTCCGACAGAGCATTGAAAACCACCCCTCTGGCGACTTCATGTCGTTCGCTCTTTGCTTTATTTAGAACTTCAGGGAACGTCTCGAATTCCCAAAATACGACGAAGAGGATCCGGGAGGTCATGGTGTCCAAGTGCTGCGGATGAAGAGGAATGAAGAGCCAGGCCCCGAGTCACCAACCACTGGTGTACAAAGTGAGATGGGCCGTCATAAGTGCGCAGGTGCCTTTCAAGCGCGAACTGGAGCACCAGACGGTCCTCTCTGAGCTGCGCAACGTCCCACCAAATATGCTTGGGTTCGTCTCCTAGCTTGAACTCCCAAGTGCTGACCCAAGTAATCTCTGCAGAATTTCCAGTGACAAGATATCGGAAAACCCCGGCTGATTCTCGCCATGCACCGTATAGTTCTATTACACGGAGTGCCGGCATCATCTTCGCGACCCTGCCGGCTTGGGAAAGAAGAGCGTTGATGAGCTCGGGTTTCTTGCGAGAGGAAATTTCCTGGGATGTCATCATCAGAACACGCAGATGCTGCCATGGCAGAGGCGATATATGTACGCATACTCTGCTCGTGCAGGCGGCAAAGAAGTGTATGGCATCTACGATGTTGCAGATGACAAGCTCCTCTAGATCGAGACTGCGAATGAACAGAGTTCCGACCAAGCCTAGCCTGACTGATAGGCACCAATTGTAGAGCATGTGTAGACCGCCGTGCTCGAAGATGTGGATTTTTGATAACAGTGGTTTCTCTCGATATGACCAACTTGCCAGCATCGTGGTCAAGTCTATATCAGAAGTTAGAGACTCTTCCATAGAATGCGAAGAGATGGGGTAGAAGACAGGCTGTCTTTCACTACTATACCATTGTCTGAAGAGTTCTGTTCCCGTGTACTAAGATGCCTCCATGGTTCGAAGTGAGTCGTGCGCAATCTCGGTAGATACTTTGACAGAGTTTCTGCAAAGGGGGCTAATTGTATTCTGCGCATGTTTCTACGCAGAATGCTCAACCCGGTGACGCAGTTGACGTAGGGAAGACTCAAATTTCCAAGGCTGATAGGGGCAAACACGTATCGCTGCTGTTGCTGCCAGTAGTCCAAGAGGCCTTCTATTCCGCACGAATTGCCGACATCGTTTGGCAAAGAGGCACTGATCTCCAAGTTGATACTTGGGTATGTTGGTTCGCCAGCCGAATCGACATCCTTCTAGGCTTCGAGAATACGGAAAAGGGACAAGATGTTGATGGCGAAGCATCCGCGGTCCGCTGCGATCTCTTCATGAGTCTGACGTCTCGAACGATTCTTGATGCAATGGCCCGGTAACTGGATTTTGAACCAGATGTGTTTAACGTAGCTTTGTCGCCAGTACTTGTTGTGGAATGCCTTGGCCAGGGTTTCCAGCGACTGGTCATCCGAACCGACTTGGAGGACCCGAAAGTTTCTTGGCTCGATGGTGTTTTGCCAGTCCCTGCAGATGCCTGCAAACCTTCCAGGAACGTATTCAAGAATCTTGTCTCTGATCTCCTGGGGTAGGTCGCTCCACTGGGCCTCGCTTTTGAATGTAGTCATGTCGTTTGGTAGGATACTTTTGTTAGAATACTTGGGCGCACTTGTTGTCAGACAGGCACAATGAGGACAATCGGGTATGTTTGGCTCCAAGTCAAATCTCCTGGGCAAGTCATCGCCGAATGCTCATGGAATTTGAGGAAGGGCGATACCTCGGCTCAAAAGGGGCCAGTGAATAAAGAGGAAAGAGTGAGGAAGAAGCAGAGAGAACAGGGAGGCAGGTAAGGTATCTACTTGGAATCTTGACTCCTTCCTCCCGTCCTTCACCTCACCACACTTCACCACACCTCACCACACCTTCACCTCAACCGGCCTCCATCTTTTCCTGCCTTTCAATCCCGTTGCCACCTAGCCAGCTACTAGGTACCCCTCCCCCAAACATACTGCAGGCCGAACGATAACAAGGGAAAGTGCACTTTCTCATCAACACCTCCTTTGAAGACTGTACCTTGCCCCGTTCTAGGTGGGAAATACAATCCAAGGTATTTGTGCTCCCTTGACCTCGTCGTACATTTGCTGACTTTGTACCACAGCTCGCAGGTCAAGCAGTCGTGCAAAACATCCATAAATGCCACCAAGAAAGTTAATGATAATCCGCGAGCAGTGTCTGATCTACTGGCCAACCATCGTGAAGATGCGCTGGAGATGGACAGAAGCCGTCAAACGTCAAACAACAGACCTCGACGATGTGGAAAGCTTGCCTCAGCTGAGGGACTCAGCACCGGCCTTACTTAAGACATCAAACCCACACAATTAAGGGAGCGAGATCTGGATCAGTCTAGGCCCAACGAGGATTGGTGCGATTCGTGAAGGCGACAGAATCCCTGCCCGCAGAGGTCGGAACCTTCTCCTTTCAGTCGGGGCCCTCTTTGCAGATGCAGCAGGAGGGCGGGATCCCCTGACGCCTGCGACCCTTTTGCCTTTGCTTTTGCTGCTGCTTCCCACCCCCGGCCGAAGCAGAGGTCAGAAAAAAAAAAGATACCTTGTCCACGGGAAATTCCACCTCATCCAGAATCTCCCCCAGAGAGACCACATTTCCCATTCGCAATCTTGTGGGAGAAAATTTCCTTTTCTCTTCTGCAGAGACTCGACAGATTCCTACCGGACGGGATACTGTCAATTCGAGACGACGAGTCAGGGGGATACTAAGGAAGGAAAAAAAACGAGGTACGTGGATGTTGTTGCTTAGCTGGCAGCTCCCTCCTTGCCATCAGTTGTTCCCCACGTTGAGACGAAGCTAACAACACCTGGCATCTAGCCACAGCTGCGCTTTCTCGATCCCGATATTCCTTTACCTTTCGGCCATTGCGCGCCGCCTTCCCATTCCATCAGAATTCAACTGGACTCGGCAAGGACAAGATGAAGTTCAGCAGCATTCTGTCCGTTGGCCTTTTGGTCGTCTCGCCCCTGGCTGCGGCCTGGAGCAAGGAGGGTAAGAGCGTCGCCATCCTGTCTTGTCTCCGTTGCGCAATGTTGGCTAACGTGTGAAAAATAAAGATCGTGAGATTTTCCGTATCCGCGATGAGATCAAGGCCCACGAGGCCAACCCCGAACAGACTTTCTACGACCTCCTCGGCGTCAAGAACAGCGCTTCCATCGACGAGATCACCAAGGCCTACCGCAAGATCTCCCGCACTCTCCATCCTGATAAAGTTCGCCAGCAGCTCATCGCCGAGCGCACCAAGGCTAAGAAGAAGGAGAAGAAGACCCCCGGCGTCAATGTTTCCAAGGCTCCTACTCAGAAGGAGATCAAGGCCGCTGTCAAGATTGCCTCTGAGCGCCAGGCCCGCCTCGGTCTCGTGCGCAACATCATCAGTGGTCCCGATCGCGACCGCTACGATCATTTCCTGAAGAATGGCTTCCCGGCCTGGAAGGGCACCAATTACTATTACAATCGGTACCGCCCTGGCCTGGGCACTGTGCTCTTCGGTGTCTTCCTTGTGGCTGGAGGTGCCTTCCACTACATCGCTCTGTACATGTCGTGGAAGCGCCAGAAGGACTTCGTCGAGCGCTACATCAAGTTCGCGCGCAATGCTGCTTGGGGAGACAACCTGAGCATCCCTGGCATCGACGACACCCCCGCTCCTGCTCCCGCTGCGCCCGCCGCCGACGATGAGGAGGGCCCCCAGCTGCCCAGAAACCGCAAGGAGAGACGTATGCAGGAACAAATGGCTCGCAGAGAGGCCGCCAAGGAGCGCGGAGGCCGATCCCGCAAGCCCGCTCCCGCCGCTCGCAGTACCAGCGGCAGCGGTACCGCCACCCCCCGCGAGACGGTTGCGCAGACCGGTCAGACCGGCCCCACCGGCTCCAAGAAGCGCGTTGTCGCCGAGAATGGCAAGATTCTTGTGGTTGATTCCCTCGGAGACGTCTACCTCGAGGAGCAGGATGAGGATGGCAACACCGAGCAGTACCTCCTTGACGTAAGTGCCCAAAATGCAAGCTAAAGCTTGTCACCCTACCGCGACACGAGGTCGGCGAACGATGCTAACTCAAAGCAGCCCAACGAACTGCCTCAACCCACCATCCGTGACACCGCGCTCGTCCGCCTCCCCATCTGGGCCTACAACCGCACTGTCGGCCGCGCCCTCGGCAAGAACAATGCTGAGCTGGAAATTGACACTGAGGACCTGGACTCTGATGACGGCGAGATTCAACACACCCCCAGCTCCGACTCTGCCGCTGATGACTTTGAGCTCTTGGAGAAATCGACCGATTCTTTGGGCAAGGCCAAGGCTTCCGGTGCGCAGACTGGAGGCAAGACCAACAAGCGCAAGAACAAGAAGCGTTGAGGCACTGGTTCAAGATCTGGCTGATGAATAGAGCTTCACGGCTGGCCTCTCCGAACCCTCTGACGGGTTTTGCGATCTTGGTTGGTCTTGAGGATCAGACAAGCGACCCAGAGGTGCATGATGCGTCATGAAGCTGCAGCCAGTCTCGTCGTTTACGTAGATTATCCATCAATGCAAATTCTCGTACGAATTGTAGAGTACAATAACAGGGCCACAATGTGTTGAAGGTGTCAGTGTGCTGCATCGTGTCTAGTGCATTGTGCATCGGGGAATGAGGTTTGATGAGTGTGTGTGTGTACTTCACAACAGGCCGTGACAGATACATCATACGGGCACACTTGTTTCCATTCCATTTCTTCACACCATTGTCCTCGAGCACCGGAGGAAACGCCCAATGCGGTTAATGTTTCCCGTCAAACATGTCGCGAACCTGCGCAAGTGCGTGAGGCCGTTTCCTGCCCCTCTGCACCTCATAACTCTGTTTCGTCCCTTCCTATGGCATCATGGCTGCATGATGATTTGTTGGCACAGAGGATGAAGTGTCGCTCGGTGGTTCGTCCGCTTCACGTAGCGGCGATAGGCTTTTGCAATACTCGACTTACACCAACACCACCACCACCACCACCATCATGAATCGTTGATGATGCTTCTTTGGCATCCATCACAGACAGTCAGCCAGTCCGTCACAGGCACGGCAATACTCTTGACTCGACTTTGTTTAGGATCCAAAATCATCAGTCCACCTCTCCTATCTTTCGCGTCTATATCCGTACCTCGCAACCGAATGTTTCCATCCACCACAACCACCACAATCCAGCCTCTCAACTGTCTGCCTGAAACATAGGAGATCCTATGCCAAAAACAGACCACTTGTGCCTAGCTTATGCCCAAAAGAAACTAAACCCGCAAGCCAAGCGCCCACCCCGCTCTTCTATGATCTACGGCGACGACCAGGGCTCGAGCGCGCCGCACAGCAACCACGCAACCCAACGCTCGAGCCGCATGGTCGCCCGTTTCCGAGCCGGTTCCAGCTTCGCGGCCCCATGGACCTGATGATTCCTTGCCCTCACCTCTTCTTACCACGCTTTAGCGTCTGTTCGCCAGAGACGCCATTTGAACCGCTAGATGGAAACCCTATCTCAATCAAGACGCTACTTGCGTTTTTCCTGCGCTTCTGACTGGCGAATATGTCGCTGGCTTCGAGTTGGCTTCAAGGCCGTTCCCTGTCGACCTCTTAGATAGAACTCAAGGTTGCCTCCCATCCCTCAGAGGCTCTCAGCTAACGGAGCAGCCCAGGAACCTTCGCCAGCTTCGTCCCACCATTGATCTCGTCTCCTCATTCACACACATGGATGACTCCCCAACACATGAGCCGCGTTCCCAAGATCCTCGAGGGCGTCGGAGATTGTCTTCGGACCTCTTTTGGACGAGCGTTTAGTGACGATGGTCCCGCCCGCTACCTTCGTCTAGACTCGTGTGTTCAGGTCGCCCGGCTCTCCACACCCGGGACACTAAGCTATTCTTAAGACTGGCTCGTACATCGAGATATGAAGCTACCCCTAAACCTATCTGCCACTTCGGTTGAGACGTCCTTGATATGTATATCGAGTAGCCCCTCCCTTGACCCTGACGGGTCCATTTCTCTTCCCGTCGTCCGCTCTCTGTATCGTCTTCCCCGGTCTTGTCCCGTCGACTCGGATCACACTCTGCACATCCCATTCTACCAAGCTGTAAACCGACGATCCAATGTCACCCTCGTCATGACGCCCACGTGAAGGAGAAAAGAAATAATACCGCCTACCAAGGGAATACTCGTGGATGCTTCGATCCCATCATGGAGGATCGCAGCGGGCAAGTGCTGGCCGTGGCGGTCCTCTTCTTCATATTATGTTGGATCGCCGTCGGCCTGCGCATATACTGCCGTGGTTGGATTACACGATCGCTCGGCACCGATGACAAGATGATGATTGCCCTCATGGTACTTCCCTACGAGACATTATACAATAAGTAAGGAGTACACACTCGCTGACTCTTTTGGCAGCTCATCTTCACCATCTACCTCATCACTCAGATTCAAGGAGTTCGATATGGAACAGGCCGACATAGAACCGATCTCACCCCGGAACATAATCGGGACGCTCTCATGGTATGCTCTTCTCGGAAGCCCTTTGAGTGCAAATGGATGCTACCAGTAGAATCGCGACTGACACCCTCTCTAGTACTGGTACATCTGCGAACTACTCTACATCATATCAACCTGCCTTCTCAAGATATCGGTTGGCTACTTTCTCATCCGCGTATCTATCCGCCGGAGCCACATCTGGATCCTTCGCGTTCTCATGATCGGCACGGTACTTTTCGGCTCGACATACTTCTTCATGGTCATGTTCCAGTGCCGGCCAATTCAGACGTTTTGGGAGCAATCGCCACGCGCAGAGGGAAAGTGCTTCAACAATCGTGTGGTTGTCATCATGACCTTCACGGCCTCGATTATCAACTGCCTTGCCGACTGGGCCTTTGGTATTCTCCCCTTATTCATTGTCTGGTCGCTCTCCCTCCCCAAGCGCACCCGACTCCTCGCGTTCGGCATCCTCTCATTTGCTGCCATCGGGTCTGCCGCGACCGTGGCAAGATCCGTGTACATACCGACCCTCCTCGACGGCGACGACTTCCTATGGGCGACTACCGATGTAGCGCTGTGGAGCACCGTCGAGCCCGGCATCGGCATCACTGCCGCGTCGCTCGCCACCCTCCGCCCTCTGTGGCAACTCGTATGGTACCGCGCGGGCATGCGGTCTCAGGCGCCTCGTGCGATAGCGTGGCGAGAACGGTTCAAGGGGCAGCCGAGTTATGTCCGCAGCGACGGCTCAGACCCCCGTCACCCGCGACACCCCGTGCCAGACGACGCACCCCTGGAAGAGATCGAGGCTGATATCCGGGCCGAGTTTGAGGCGGAGGTGCCTCGCATCGCTCGCTCCCAAGACGGCTACAGCTCGTCGGCACCGACGAGACGGAGCGGCTTGAGCAAGGACTTTAACCTCGCGTATGAGAGAGAGAGGCGAGACGAAGATGTGGAGTCCCTGGTGGTCACCCGCGACGACGGCGATGGTGGGCAATGGCTCTGTCCATCACCCCGCGAAGTAAGACACTCTTCTCCCGCCATTTACCCCTTCGCCAAACCGAACCCAGACTAACAATTGCGCAACAGGAAGACAATTCGTTTGAGCTCGAAGACGGCCTTCACTTGACACCGAAAGTGAGATCACCCGCGCCGACCGTGAACTGGTGTTCGCCACGCATGTCCGCCATATCCATGGGCTTCGGCTCCTTCAACCGAGACAACCGCGACTCGACCCATTCAGCCCTCACCCTGGGCGTCACCAACCACGACGGCGCAAACCCCACGAGCAACCGAGCGAGCAGGCTAAGCCGGCTGAGCAACGTCAGCAACCCTCACGATAACCACAACAACAGCAACCGGGCGAGCAGACTGAGCACCCTCAACAGCCCAGGCCACCACTACCGAGACAGCAGGATGACCGTGGAGACGTACACCAACACGACGAACCCGCGCCACAGCAGCAGGTTCGACAACCGCTACAGCCGGACGACGCGAGCCAGCAGCCACTACACGCGCGGCTCGCAGTTCCTGGCGCCGCCATCGCCGGGAGACTTCCCCATGCCTAGCCCTCCACCGAGTACGTGGCAGGTCAACGTCCCCGGGGGCATGGACTCGGCGCAGTGGCTTTCGTCTCGGATGGCGGAACACCCGGGTCATCCTGGCAAGAAGCGGTAGACCAGACCTACGTGAAGGGGTTTACCTGCCTACTTTACCACATTCTCATCACCATTTAGACAAATAACTTGACATTACCTAATTATCGACGACGACGAACAACTACATATACCCGGCGTACAGGATACCACCACCATTGAAATTTCGGGAACGGGAGAATAGGACGAGAGCATATTGACTCGTGTAGACGGGGGAAACAACAGGCTGGGTCGCCATAAGAATATTCAAGCCTCGCCTACAGGGAGCAAACTTTGACTAGGCGGGCAAATTACGTCGAGGGAGGAGCAAAAGACGGCAATATGCAAAAGGCCAGAGAATAGTACGGCACATGATGTATGATATATAGAACTGACTTACCTGCCAAGGTATCTCAATAATTCGACTTAAACTACCTCAACGAATTTGGAATACCTGTGCGAGGATGTTACCACTATTGTACCTGGGCACTTACACCTCAATAAACGAGAGGTTCTCAGCGGGAATCCGGAGTGAAATTAAATGCTTTGCCGGGCTGTATATTGTATGGCGAGAGTTTAGACTCGACGAGCAAGATGATGCGAGATCGAACACATAAGGCCTTGGCAAGAGACCCAATTATACGTTCTACGTCTTACTTCAACGTCCCTTCTCTATTGCCTGGCTTGGTGAGCATGTCCCCTTTCTATACTTCCTCCGACTGTCGCAACCCCATGCACATGCCGAGAAACCGCGGTGTGTCGTCATCGGAACGGAAGCAGATGGGCCCCCTTCACCGAGTCATTCGTCAGCCCAGCTTGAATTTGAATGGAATATTTTATTGTTTTGGTAGTCCTGTTCGTTCCTCATGCCTGCCTATTGGTATACGCCCAATTGCTTATTCATAACCTTCTTGACAAAAAAAGAAAATCAAAAGACAAAAGAAAACTGGGGAAGAAACACGTCTACCGACGAGAGGCAATCCAATAATTGCCCTCCTGATTATCCGACGTTGTCTTCCCATGCAGTGTAGGTATCAAGGCAAGTGTCTGCTGCTATGCTGAAAAAGTGGTGATGTGCCATGGCTCTCTTTCCTCGCCGCATTACATGTCCATGGCCTCGATGTTACCGCTTCCGTAGTGCTGGAACGCACCGTACTGGTTCTCCATCTGCATCTGCATTTGGAGACTCTGCTCCCGGGCCCAGTCATCGCCGAAGCCCTTGTAGACGGGGTCGGTGGCGGGCTTATAGCCGCTGGTGCCGACTGCAGAGCCGTAGTGAGAATAGTTGCTTGGGGGGGAGGCCTGTGCCAGCTCCTGCTCGCGCTCGTACTCACGACGCATAAGCTCCTCGTAGCCAGACATCATATACGGCTCGACTTGCGAGGTGATGGAGCTTGCCAGCCAGCGGCTGTCATCTGACTGGACTTGGGTACCATCGAGGCTCATGACGGCGTTCTGCTGCTGCTCCTGTTGCTGCTTCTCTGCTTCCATGCGCTCATATCGGAGTCTCGCCAGCTGCTCCTCTTGCTCAAGTGTTGTGCTTGTCCATGCCAGTGATGGGTTCTCTGTGCTCGAGGTAGGGGGTGCGGCGCGCCAGATTTCAAGAAGTCGCAGCTGGTGGGGTTCTTCGGAACAGCGGAAAAGTTGAATCTGAGAAGGAGAGAGGACTGAAGGGTCGACGCCGTGCTGGCTGAGAACGGCCTCGGGGGTCAACTGCTCGGTCTGGGGAGGCTCGGAGGAGGGGCGCTGGATGGGGGCCTCTTGAGCTTGCTGACGGACAACGTGGGCGGAATGGGTGTAGTGCTGAGTGATGGAGTAGATGATGGGCGCCGGAGTCGGGGCGGGACTGGCGAGGGTGGGTTCCGGGGACTGCTTGACTTCTTCCTCTACCTTGGGCTGAACTTCAGGGTTGAAGGTTAAGTTGCGGGAGAAAAGGGTTGCGAGATCATCTTGGACCTGCATGGTGGGGGTGAAGGAAACCATCGTGCTGCAAAGGATGTTAGTAGTTGTTCACTGTTGTCGGTTCATGTTCCGTGTTACTCCCGGCGCCGCCGTGGAGGGGCCATCTCCGAACAAAGCCTGGCGGGGCTCCGGGCGTGGATGATGATGAAGAAGGGCCCGATGGCGGCGGGGGTCTGTGAGAGGAGGGGGAAAAACCTACCTTTTTGTTTGATTGAAATCTGGTGATTGAAAAGCCCGAAAAGGCCCTTCGTCGTAAAGCTGCTTGCTGTAGAAGTAAATCTTGTCGGGGGTGGGAGCAAAGAAGACAGAAATGTGCTGTCTTCTTGATGCTTTGTTTCTTGGCTTGGTAATCGGTTTCGGGGGTTCGGACAGTGAGTGGTAGCAGAAGAGAAGTGTTTCTTTATATTGGCTACTCTATGTAGGTACTCTCGAGTGTTTCTTCTTCTTGGGGGATTTTGTTGAAAGCAGAAAAAAGAGCACAGGAAACTCGAGAAAAGAGGAAAAGCGACAGCGAAGAGTCACAGGAAGACAGCGGTCGAGGCGTTTCGTGAATCGGGTTCGGTATGGTGATTCCTTGGGCAGGAAGACAGCAGTAGTGGTACCAGGGTTGGAGACTGGGTGGATGTGAAGTGGTGCGGCAAGGTCAGCGGATGCAGTGGGAGCGGGTTAGTGGTGGGGTGAGGGTTCTTCGTTGTCGCTGTTGTCGAATCTCGCAGGGGCGACGGCGGCGACACTCAGTTGGGTGTAGCAAATCGATAGTCGATGAAGTTGGTGCCAGGTAATGCGAATAGCCAGTCGTGATGATATTTTGCAAAGAGAAAAGAGTCGAGAAAGTCGAGGGTGAAAAGTGAAGATTGGAATTTTATATGGCAGAAGGAGCCACGGCCGTTTTCTGGGCGGGTAGAGGGAACCTGGAAGGAGGGGGGGATAGAAGTGGAGGGCGGCAGGCACGACGCACGAGGGGGGAGGGGGAAGCCTGGCAGGGGGAAATTGCCTTAGCTAGGAAGGAGGGGTCAATTTTAGCGGTAGCAGGCAGGGTCATGACGCAGCGAGCCCAACGATGCGTTGAACGGAAGGGTAATGTGACCTGACGCTTCAGTCTCTCAGCACACTTTCTCACTGAAGCCGGGCCCGTCTCTTGTCTCTTTTTTTTTTCGTCCCATCCCATGAGATCCCGTCTCCGGTGCAGCGTCTGCATCCACACATCACCACTTTCATCACCAACCAACATTCGCACCAACCAACGCTAGCCGACCCGACCTAAATGCTCCCTCGGTCAGGCAGGAATGAATGGCTACCTGAACTATCTAGGCTGCTCAAGAGCATGGTTCGTTTGTGATTCATGTTCAAGATTGTGAGAATGGCCGATGATCAGTCAAGTTGTACGTGAATTCGATACCTAGGTACGGGTACGGGTACGGGTACACCTCCAGTGCCATTTGATCCTTGGTGTACGGTAATGGCCATGCACACATGCCCTGGCAGAGAGTCCGGCAGCAAGCGTCCAATTTGAAACATATTCTCTCCAAGATCCGCACTCCTCACCCAATGGTTCCGTGACACGATCAGTCCACACAGCTTCTGGAAGACTACGGAGGTATCAAATCAGTCTCCCGTGACACACTCGAGCCCACCCGCCGTCATATGCGCACTCTGTAATACCTTTCCCACCACTTGGTATTACTTCCAGTCTTCGGCAGGATGTGGTGACGATGATCCTCAAACTCAGTGTAAATACTCAATGCCTTTGCCATTTTCCTACACTGACTGGCGCGTTTGTTGCATGCCGGAAACTCCTCAACACTTTCCGTCTATACTCGAACTTCTCTAACAAAGTCTCGGGATCCCAGTCTAGTCTTCACCGCTCCTCCTCGAAACCCCGTCCCAACACTCGTTTCGCCGGATCCATCCGGGCCTGGACTCCCCTAAGTCACCGTACTATCGGTCCAAGACAGTATGGGAGTCATGTCAAACGCCTCCACGATTTTCATCGTCTCTCACAAATCCTCTCAAACAAGACGAAGACGACCAGATGCAGATCTTGTTCACAGAGAAAACGTAGAAATTAAGCAGCTCTCTAAAAGCCGTTTGATTATAAACTACACATGCCCAGCTAGTGCAACATGTTGTTGTTCCTCCATGTGAATTCGCAATGTCTCTCTCATCCCGATAACCCCTCTATCCGTACAGCACCTGGCAGCTGCACACCACTGCAGGGTCAAGTGCGGGATGGTGGGGTTATTTTAATTCCCCTGTCAGCGTTGGTGTTCACGATGACGGGAGGCCGGGCATCGCACCAGCCACACCACTTCCACTCCAGCCACACCTTTAAAGTGGCTGGTGCCTTCCTACCTTCCCGGCCTGGGTGGATCCACCCTCCCCCAGCTTCCCTTTTCAACCTGAGGCACCCTTGCGTCTAGCCTCGCCCGTCAACCTCTCGCAGCAACACGCAGCTCAGGTTGCCTGAAGCTCTGATCTCAAGGCTCCAGATTCCCCAATTCCAAACCACGTCCCGCCATCGTCATCCACCACCACGAGCTCTCTCCCACGACCAGACAACGTGCCTACGACACCCACTTCATCACGACTCCTTTCGACGCCCAACGAACCCTCCAGTCCTCAAGATTACACACCCGAAGCTTTCCCCGAATACCCCAAGCTCTTCTAATTCACAATGGTAAGCTTTCCCTTGCTAGGTTCCCGGGGAATCACCACCTCCAGCGACCGGGGGTTGGCACGAGCTACCAGAACCGACCAACCCAGCCTTGGCTCTATATCTGTAGTACACAACTAATATGATGCCTCGCCCGCCTTATTTAGACGTCGATAGGCACAGGTTATGACCTGAGCAACTCCATCTTCTCCCCCGACGGCCGCAACTTCCAAGTCGAGTATGCCGTCAAGGCCGTCGAGAACGGTGGCACATCCATCGGTATCCGGTGCAAGGGTGGCGTCGTCCTCGCTGTCGAAAAGATCATTGCCTCCAAGTTATGGAAGCCCAATGCCAACAAGCGTATTGCTACCATTGACAGACATCTCGGTGTTGTAAGTCATCCGTTCCCCTCCCGCAATCAATTTACCCCTCCCTCCCCTGCCTCGATATGCATTGCAGCTCCGAGAGTAGCTTTACCAAACCCTCACGACCTTCCTACCTGCATATATCTCTGCTCTATTGGCCAGACTGACAAATCAAAAGGTCTACTCAGGCATGATCCCCGATGGCCGCCACTTCGTTGACCGCGCCCGTGAAGAAGCCCGCGGCTGGCGCGACACCTTCAAGACTCCCATCTCCACCGCCGACCTCGCAGCCCGCATGGGCGGCTACCTCCAAGCCTACACTCTCTACTCCTCAGTCCGTCCATTCGGTATTACCGCCATTGTCGGTGGTTTCGACCCTTCTACCGAGACCCCCGTTGACGGCGAAGTTGGTTCTGGCCCCAAGGTCGGTGCCGGCGGCAAGGACACCACCAAGAAGCACGGTGGTCCCTTCCTCTACATGATCGAACCTTCCGGTCTCTACTGGGGTTACTACGGTGCTGCTACTGGCAAGGGCCGTCAAGCCGCCAAGGCAGAGCTCGAGAAGCTCGACCTCGCTGAGGGCGGACTGACGTTGGAGGACGCCGTTAAGGAGGCTGCCCGCATCATCTACGTCGCCCACGACGACAACAAGGACAAGGAGTTTGAGCTCGAGATGAGCTGGATCAGTGACATTGACGGCCCCACTAAGGGCCGCCACGAGGAGGTGCCCAAGGAGCTGCGCGAGGAGGCGGAGCGGTTTGCCAAGAAGTCACTCGAGGGCGATGACGACGATGACGAGGACAAGAAGGAGGACGACAAGATGGAGGAGTAGGATACCGACAGCGAGGCGTGAAGGGGTCCTGGTGATGAGTAGAGCGGTGGCCTTACGACAGAATGAGACGAAATCAAAAAAAGAAATCTGTCAAACACAACACAGGGGAAGCTGTCACCGTTTGGGGGATGGCGTTCCAGAGGACCTTTGTGTACTTGTAAAAACACCATGATGAGGGCTATGGCGGCTGGATCATAGACTAATGAGACCTGGTTTGGGCAAGACTTGGAATTGCAATGACTTGTGTGAAGCGTGATTGTCGCTGGCGAGGCCCAAGATGAGGTGCTGGGTCAAGCGATGGCCTCGTCTTTCAACTACCTGCTCCGGCAATTTCCAGTGCCTCTGTCCCACGTCATAGGTTTCTGGTCCTTTACGACCAAAGAGATTAGCAATTCCAGACATGGCCGTCTCGCCCAATCAAGCTACAGGCAGAGACACAGAAACGTCCTCTATCTCTATTCTGGCTGCAAGAGGAGTATGGGCGGTCTGGGTGTCTTTTCGCTTCCCACAGGTCGGGGCATCTGGGGTCTACAGGAGAAGAGGAAGTCGCTCAGGGGAGAAGGGGGGACAAAGGGGGGAGGGGGGGGGATGCAACATAGAGCTCTCGTTTCGATGAGAAGCGGCCGAGAGAGATTTCTAAATCCCAGGCATTTTTCGCGTTGCCTTTCCTTTGCCCTTCGCAGTGTGGCCTGCACTTCTGTTGCGGGTGCCGTCTCTGGAGGAGGACTTGGTGGAGGAGAGTGACTGGCCGGCCTCACGGGGAGAATGCGGCGCCGGTCTGTATTCTTAGGTGACGTTGTGGATCGTATATATGCCTAGCCAGCTTGAGGTAAGTTGTTCACCCTTGCTCCCAGGTCTAGATCCTTACTCTGCCTCTGCGTTGTGTTCTAATGGGAACATGCAGACGCGTTAAGCCGGGATGGGATGGAAGACCCGTACACACATGATCTCGGTGTCACGGTAGTAAGATGCGCTGCCCTTGATTATAAAATAGAGACGACGCTTACTCTCCAATTCTTATAACAGCCATGACGATCCTCTTAAGCTGTCCTATCTTTGAGCTATGGTGGTTTCTAATAATATATCGTCCTCGTCGTAGTTATGATTATAGAAATTGACTGGGATTAAGGAGGGAGGGAGGCATGTCAAACCTTATTGCTCGCCTCTCAAGAGATAACAGAGGTGCTTCCCTCTTGTAGAAAACAAACTATTCTTGGTGTCAGCAGGGAAGCTCGTCGAAGATTTCTATCGTCGATGAGAGTGGTCGTTAATATACGGCTCGCTGGTATGTAAACGATACTAGTGATAGAGGCGAGGCAAGGACTTCTAATATCAGAAAAAGACCAAGGTAGCTATCTTACAAGCCTTGTTTGTACTACGAGAACCATGATAACTTTCAAAACTAGAGTACGGTACTAGCTTAGGATGCTCATCAACAAGAATAAGGGCACGCATCCATGTTGTATTCCGTTTGGGATAGTGTCAGGGAGACGAGGAGCCGCGATCCTACCACAAACAACGAAAGCACTAGGCGCAGAGACGACACTGAGCACAGAGACGACGCGAGGCACGGAGAAGACGACACTGATTCTAAAATGTACTTCAATTCAAACTACCAATATAAACCGTTCATCGCGCCCCAGACATTTTTCTCATGTCGAATTCCATGCCTCTTTGGTTTTCTCGCTAAATATTTGGAATCATAAATAAAGAATTCAAAGAAAGTTGCCGCTTTGCCGTAACCCAGCCATGAACCCCTTATCCCGTTTAAGCCTTGACAATTCTGCACACCAAGTCGGAACCGTCGACTGAGTCGCCCTCCTTAACCTGGAGGGTCGCGACCTTGCCGTTGTGCGGGGCGGAGATAACCATTTCCTAGGGTTGAATGTTAGTAAACGAATTAAGATGGTAGCTAGATACGAAGCAAAACTTACCATCTTCATGGCGCTGAGAACAGCAATGGGGTCGCCCTTCTTGACATCAGAGCCCTCCTTGACACGGAGCTCAACGAGCACACCGGCCATGGGAGCGCCGACCTGGCTAGAGTCGGAAGCATCGGCCTTGGGACGGCTGACGTTCTCGACGGAGGCCTTGTTGTCGTCGACAGTGACCTGTCTGACCTCACCGTTCATCTCGTAGAACACCTCGCGCTGGCCAGTGTTCTCGCTGAGAGGACCAATGGCCAAGAGCTTGAGGATGAGAACCTTGCCCTTCTCGAGCTCGACGTGGAACTCCTCACCAATCTCGGGACGAGACAGGAAGTACTTTGTCGGCAGGACGGAGAGATCGCCGTACTTCTGGATGAACTTCTTGTAGTCCTCAAAGACCTTGGGGTACATGACGTACGCGGCGATATCGCACTCCGTAACGGGGCCGCCGAACTTCTTGTGCAGATCGCGCTTGATCTTGGCGAAGTCGACGGGCTCGAGGAACAGACCGGGGCGCTTGTCCAGCTTTCTGCGGCCGCGGAGGGCATCGGAGCGCAGAGGCTCGGGGAATCCGCCGTACGGCTGGCCCATGAGACCCTCAAGGAACTCGAGGACAGAGCCGGGGAAGTCGAGCTCACTGGCGCGAGCCTTGACGTCCTCAGCGGACAGCTTGTTGGAGACCATGAACTGGGCAAGGTCACCGACAACCTTGGAGGTAGGAGTGACCTTGACGATGTCGCCAAGAAGGTCATTGGCGTGCTCGTAGGCCTTCTTGGTCTCGGCCCACTGGGTACCAAGACCAAGCTGGGAAGCCTGGAACATCATGTTGGTGAGCTGACCACCGGGGATCTCGTGCTCGTACACCTCGGGATCGGGACCGCTGAGGTGGGCCTCGAAAGGAGAGTAGAGGAGACGCAGCTGGGACCAGTAGAAGTCCAAAGCACGAACGTGGGCAGGGTTCAAGCCGGTGTCGTGCTCACTGCCCTCGAGAGAGGCAATGATGGCGTTGATACTCGGCTGAGAGGTCATGCCGGACAAGCTGTCCGTGGCAGCGTCGACAGCGTCAGCACCAGCCTTGGCGCAGGCGACCATGGACGCAACACCAGTACCGGCGGAGTCGTGGGTGTGGACGTGGATGGGGAGTTCGGGGTACTTGGCACGGATGGCACCGACCAACTTAGTGGCAGCGTACGGCTTCAAGACACCAGCCATGTCCTTGAGGCCAAGGACGTGGATGTCGAGAGCGACGAGCTTGTCGACAAGGTCGAGGTAGTACTCGAGGTTGTACTTCTTCTTGGGGTTCAACACTATGACGTTTATTAGCAAAAGGGACATTACTCATGATGACCAAAAGAAAGGGAACACTTGCAGTCGCCAGAGATACACACGGTACCCTCAACAACACCGCCGGCCTTGTGGACGGCCTTGATACCGACCTCGAGCTGGTCGATATCGTTCAGGGCGTCGAAGACACGGAAAATGTCGACACCGTTCTTCTTAGCATGCTCGACAAAGTGGTCGATGGCGTTATCGGGAAGCGACGAGTACGCAACACCGTTAGCTCCACGGAGAAGCATCTGGAAGGGAATGTTGGGAACTGCCTTTCTCATGCGGCGAAGACGGTCCCAGGGGTCCTCGTAGAGGAAGCGGTAGGCAACATCGAAGGTGGCACCTCCCCAACATTCCAGGGAGTACAGGTTGCTCAGACCGTGGCTAGTCTCCTTGGCAATGTTGAGCAAGTCGACGGTACGGACACGGGTGGCCAGCAGAGACTGGTGGGCATCACGCCATGTGGTGTCCATGAGCAGCGTTCCCTTGTACTCACGGACAGCCTTGGCGAAGGCCTTGGGGCCCTGCTCGGTGATGATCTGTCTCCAGCCCTTCGTGCAGGTCGCGGAGACGTCGATCTTGGAGCCATCCTCGTTGAGGAGCTCGGGAAGGATGATGTCGCCCTTGAACTTGGGCTCGCCAATCTGGCCCTTGATGCTGCTACCGTTGACGGCGACATCACCGAGGTAGGCGAGAAGCTTCTGAGCACGGTTCTGGCTGCCAATGAGGTCGAACAGCTGAGGAGTGTCGTCGATGAAGGTGGTCCAGCAGTTGCCGTCAATGAAGGTGGGGTGAGTAAGGAGGGAAGCGAGGAAAGGAATGTTGGTCTTGACGCCGCGAATACGGAATTCGACGAGGGCACGGAGGACCTTTCTCCTAGCAATTTCGTAGGTGGAACCGTGGCAGGTGCACTTGACCAACATGGAATCGTAGTAAGGGGTAATGACAGCACCGGCGAAACCGTTACCACCGTCGAGACGGACACCGTTACCACCAGCGGAGCGGTAGACTTCGATCTTTCCGGTGTCAGGCTGGAAACCCTTGGCGGGGTCCTCGGTGGTGATTCTGCACTGAATGGCGAAACCTCTGGTGGAGATGCGGTCCTGGGTCAGACCAAGCTGCTGCAGTGTGGCACCGGCAGCGATCTGGATCTGAGCGGCCACGATATCGATACCCGTGATCTCTTCCGTGATGGTGTGCTCGACCTGGATACGGGGGTTGATCTCGATAAAGTAGTATCTGTTCTGCTGGTCGACCAAGAACTCGGCGGTACCGGCGTTGCGGTAGTTGACCGACTTGGCCAGCTTGACGGCGTCGTTGAGAATGGCATCGCGGACGTCGGAGGGAAGGTCCTTGGCGGGGGCGATCTCGACGACCTTCTGGTGACGACGCTGGACGGAGCAGTCACGCTCGTACAGGTGGACAATGTTGCCGTGGTTGTCACCGAGAAGCTGGACCTCAATGTGCTTAGGCTTGTCCAAGAATCGCTCGACAAAGACTGTGCCGTTGCCGAAGGCGGACTTGGCCTCGGAGGTGGCTCTCTCAAAGTTCTCCTTCAGGGTCTCCTGGTCGCGGACGACACGCATACCACGACCACCACCACCGTAGGCAGCCTTGATGATAATAGGGAAACCATATTGATCGGTGAAGCTCTTGACCTCCTCAAAGGTGGCGACGGCGCCTTCGGTACCGGGAACGACGGGGACACCGGCAGCGATAGCGAGAGTTCGGGCAGAGACCTTGTCACCGAGCGAGTCAATGACATCGGCGGAGGGACCAACGAACTAAGAAGGCACACCGAGTCAGTAGTGTTATCAGATTTTAGGGGGAGTTTTTAGCGGGATGTCTCACGATCAGGCCGGCCTTCTCGACGTTGCGAGCGAATTCGGCGTTTTCTGAGAGGAAACCATAACCTTTTGGCGGTGTGTTAGTGTCTTGACCACAGCATCTAGACAAGACGCGTTTTCTTACCAGGATGGATCATTTGCGCGCCGTGCTCGACGGCAATCTTGATAATCTCGTCTCCAGCGAGATAAGCACCGACCGGGGTGTACTGGCCGCGCTTGCCAATGACGTATGCCTCATCGGCCTCTGTGGAACACGGGTTAGAAGGCTGCTTCGGGGAATGTTCAAAGGCTAGATGGGGGCTTACTCTGTCTGTGCATGGAGAGACGGTCCTCATAACTGTCAGGGAGTTAGTATGTAGACCTTGGGGGTTGCCCAGGTGGTGCGCTGTACCTGAAGACTGCGATGGTGTGCAGCGAAAGCTCGTGGGCCTGTAGAGAGTCAGCGCTGGGTCTTCTAGCGCCAGGACGGTCGTGTTAGTTAGGAGAAGTTGGTTAACGTACTGTTCTGAAAATCTAGACACATTTAAACGTGAGCATCACTGTTTCTGAAGCATTACCTGAGCTGGAATAAGAATCAACATACACGAATGGCTAGAAGGCGGTGGTGGTTAGCTTGCGTGAGTCAGGAGCTCGGCTGGATGGAAGCACTTACGAATTTCACCACGGTTGGCCACTGTAGAGGGGTAAAAAGGCAGTAGGTCAGCATAGTTCTTGGCTCCAGATCCAATAGCGCGAGAGGCCAGGAGGAGAGAGTCCAATGGCCTCCCGAGAAGGCTGCGACTCACCCAAGATCTTCTTCAGGTGCATGATGCTCGAGTTGGCGCGGATGTGGTGGATGGTCTGGGGGTCCTTCTGGACCTCCTCAACGTCGCCGTCCTCGAAGACATCGTTGAAGGTGACCTGTGTTTGAGCCATACTGGGCGGTTGTGTGTGTGTGAGGAGAGGGGACAGGAAGAAGGAGGAGAAGACCGAACGGATTCAGAAGCTACGACGGCCCGTATTTGAATGGACCGAGGAGCAGGGGAAGCTGTTGAGGTCTCAGTTGCGAGACAATTGCGTCGGGGTGTCGGTTGGCGGGGTGGTTTGGTCTGGGTAACTTTGGTTTGGGTTGGTGGGGTTATCTCCCAGGTCTCCCAAGCTTTAAGCCGGTCTAGGTCTGGGTCCAGGGCCGGTTCGGACGTGCCGCTGGGTTTGGACTTCTGCCGCCTGGCTTTTTTTTCTCCTCAGGTGCAGATCAGGCGCAGCAGGATGCGGCGGCGCGGGTACAAGGCCAGGGGGGACTGATGAGCCGAAGACCGAAGTTTGAAGCGCGCAACTGTGGTTGTTGCTTGTTCTGCTGTGACAGCTGGTTTGTGGTTTGTGGTGGTGTGTGGGCTGCGGAAGTTGAGCCGAGGGGGTATCGATTCGACACGAGAGGTGAAGATTAAGAGCCGAGGGGTAGCTCTGGGGGGTAGCTGCTGCTTGTTGTCTTCTCTACCGGGGAGAGAGAGAGTAGGGAGGAGCTTCGATGACAGGCGAGCACAGCTCTACTCTATTAACACCCGTCCGACCGAGAGGGACAGAAAGTGGGTGTCGGTGGTGGGGGGGTATGACGGTGGTGGATGCGAGTAGGTACGGATGGTTGTTGAGTGGTATCTTATGGAGTAGCACAAACAACGAAGCAAAGCAGCTGACAGCAACTACAGCAAGTATGGTAGAGAGCCAGCAAAAGAGGTTGGAAGCACGGAGGACGAGAAGAGGAAGAGAGGAAGGACGGGATGAACTGGAAGCTTGAGGGACGAGGGGATTTATTGTAATTCGAAAGCTGGGAGCTTGTAAGTAGCTGTGTCAGGGCTCGCTCGATACATGTATCAATGGATGGGCTGGTTCCCCCCGTCTTCACAACTCTGTTGTGCTTCGGCTGTAAGTAGATACTTCGTCTAGGCTGAGGTGTAGCAGTAGTCACAGTCTCATGGTAGACAGGCCCTGGCAAACATTCTTTCGTCCAGAGTGCGTAACGGGCCATGATCTGTGATTAGTAGGTACACCCCAGCTTAGACCGAATAATGGCAGACAGAGATAGACCAGACCAGGCCAGGCCAGATCCATCCGCCCATGTCCACCGTCCACCCTCAGTCACAGTTCAGACCAAGCCAATCTTGGTGTTGCAGATGGCCGGAGTGACTTGCTCAACGGCAGGGAACCCGCGACGACGATGCTGTAACTGGGAGACTGGAGGCTGGCGGCTGGAGCTGGGATTGAGTGACATGACAAGACAAGAGACGGAGAGCGAGGGACATGTCCACCCCTCGGTGTCATGAAGGAGGGGACCTTGTCTCCAGTTGCTAGCGCCAAAGTAAAGCATTTCTTGAGGGTCGTCTGTACCGGTGTACATCCATGGATGCAATTCACAGCCAGAGATGCAAGAAGGACGCGTTGCAGACGCCGCTGGGACGGTGAAGATTTGGCTCAGACGAAGCAGAGGATGGTGGTGGGATGGATGGATGGATGGAGGGGAAGAAGAGGGGGAGGGGTGAGACCGCGGAACATGTACCAAGGTACCGAGGTACAAGGTACATCCATACCTAGATACCTAGGTAGATACCCAGGCAGGTAGTTTCCCCCCCTTCCCTTCCTGCCCCCTCGTCCACTGACACTCCTCGATTGTGGTAGCTGCCCTGTCTAGGACAGGAGCTTAGGCCACTCTGCGATGTAAGCTGCACTACTCAAACAGCCGCTTTGTCGCGGCAAGAAGGACAAGAGAAAAAAAAAGAAGGAGCCTCCAGAGAGTCCAGAGGGGGAAAGAAGAGACCGAAGAAAGTCACCCCCCGAACGCTATTAGGTACACGATATGCCAATCAACCACCAAGCCGATGACTCGACCGAAAATGACATGCCATAACATGCAATGGAATGTCTCCCCGGCATTCGGCTTCTCGATGTTCATCTCCCACGTCCCACCTGACTGACGACAATGGCGGCATGGCATGGCTGATCCTCGCACTTGGGATGTCTGCAGTCCACCGCCTCGCTTTGCTGCCGTCCTTGGCATTAGGTTGAGACGGATGCAGAGCAATGTCACTCAAGTTCCATTTCCAAATGCCTTCAACTTGATAACTCCATCTTGAAGAGGAAAGTTGATAGAAAGGCCCGACAACCTGCCAAGGATCAAGGTGCGACAGGTACCCGTATTCAGTATCCATTTTGCGTAGGAAACGTCCATGAGAGACCAACCTGAGATGCTGATACCTCTTGGCTCTGCAATGCCCCCGCGAGAGAAACGCCGTGAAAGTCTGAAAAGAAGGACGCCTGCCCTGAGAATAGCAGCAAGACCCCCAATCCCCGCCCATCCCTGACCGAGATCTGTTTCCACCGGCTCCAGCCTCCGTCTCCGTTTATTAGGTCGTCTCCAGCCCGCCGGCGCCTTGACCGCAGCTCCTGAGACGATTGGTGAGGATAGCCAAGAGATCTGCCTTCAACAGAAACGACCCCCAAAGAAACACTGTTATCTTTAGAATATGGGACAGCCACATAGTGAACATGGCAAACCAGAGGAACCCCACGAGAGGCGTCTATCAAGACCCTCGAACACAAGGCCTGGACCTGAAGAATGCAGCCAGCAGTAACAGAAAATAAATAAATATTCTAAAAGTAAAGAAAATTGGCGGGGTCGCAAATCACCGCTAGACCAGAAGGAATTGACCAACCAGAGCCTGCCGATACAAAACAGCTCTATTCCGGTTGACTAACGGTTTCTCGAAGTGACAACTCCAGGACGGGGTTAGTGACATTGCCAGCATGACAAGTGCATGCTGTCTGGAAATGGGCAACATGGGAAACAGCAGACGGACAATGTCAGACAATACAGACCAAAGTGCTCATTCAGAAGGCTAAGGAGGCAAGACCAATTGGCACAGGCAGTATCCTGTGCAAACAAATGCAAATTAACAGCTGGACCTGCCAATTCAATGAACATCAGTATGGAAAGTACCCCGAGGAGTAAAATGTACCTTGTCCTTCGCGCCTGTCTTTTTCATCTTTTTTGAAGGTAGGTACGGGTGGTGGCGCCTGTCACAAGGCAATACCGCAATTACCATGAGCAACTAGCGGCAGGCAGGCCGACAGCACTGCACCTCACTCTTTCCTTCCTCAGTGCTCTCGGCTTCCCTTCCACCCTCAGGTACCTTGTAAGTTACCTTACCCCAAGTTGCCGTCTACCATGTCACATCAACTCGTCAACTCCCGAGAGAAAAGCAAAACAGTCGGCGAACTTCGCGATGCCACGAGCACTTCACGGCTTCACGAGAATAACTACATGGGTCTTACGGGCCTCTTGACTGCCGAAGCCGAGGATAACACGGCTTTGCGCCGTGTCCTTCGGGCGTCCGCCTCTTGACACCAGCACCACTGCCACCAAATCACCACAACTACCGGCTACTCTCTTTTTGCTTCGGGACAACTCGACGCGATATCAGCCTTTGATGGATAATCTTTCACCTGCTCGTCAACTCGTCCCTGACCTTTTTCGCCCTTTCTGCCCCGCGGTCCAATCCATTGCAGAATGCGGGGTGACTTTCACAGGGTTCATCCGTCCGGCGCGTCATGCTGTACTCGTGCCCCTTTATCATTGTTCCCGAGGCGTGTGCTAGGTACCGCCTACAGCCTACGGTAACGAGAGAGCAAAGGAGACCGAAGATATCGTCGACCTCGGTTTCTTGCCCCGAGGGACATGGCGGCGGCTTGACGGGTCACGGCTGCGTGCCCAGAAACGACGACAAGGCAGGCCACGCCGACCTTGGACCGGCCTGGTTATCCCACCTACCCGCCGACCAACCTCCGCCCACACTTTCTCTTCTTCAATTAGGGGGATGGACATCACCACATGTGCAACAGGCCAGCAGCAATACGCACGAGGCTACACGGGGAGTATGGAAGCGCACCACCCCCTCAGACCCTCCAGGTTCTTCTCAATCTTGACAAAACCACGCATCTCCATAAAATACTTGAGCGTTATTCCCGGTCCACTAGTCAGATCTCTCCCACTACCAACTCCAATCTCGCATCATTGGTTACATGACCTATCTGGGCTGTCCTAGACTCCTAGACCACGTTCGGGTCGACTCTACAACGTCTTTGAAAACGACACGACGAAGGGAGGTTGGAAACAGTGAATCAGTACAGATGCAACTCTTCGCATCAGCCATCTGATTCTCGACTCATCACACCGCCAAGGTGCCATGCTGGATCTCACTTGCGCTGCAAGTTCAAGGGCGACTCGGCCAGATTATCCTACGCAGCTAAGCCCGGACTACTGGGTAACCTACGATCCAAGACTCTTGGCCCCCCATCTGCAACAAGGCTATTTTTTCTTTCCGTTTCCTCTTTTTGTCCCCTCCAGATCGCGCAAGCATCCAAGCGGCGTTGGCAAGGCCGCAAAGCGCGAAGGAGCGAGAAAATTTGACATCAAAAATTGAAAACAAGCCCACCATGAGATGAGGATGACTCTCAACCCAGATCTGGATACTCCGACCTCGGCTGGTCCGGCATTTGGGCATACAAGCTTCTTGGTGAAAGAAACTGCGCACGTCTCGTCACGGCGTATCTTCAGTCCGCCACCAAACCGGCGCGTGGATGTCGATGGTAATAGCAATTAGCGATGGCTTCATGACATGCTGCGACATTTATTTCACCTGGCTGGCCCCCCCTTTCCTTCTTTAGGAGGAAAGGGTCTGCCAGCTTGCGTGATCGGCCTCTGTGTGACTCTTCCACGTCCGGATATCACAGGTTATTTGAGGCATACGCCGTCTGCGTACCCGCCCTGCACCCCACGATTAATAACGCCGGACTCCAGCACATGCGCGGTCCCAAGAGCGAAGATGGATCTGCACTCGGCCGGCCGTCCGGCGAGATCTGCGGCCTGTCCAAGACTCCAAGTGCCAGCAGCGAGGGAGGGGAGTGGGGGTCATCATGTCGGTGCTCTCGCAGTTTCGGAGAGGGCCACCATGTCACCATGCCACCATGCCATGGTGGTGCCCGTATGCAGTATCCACGACTCTCGCGGCTTTTTGGTCCAGAGGAGATGAGACGACACCCTATTTTTTGACTCATCGAATTTAGCTCACCCTGTGCTGTCTCCGGCCCCGGCCCTTGAAACCATGCGCGATTCGCCCGAAATAGGAGGGCTCCGCTCCGCTCCGTCCGTCAGGGCCGTCAACTGAGGCCCAGAAGAGCGGTTGATTTGGATCCTTGATGCGCGGAAGAAGAAGACAACGGGACCATTTCTTTTTTGTTGTGAGAGCTTTGAGAGTTCGGGTCAAGGCCCCGAGAACCGCTGGCCCACAGTCAAAGCACCGTCAAGACGACGGCAGCCTCCGTGCCCATTTTCATTCGTCTGCGGCTCGCCATTACTGCTATCCACCTTATTCAGGTCCATGTGGTAGTACCTTAGTCCAGGCTGCTTGCTTGGCTTGCAGTCCTTGACCCTTTGCTGCCAAGAATATCACTTTGACTTTTCACGATTCAGAGCTGCCACACTTGCCGGGTTCCAGAAACAGTTCGCTGTTCTATTCTACGACTTTGCGGGCCGCAATGAAGAGGCTCGTCCCCGAGTGTTTCCCCGGGGAATCAGGGTCCGTTTCCGAAAAGCAAAACAACAATGCAATGTGATGGTACAGAACCGCCAGCCACCGTCCGCCGCGGCTGGGCATTGCCACATTATGCCACGCTATGCTGTGCTGTGCTGTCGACGGGGATTCCCTCCTGTCAAGGCCTCACCACAGCCGTGGGCTCTTGACAAGCTCTCGGCGCTCTTTTCACATCAGACTCGAACCTCCCCTCTGCGTCGTCATTATGTTTGCGAGGGCCTTTCCGCACCCAGCCAGCAAGTGTTTGCCGCCTCATATCGCCCCCTTTCCAAGCTTCTCCCTCTCCCTCGAGTGAGGGTACGCATTTATTTGCCAATAGCCTCCTTGACCTTGGTCTCGACCTTGGCCTCGATGGCATCAGCCTTCTTCTGGACAGTCTCGAACGCGTCCTTGGTTGCGGAAGCCTCCTTTCCTCCCCAGTAGTTGTACTGCATGTAACGGTATCCCTGGGTAAGCTGGGCGCCCTCGTTGATGAAGTGGCACATGAAGAGGAGGTAGTTCTTGGGCGAGACGGCGAGGGAGTAGCGCATGAAGGTGGCAGAGTAGATGCAGAGAGCACCCGTCATCTGACCGGAAATCCTACAAAAAGGGGATGGTGTATCAGCATCTTATCTTGTCCGAGGAAGCGGGTGGCGGGGAGAGAAGGAAGGATTCGACGTACAGGTCGGGGGACTTTTGGGTGTCCATGACAGCGGCCAGAGGGATACCAAAGTTGGAGACGGGGCCCCAGAAGTCTGCGGTGCGTGACGGGTTAGCTTGCTACCCAGAGTCCATCTTGAAGCTATCGCGAGCGGCCGGCACCGGAGTATCGTAGTCCGTAAGCGCCGGGGGTATGGAGGGGGGCGGTCCGGCACGCCAATCGCGGCGATTTCGATCAAACAAGCTTCATCAATGATTGTCCGGGACTCGAGGATGCCATGCGATAGCTGGTGATAGCTTCAAGCAAGCTCCCTTTTCCCATTTGCTGTGTGGGATAATCCCCGCTAACTCCGGACAACGGAGCCGCGAGAGAGGGAAAAAAAAATTCGAGCGCGGGCAAGAACGTACGGGTAGAGCAGACATAGTCCGACACAGGGTTGGACCTGATCTTCGCGTTGATCGCCTTGACAATAGCAGCCATTTTGAATCTGGTGTTTGTGGTTTGGAAAGGGATTATCGTGACGGGGCAATTGGCAAGAGGTTGATCGGAGAGTGGAAGAGGCGGCGGCGGATAGTTTTCCAGGTTTGGATCGCGAAATTGTTGAGAGGCAGAGGGCGATGACCAAAGCTCCTTCCTCCCTCTACAGACAGACACTGCTGCTGCTGCTGCGGCGCTCCGAAATTTCGCGGGCGCGGACTGGACGTGCACTCTACGCTGGCACACTGTCTGGCACACTCCCGCGCACCTTAATCGGACGGGACGGGGACTCGCAACGGGCGCCTTTCTACTGGTTTGTTGCTGCTATTACAGTGCTGAAGGTGCTGTGGCTTCCCATGCTTCCCGGGAATAAAAGGTGGGCATTACACGGAAATGGTAGAAAAGAAAGGGTCATGATTGGATGGAATTTTGCAGGTTCGTTTGGAGGAGGGAGATGGGATGTGATGACTAAGGTTGCTTACCTCATATTTGAAGGTAAAGTGCGAACCTCGAGAAGGATGAGGATGAGGTTGGTGAAAGCCATTGTGCATGGTCAACTTACGGACAGAAAAGACTTGATGATTCTGGGGTATAACAATGCTGCGCATTTCTCGAGTTGTCCATATTGCGTATATGAGAGATGATAGAGCCTCAAGGGGTGCTGCTTCCAATGCCGATTTTTGACCTTTGGGTGGTTAACACAAAGAAGAGTAAAGTGAATGATCAAATTGATTTGAAAAACAAGAAAGAGGATAACTCATCCCTCTTCCGTCCACTTCTTTTTTCTGCTACCGCCATCAGGGTAGCTGGAACGGTCTTATCCGGAAGAGATGGTTCAAGGACGGCCAAGGAAACTAGATCAGGACTGCCGGAGTGGTGGATGGATCGATGTTTGGACGGATCTCTGCGGACTGAACCGAACATCTCGCATTGGAGCGGATGAAGCCGCGGATGGAAACAAAAAAACACGCCATTATCAGCCTATTTTCTGTAATCCTGTATCTACACCGCATACCTAACAGATCATGGGGAATCGTTGGCTTTAGTCCATTCATTTTGGTTAAAGATTTGGATCAGGTACCTATGCTGAGGGACATGATAGATCTGTCGTTGGTGAGTATGAAGTGTAGGTAGGCCATGGATCATAAAATTTGAGCCCCCATTTTGACGCGGTATCCGTCTCTCGTCTAGTTTTCTAGAGCTTGCACACGAGGCGCTTATGGAGTCGGTTCTATGAGAGTCTTCCCCATGTTGTATTGTAGATTGAGGGGAGCGGGTAAGGCTGATGGATTGGTGCGGATGCCGCATGCCCCCGTCCTCCTTTCTGCCAACATGCATCGGTTCTGCACCGCTTCAGTTTCAGGGTATAGCTTCTTTACGAGATGTATGTGCGCACATTTTCCTACACAATAACATTCAGTCCAGACTAAACCACGGATGAGGTGGAGGAACACCCGGGGCTTGCCGGGGTAAAACGAAAACGCGGGGAAGAAGCGGGATGGTGTCTCTCGGGGATACTTCGTGTGGAGTCCGGGATGTTCGTTTGCGGGTTGACACATGAGTGAAGAAGGGGGTTCGGATGAGATGGCTCGGGGTAGGTCTGGGGTTTCGGGGTTGACTTCGTTTCTGTTTTGCTTTAGTCACTCTTTGCTTCTTTGTTCATGCTGCCGTTGTTAAGGATGGGATGCCGTCGGGTTCGTAGCCGGGGAGGTTTGGGTTTGGTAGATGTGGCTCGGGATTGTATCGGCGCGTGCCCGGATTTGGTTCCGAGTAAGATTGGAAGATGGAAAGGTGCCCATCTTGATAGATCATTTAAATTGAGAGTAAAGGTAAGTTTCTAAGGAGATGTTTCTCTGCCGGGTTTGTGAGGTCCAGCTGGATTGAGCACATGGTAGTAAATGCTCATTGACCAGGGCTAGCTTGCTTGTGTTATCACGGTATCAGGCATATTGTGAAGTATTTAGCTAGGTTTCCCCATTAGGGTTCATCTGCCTGCGCTTTCTGATCTCGATAGACCTGAAGATGATTCTACATGGGGGCCAAACGTTCAGATTATGATTTCGGATGGGACATTCATACTGCTCTCTGATATCTAATATACCATAGGGCATGATCAATGGGCCGTTATCTGTTGGCCTGTCACTTTCAAGGCCCGGTTTATCAAGGATTGTCAGATCAACCTGAACCTTCTCCTTTCCTTTATCAACTTGGAAGAAAGAAGAGAAACCTCACTTTACTTATTATCTTCTACGTCAGGTCTATAAAGAGAATCTCTGCACTTCAGCGGTGGTATTTCAGAACACTGCAACCTCAAGAGACTTTCTGGCGCTGATCCGTAGCGGAGTCAAGCTTTTGGGGCATAATACATTGGTATTTAATGTCCTATGGCATGGCACCATGCGCAATCTCTCTCACAGATGTGTGCTTGAAGTTGAGGCTGGAAGTTGGAAGTCAAAGATCTGGAGGCTCGAGGTTCCATCCGCTTCGTCTCATTGCCAGACGAATACGTCGACAAGAATGACTTGCAGTTATGAACAAAGAATCAGAACGGAAGTGAAGCTGCTTTGAATAAAGTGGGAAATAAGGTCACCTGAGCGAACATTGCATTACTCTGCCAACAAGCTATGGCTTTGGCCTGGCCATCCTACCAATCCCCAGCAAGTGAGTGTGTGTCAACCCCAGCCTTGGAGGCCGTGACAAGCGTTTTTGTACGACACGAGTTATTAGCAAGTAAAGTCTTAAAATCCGCTCATCGATTTCAGACCTAGGGCACCTGGTGTGAAGGTCATTGTCAATAAATACGATTTCGTAAACGCACGCTATCCCCATGTGAAGTCGAAGTTGTCAGCACATGTTTATCCTAGGAAAGATGAACGGAAAAATGTTTTCCGTCACTTTCCATCCATGTCACTTTCTCTTTGGCAGAATGGAACCACCATGTCAGCACTTGAGATTGTCCCGTTTGCGTCCGCACCTGTTCGTCCTGTGAATACAAAGCAAACCTAGCTGAGGAGCAGTGCTGAAATTCTTCCTCCCCAGAGGATGCTGTCAAAGCATCATGCTCTTGCCATGACGGTCGCAGGAATGCGGTTAAGATTAGCCATTCTAGTGGGTTCCTCAGATGTGACTAGTAGGAGAGGATTCCACTCATAAATAGGTCTGGTATACCGTGAATGAATCCGGCGTTGAATCATGCCTTTGAGCGCTGTTCGCGGCATCACGTGGTAATACTCGATAATTGACAGGAGAGGTTGAATGTCAGCTTGCGAGCGTGATAGTCTTTCTCGAGTATGTTCTTGGGATAGGGGGCTTGGGTTCATGCTCCCTTGCCTTGATAAGACTTCGAGACCAAAGACTACGAGACCAAAGACTACGTTATATATCATTGCTTTTATTGTCTAAAGTCTTAATACCGGAGAATTCCTAGTAGAAAGATGAGTAGAGTAAGAAAGAAAGATATATAGAAAGAACTTAGCGACTTTGTCTGGTGTTACAGCTCAGAAGCTATATAAACCTTTATTTCTATTGTTAGCAGAAGATCATCTCCTTATCTCTATCTAGTGTTCTAAGGATACCTTACACACCGAGGAAATCGGTCTCGCAGCCTCCGCTCGCCATCAGGAATGGCTGCCAGATTTCTAGAAGGCCCACACAAATCGACAGCCTCATCCCATCTTCGCTCCTTCCCTCCCCAGCACTCCTCGCGTCAAACCTAGGCAGGCAGCTTGCCTCATATTCAGATCGAGGTCGTCATTCGTCAACCAAGCCCAATCGATCCTCATGGTCGAGCGGTATAACGCCCTGGTCCGTTAGTAAAGAACTTGGTATGAAATCTCGAGAAGTCAACGGATGGAGGATTTCGTAGGGGCCCAGTTCGATTTACGGACTGCGCACCCGAGCTTTTGCTTTTTTCCCTCCTTGACCCCTTCGATGCCTTCCTTCCCACAGATCTGATTGCTCAGGCAGCTTCCATTTGACTCAACAACTTGTGGGGGTCGAGCACATGGCGATATCTGGAGCAGCTGTTCAAAGAAGGAAGCTGACGATCGATATTGTTTACTGCATGGCATTATCTTCGTCTACAGTACTACGACTATATGATTCCGTAGACATCCTCTTCCATCACAGCTTGGTGGCGCCGGCGTTGCCATCCACCTCACCAAACAGCGTCATGAAGGCACCGTGGACCTCATCAGTCAAGTCGCTCGCCTGCAAGCTGCGGCCCTTCTTCAGGAAAGCACGTCTCGAACATTCCTATAAGCAATCAGTCAGCCACTCATTCATCCATCATCTCAGCAAACAATAACCCGACTTACCCTCGTGATAGCGCTCCCTCCAAAAGCAGCAAGCCTAACCAACTCATCCTCCTTGATTGCCTCACCACCCTTATCCCACAAACCCTCAAGATACGCATGCCTCCATCCCAAAAACGTCGCTATCGACCCCGTAAGCGTATCGCCCTGTCCACCGCTCCTCTTCAACCCGCCCTGCAGATCAACGACCAACGTATCCCTCCCATTCGAAATGAAGTCCTTGGCCCCCTTCTGCACAATAGTCACCCCCTCCAACGCCCTCGCCAGTGCCTCGACCTTGGCCGTCTCCTTCTCCTCTCCATCGCCGCTGGTCTCAGTCTTCACCTTCCCCTCATCGACCTCCAGCGCCTTACACAGCCGCGAGAACTCGACGACGTTGGGGGTCAACACAGCCAGCTCGTAACCCTTCACCAGCCCGGGATCCTTTTGCACGACGAGCAGCGCGTCGGCGTCGAGGACCAGCGGGATCGAGCGCTCGCGGGCGGCGCGGATGACGCGCGCGACGGTCTCCTGCATCAGCGGGTCGCGGCCGAGTCCGGGCCCGATGACGAGCACGTGTAGGCGGGCAAGCATGTCGATGATGGGACCCGAGATCTTGTCAGAGTCCGTTACTGCGGCGTCCGCCGCGTCTGATGGGGTCTGGCGCATGAGGGGGTGGACCATCAGGTTTGGCGAGTATGTCTTAATCACTGAAGCCGCGCCGGGAGTGCAGATTACGTGGGACTGTGGTTTCCGTTCTCATCTCAGTATATCATGAGGTATCCCGCGTTGCCCTGATGAAGCTGGGGAAGGCATGAGAGATTGGTTTGGGACAAGACTGAACTTACCATATCGCATCCTAGCCTGGCACTCGCCATGGCTGAAAAGTACGGCGCGCCCGTGTAATCGACACTGCCACCGAGAACAGCGACGCGGCCCAATTGTCCTGATACCAACGTGTAAGCAAGAGAAACCGCTTCAACTTTTCTACAATCGCATTGGAACTTGAGGCCATGGAATCATTCACCTTTGTGGAACTTCTCCAACATGGGCGGAATCATCCGCTGCACCCGGCTGAGAACATCTTTCGTTGCCGCAGACATGTCCGGAGTACTAGGGTCAGATGACATTATGAGGTTGTATTATTCACAGAGTACGGTTGAACTTGGGTAGTTGTGCGAGGGGCAATAACTTAAGTTGACGTTGGGAGCTCTGACAGCCAGATGATGTCACCTGCCGACATCCCGTACTTTTTGTGAGTTGACCCGCTAGGCGGCCGAGGCCGTCCTCAGAATCCGGCGCGCTCTTAACGGCCCGCCGTCCTCCTCGCGTTCCAAGTCCTACTGAGAGTCCGGCAAGATGATTTGTGAGCGGCAGCTGACTACGTCAACGACGCGGTAGCTCGCCGTTAGTACAGTAAAGGCACTGAAATTTCACGATTCGCAGCCGAGCCTCGTCTGCTTTGCTGTACGAACTCCCAGAAAACAACATATCACGGCGAAACAAATTACTGGGAACAAGTTCATGAAAGGACAAAAGGAATCGAGGGCGTTAATTGAGTCTTGAGCTCTATTTTACAAGTGGTTCGACTGGAGATCCTTCCCCAAATATCGCGTCCCCTGGTGCTTCCCTCGGACCGGCGCAAAACCCTCGAGATTTCCTCACGCCTCTAGGCAAACAAAAACTTCGGTATAGACAGCTACATCAACCCCGAGCGCTCCCAGTCGGACCATTTATTATGTCAGGTGAGACTTAAAAATTTAGCCCAGGAAGCTCTTGGTGAAGGTGGTGATGACGTCCTTGAGGCGGGCCTCAAGGTCCTTGCTGAGAGCACCCTCCTTGTCGATGGTGGCAATCAGGTCGGACTCGTTGGTGCGGAGGTGGGACAGGAAGTCAGCCTCCCACTGGAGGATCTTGGCGACGGGGACGTTGTCAAGGTGACCGTTGACACCAGCGAAGATGAGGGGAACCATCTCGTTGACGGCCATGGGGGAGTACTGCTTCTGCTTGAGGAGCTCGGTCAACTTTAGAGGTATTAGTTAGTACTTGTCACGAAAGGAGGTACCGGTGCTTTGTCAACTTACGCGTTCACCTCTGCTGAGGGTCTGCTTGGTGGAGGCATCCAAATCGGAACCGAACTGGGCGAAGGCAGCGACCTCACGGTACTGAGCCAAGAAAAGCTTCAGGGAACCAGCGACTTGCTTCATGGCCTTAAGCTGGGCGGCGGAACCGACACGAGAGACGGAAAGACCGACGTTAATGGCGGGACGGATACCCTTGTAGAAGAGCTCGGACTCCAAGAAGATCTGGCCGTCGGTAATGGAAATGACGTTGGTGGGAATGTAGGCGGAGACATCACCACCCTGGGTCTCAATGACGGGAAGGGCAGTCATGGAACCACCACCAAGCTTGTCGTTCATCTTGGCGGCACGCTCGAGAAGACGAGAGTGGAGGTAGAAAACGTCACCGGGGTAGGCCTCACGTCCGGGGGGACGACGAAGCAGCAGGGACATCTGACGGTAGGCAACGGCCTGCTTGGACAGATCGTCGTAGATGATGAGGGAGTGCTTGCCGTTGTCACGGAACCACTCAGCGACGGAGGCTGGAGGGATATGTTAGTCTCATGTCTTCTGAAATCTTGACTAAACTGCATGAGTGTTTACTTACCACCGGTGAAGGGAGCGATGTACTGAAGGGGAGCGGCCTCGGAGGCGGTGGCAGCGACGACGATGGAGTACTTCATGGCGTCGTTCTCCTCAAGGGTCTTGACGAGCTGGGCGACGGTGGAACGCTTCTGACCGACGGCGACGTAGACGCAGTAAAGCTTCTTGGTCTCGTCGTTGGAGTTGTTCCAACGCTTCTGGTTAAGGATGGCGTCGAGGGCGACGGCAGTCTTTCCGGTCTGACGGTCACCAATGATCAACTCACGCTGACCACGGCCAATGGGAACCATGGCGTCGATGGACTTAAGACCAGTCTGGACCGGCTGGTTGACGGACTTGCGAGGCAGAATGCCGGGAGCCTTGAGCTGAGCACGGCGCTTCTCCTTGGCGTTAAGGGGGCCCTTGCCGTCAATGGGGTTACCGAGAGCGTCGATGACACGGCCGAGAAGCTCGGGACCGACGGGAACATCGACCTAGAGTGTTGTTAATAAACATTGACCGTGGTCGAGTAAGCAAGTTGAACCTACAATCTCTCCGGTACGCTTGACAGTCTCGCCCTCCTTGACCAAACGGTCAGAACCGAAAAGCACAACACCGACCTGGCCGGCCTCGAGGTTCATGCACATGCCCTTGACGCCGGAGGCGAACCTATAGGTGAAAGAGTTAGACGCGATGCATCCCCGAAGTGAGTAAAGGGCGCTTAACGTACTCGACAAGCTCCTCAGCCTGGACGTTGGCCATGCCGTGAACACGGGCGATACCATCACTGTTGTTCCCTCGCCGTTAGCAAAAAACTTTTTCTTGGTGCCGATGAGTTGACATGCGAGCTCCTCGTGCAGTCCGATGATGCATTGAAGCTTTTCTGATGGTGGCTCGCGATGCCGAGAGATTCCGCTTAAACGTACCCGACGGACAGGACGCGGCCGGTCTCGGCGAGACCAGCCTCCTCCTGGACACCACGAATTCTCTGCTCGAGGATGGAAGAAACCTCGGTCGGGGAAGCCTTGGCCTCGGCGTATGTGCGAGTCTGCATGTTGAAGACGGCGGGTGCGGCATTTCGGGCCTGAGGGTGAAAAAACAGGTTAGCCGAACGGCCGAAAATGTTATGGGCGGCTCCCGCCCCAAAACAGCAACGCATCCCCCAAGGGAGCTCGATGAAAAGCTCTTCCACGCCAGCAACGCGACTCCCGCGAGGTCAAAAAAGCTCGGAGGGACCTAATTGGATATCGCGGAATCGATTGCTGATGTTTTTGGATGGAATTGACGTCGGCTCGGGAATGGGGAGGTTGACGGAAGGTGTGGACTTACGGCGGCGACTCTGCCGGCAGCAGAGACGGCGCCGACGGCGCGCGTCGACTGGCGGAGGGCGTTGCGGAACATATTAGAAGATCTTGGACACTGTCTAGATCGAAGGAGAATCAATTGCAATAGATGCAATTGAGTGGAGGGGAGATTGGGGTTGATGAAGGTGCCTTTGAAGGAGTGCAAATCGAGTCTTTTTTGGAAGAAGCCCAGTGGAGGGAAAAGAGAGTGAGGAAGCAGTGGAGCCGAAGCTGTGCTGGCCGGCCAATCACGGTGGGTCGTCGAGTTTTGCCTCAGTCCAACCCGAGATCTCCCTAACAATTTCCGACCACCGCATACGTGCCCGTCGTGGCCCCGTAACCCCGTGAAATGCCTGACTTACATAAGACAGGGGGAAAAGACGCTCTGGCATTGACAGGTCTTTAACGCGCTGGGAAGGACGATCTAATCTCAACCGAAAGGAAGGGGGACTGGGCCCGACTGAGAAAAAAAATAAAAAATAAAAATTGGTGCCAGTCTGGCTTTCTGCCGCACCCATTGAGTTTGCGATACAATAGCTGTCACCATCCATTGCGATACCGGGACTTTTCATTCATCGCGCCCCGGTATTTCTCTAGGTATCATGATAGCTTCAATTATCCCTTGACCTTACCTATTCTCAAATCTGCATGCATGCGCTGTTCTCTTAGTCCAGGTAGCTTCCCGGTGTTGTCCCCCCCTTCCCCGGCATTTTGGGTGCAGAGCTCTCCACCGTGCCATTCCACTCTCTCGAGGAATGCCAACCTCTCCGACTTCCACGCACTCATTGAGAGACCAGAGGCACAGGACACAGTGCACATAGCCGGAAGGCGTACTGAAGCTGTGGGACTTTGGTGTCTCCGTCCGGCCGGGAACACCGAGCCTGACCGCCTCGGAGCAATGTGAAATCCGAGTCGCATTTCTGCCGTCAGCCTCTTAGTCTTACCCGCCGTTGAGCCTTGAGGCCAAAATCGAATCTCAATGCGACATTGGTCACGTGCAGCCACAAGAGGCGAGGCCAAATCTTGGCAAGGAAAATCGGCTTACCACTTCACGCGATGGGAGACTTGAGCCGTGAGTACAGTATTGTAGCTTATTTGGACTAAAATAGACTAGCTAAACCACCAACGCCTAGGCCGCTCCCATATCGAGGGCCATCGTCACCAAACAGAATCATGAGCAGCATCACGGTAAGAAGGAACTTGTGTTGTAAGCCGGCATGACGCCGGTCGGTCTCTGAGGCCGCGGCTTGACTGAATTTTTGCTCAAGTCAAGCATGTTGTATGAACAACTGCTGGAAAGTACATGCCTTGTAAGCCAGTTTCCCATTTTTCGCCAACCGTTAACCCAAGCCGTCCCAGTGTCTTTTTTCGTTCGTCGCAGGAAATGAAAGCATTTATCGGACAATGCCATCGAAGCGAGACTTGAACCACTTGACGGTCTCGTCACGCTTGATGCGGTGGCCAGAGCCGATGCGGCCCTTGCAGCGGCGGCGGGTGCCGACGCGCTCGCCCTTGCGGGTCATGCAGACGTAGAAGTCCATGCCGTAGATACCGATGGAGGGGTCGTACTTGATACCGAGATCAATGTGCTCAGAGATACCGAATCCGAAGTTGCCGGTCTCGGAGAAGTTGCGCTTGCGGAGCTCGTACTCCTTGACCTTGAGGCCACGCTCGAGAATCTCCTCAGCCTGTCATCATCAAGTCAGCTCACCATCCTTCCTGCGCAGTTTCGAATCTCGCCAAAATTGTCGTACCTTGGGGCCACGGACGGTGACGTGGACAGCAATCTTTTCGTTACGGCGGATACCGAAGGTACGGACGGTGTAGCGGGCCTTGCCTGTCGGGTACTGTTAGTCCATCGTTTCTTGTCGTGGGAATTTTTGGTGATGCCGTACTGTAGACGGGGGTTTGACCGGACAGCTGCTCCAAAACCTTGGCGGCACGGGTCAGTCTGTCACCAGACTCGCCGACGGAGATGTTGAGGACGAGCTTCTGGATGTGAAGCTCGCGCATGGGGTTCTGGGCCTTCTCGGACGACATTTTGGCGGTTAGTACTGCGGTACGGCTGGCTGGGCGTTTGGTGTCGATTGTCGATTGTCAAAGTGGGAAAAAGTTCGGCGCCAATTGGCAAAAAAAGACTTTGTGTTTTGGGGGGTTTGCGAGCCCTTGCAAGGAAGGTGGGTGACGACCCACTTGGAAGCGGCGCGCTTGCCCACGTCTTCAGCCACAATGATGAGCCACAGAAGCCTGAGTGGATGCTTCCATTCCATAAGCCACATCAAGCTACGTACCGATGCAGAGCATGGAGGGTCCCGTCGTTTGGCCTCAGCCTTCCAAGGTTCCCTCAGCCTCCCGAAATTTGTCTCCATATCCTCTGACTGCTGAAGCTCTGCCTATCGCAAGCATCAAACGTCGCCTTGAAGTCTCTCAGGCTTCGCAACAAGCATAGCATCAATTTTTTGAAGACTTAGAGCAGCTACGAAAGTAGCTACTCACACAGGCATCAGTCAAGATGTCGAACAAACAGGGCAAGATGGTGAGCAATTCCTGATCTTTCTCTCAAAGTTTCAAGGTTGACAATACAGGCTGACACGAAGTAATTCATCTCTAGGCCGGTTACGTACGTACTTTTCCTCGAGATTGACCCGACGATCGACTTCGACGACTGCACAGAGAACTGACTGACGCGACTTAATAGATCAACTACCGCATGAGGGTTACCTTAAACGATGGCCGCCAGATGACCGGACAGATGCTTGCATTTGACAAGGTGCGCAACCCAAGTCTACCCTCAATCGCGTCTCTACAGCCATGCTGACATGATGTACAGCACATGAACCTCGTCCTCGCCGATACCGAAGAGTTCAGACGCGTCAAGATTAGACAGAACAAGCCTGCCGCCCCTGGCGCTAGCTCCAGCTCCGGCCAAACGATCGAGAAGGAGGAGAAGCGAACCCTCGGCTTGACGATTGTGCGCGGCGCACACATTGTCTCCCTTTCAGTCGAATCAGAGCCGCCCGCAGACCCCAGTGCACGACTCGGAAAGAGCGCGCCTGGCGGAATTTCGGCCGGTCTCACCGCTGGTCCTGGTGTTGCGCGTCCCGCCGGCCGCGGCGCCGCCCCGGCTCCCCCGTCACTGGCCGTTAGTACCTCACCAATCTCCGTTCATGAGCTTCGGACGCTGACTTTTGACATAGGGCCCTGCTGCTGGTGTTGGAGGTGGTGCTCCTCCCGGATTCCCTGGCTTCCCCGGTGCCCCGCCTTTCGGTGGACGTGGTGGTGAGTACACATACCCCTCTGACCCGCGAATGCGCTTCTCACGCTTTACAGCTCCTCCCCCGGGCTTCCCCGGTGCCTTCCCGCCCCCGGGCTTCCCTCAAAACGCCCCCTTCCCTCCTCCTGGTTTCAACCCCGGCCCTCCTGGCGGAGCCCCGGGCTTCAACCCTCCCCCGCGAAGATAGACTACGGATAAAGATATCGATACCTCGCATGCTTTGTAGTTGGAGGATGGTTCACGGATACCATTGGCGTTTGGGGATGAATGTCAAGATTACGAACAAAAAAGAAATCGGGCAGAACAGGCACGTTGTTAATCGGCCTCCTCTCTACCCCTGAACAAGTCATAGGTCAACTTGCCAACCTATACTCGTTGGATTTGCGGAAAGAAATGGGCAGCATGGATTCATTCGACAGTTCTTCAAGTCTTTTCGAGGAGGAGCATAGGTAACCGGCGATTGCTGTGATATCAATACCTAGGCAGCACAATATTCACCACAACGTACCACCTCATTACCATCCCCCCAACCGCTAACTTGGTTCTTCATGTTGATTTTGATGTGATTCCTGATTGCAGAATGGCGTCTTGATGATCTGTGTGCTTCTCGGACGGTTAGATACTTAGTCAATTGCTGGCTGAACATAAACAGCCTATCAACACCTCCCATCTGGCACAACTGTCGGGGGTGGCGTTAAGCATATCCGAACAGACTTAGAAGAAATCGATGGAAATTCGGGGGCACTTAAAAGCGGGATCGCAATCTACCTTACGGGCACGGTATGTTCATCGGCACACTGCAGATGGGTTTCCCTTCTCGGAGCATCCGTTTGTTTGATGGCATATCCTCAAATACATGCAGATCCGTGTACAGAGATCAAACACCGCACATGATCAATGGGATACTGGAACGTAAACAAGACTATATTTGCTCTCAACAAGCCTTAAAGCCCAATAATTTGCATTCTCATTCCTACACATGCTACGAGATATTGCCCCTGACGCAACCTTTGCGAGAGGGCCATGAGAGTGCGTCTATCTAAGTTCGGATAAGGTAAGGTAGGCAAGGTAAGGTAGGTAGTCCGGGTTGGAAGTAGCGGGTGAATATTGACTGTGCCTTCCACCTGAATACCCAGGAAGCCCATATATACCCTCCCAAGTCCATTCCTGTCACCAGCCAGCAGGCGCCCGTCTAGGTCGACGGGTCAGGTCAAACTGGCTGGGTGGTGGAGTGGTTAATGGTCAACAATTAAATTCTACACCAACCAGCCTACTCGACGACAGGCTCAGCGCACACGAGTACCGAGTTCGAATCCCAGCATAAGCACCCAAAATTTCCCAGCATGAGCACCAAGAGATGTAGCCCCCAGTTCAGCACCGGGGGGGTGAACTCTTTTTGGTCTTCTCTACGTGTTGATGCTTACTTCATGCGATTACTTCAGAGTAACATTTGTCCCTTCCTAGCTAGATGTTTGGTGAAAGAGCGGTCGTTGCCCTTGCCTTCCTTGCAAACGGCAGGTGCATGATCCCGTCGTCTACATGAGGTACCTCCCTACCTGCCTACTTCAACTCTCCCACGTCGTCCCAGACTTTTCCATCTTCACTCTGTTTCCATCTTCACTCTATTCCCCTCCGCTACCACCTCATCATTTCTTGTCTTCGAGCACCTTCTCGTACCTGAATCATTACATACAACGGTCTACTCGCCTTCACGATCTCAAACCGTCGGTACACAGGTCCTTCCTAAAAGACCTTCACATCAGCAACATGGGTCGTTGGGGATTCCGTATGATGCCCTGCCCTTCCCTTTGTTGTACTCTGCTAATTAGTGACACGCCAGGTCTTTTCGAGGGCGACGAGGATCTTGACATCGCCGCCGCAATCAGAGAAACTTTCGGCGATGGTCCTGAGCAGCTCAATCTCCCTCTCATGATCAATCAGTCCGACATGCTGGCTCCTATGGAAGCGAGAGAGTTCTATAAAACAGAGGAACACGCACAAGTCCTACGCGGTCTCGTCACAGAAATCCGAGGACGGCTTGACTCTGGAGTCGGTGACGAGCTCTTCAAGAAGTATCGAGCCCTCGAGCACGAGTATCAAGGTCAGTATCGGACCATCGTGGTCGGCGCTTTGATGATGCGTGCTGGAGCCAAGATCAAGGCCGACGACTTTCAGCATCTACGTGACCTCGTTCCCAAGATACCCTGCCAGTATCGCTTTGCCATGCCGATTGTGGACTTTGGCTTCCGTGATCCCGGAAAGGCGCAGTTCCTTGCTGCACTTGACAACTACCAGCCGGGAACGCCTCGAGACTTCCACGAGCCAAGGCAAGTCTAGCCAGATTGTCCGTACGAGGCATCAGCTGACAACTTGGGCTTAGCTGCTTCCATTGCGGCAGGATTCGCGCAGACCATGGAATCAACTTGAAGAAATGCGGCCATTGCCAAGCCGCCTGGTACTGCGGCATCGTAAGTTCTCCATGGGTTTGTTGGAAAACTAAAGCTGATGTTCCCAAAGGACTGCCAGAGGGCCCATCGGAAGATCCACAAGGTTTCGTGCAAGAGTCTTGGGGAGAAGGTTCTTATCAATGTCTAGGACCTTGTGACGAACAGATACCAGTCTTTACCACTTTTACAATGCCATTGGGCTTGGTATTTCTGCCGCGGTTAGCAAGTATCTGGGTGGATAGTATGAGACGCCAGCGTTCGGCTGGTGTGAGATGAGACCAAAGATATGGAAGGAAACGGATCTTTCTCGAAAAGCTATAGTCTACATGCTGGACGCGAATCGACAGATGAGTTAGACAGACAGAAGAAGATTCAAACGAGAAGTTTAGGACCAAACTTTCACATTGTGAACCGCCTTGTAGTCGTTTACTCAAGTGCTTGGTCCGAAGTAATCGAGGGCGCTGAGTAGTTCTTCGAACTGGGGGTGCGCAATGGTAGCTAGATAGCATCAGAAAGTCTTCAATGATCATTTCCGAGACACTAATGAAAAGAGACATATCTCATAGCTGGTCTAGATATTTCCTCGGGCCACTTAGAGATGAGTAACAAGTTCGACTGGTCAGGTTCCGCATGAAACACCCAAGAACAAGACGTTGACAGGCAGTATGAGAGCAAGTAATGGAGAAATGAAGATGTGCCGAGTGTTTCGCACGTTATATCGAGTCGTTGTTAGATACACTCATGTTAACAACCTCATTTTGGCTTATCCCAAAGACATTGGAGATCCTGTCTACCACTAGAATGAGGCTCCTTAAGATTGGTATGGTATTGCCACACTCGAACCTAACAACAGAATCCCCCAGGAACAATAGAGCTCGACGACTATGCTACTGTTCTTAGCTTGTCTTTCCTCGTTGAGGTCCCAAGGATCCATGGCAGGGAGTTTGATTCGTTTCCCACGTCAGTGTGACTGACCTATTCTGCGCTGACTCCGCTGTCATGGAATTGAGAGTGAAAGATGACTTGTATTCGTCGACGTAAAGCTTGGCCACTGGAAGGAAGAAGGGAGCTTCGCGGAGAGAAGAGAAGTAAAGATCATTTCACTTCTAATCCTTCCATAAAAAGGTCAGAAGAATCAAAGCAAATCAGCCAGACTCACTTCATCATACCTATTCGACCGTACAAAAGCAATGTAGGAGCAACATCACCGAGGGCAGAGTATGTCTACCTAGGAAGTCAGCCTTTAACATATCTCCTCATCTCGACATCTCCAAGATGACTACCATCCATAGTAGATATATCCTCGATTCACATGGTTGACGGAAGCTCTGTTATCGAGTATGGACCCACGGTGTACTCCCGCTACTTCTGGAACGATACTCACACAGCACTAACATCAAGACACCAACATGGTCTTTATATCTCGTCACAAGTTCTAAACGTATGCTAAGTACAAAGTCGAAACACGCCGTCAAGATACGTGAGTCAACCGCCAGCGTAATGGCCAAGAGTCCGCTCGCCTCGGGCGTCAGTCAGACACCAGAATGCTCTACCTGGCACGCCTGAACAAATAGCTTCCCACGACGAAACGAAACGTCGGTTATCAAGCAAGACCATACTAGCAAATGGTGAAATCCATGGTCCGTATCGCTTAAAGATATGAGAGACAGACGACTCCTTCTTCCCCATCCCTTCCACTCCCTTCCCGAGTCCCCGCCGAGCACAGCACAACGCTCGATAGTTCATGCAAGTTCAACAATAAAACGTGGGAAAGGGAAAGGAAAAACAAAACGATCTTCTTCTGTATGGCAAGACAAGGAGGTCCAACCGTTCAAACGTGGTTTCCAGGATTTAAATCGGATATATCATCCCTTTGCATATATCCCGTCATCTAAAGCTTTCTCTCCCTGCGTAACTCGCTATCAACGGCCACGGCGCCGGGGGCACCGGGGGTATATTGAAACGTTGTCACTCTCATTTCCACAACTTTCTCTCACCTGCCTCCCTGTCACAGCATTCGCGCAAGATTACATTGTCTCTCTTACTGACCTACTCACTCCATCCCAGAGCACGCGCCCGTTGGAACGGTTGCCACTGCACAAACTTTTCCATTTTTTGTCTCAGCTTGGGTCGCTTCGGTTGTCGACTACGCACTCCCCCCATGTGGAAGAGGAAAGCGATGGATCAATGGTTTTGCGTTTGTCTGGGGCTGGAACCCGCGTGGAGATGAAGACATTTTTCTGTTCAGTTGGTGTCACACGTCGCGTGTTCGCGTGTCGAAGCTTCTCGAGGTCGTTGCTTACGAGCCAATGCTAGCCGTCCCGGCTTGTCGGTTCCACGAGTGAGAGAACGTGGATACGAGATCCGCTTGGAGCACGTCTACCTCTGTGATACCAAGAATGGAGATTACCTTTTTTTCCGGCAGCAACCTCGTAGGCTCGACTTGACGTTCTAGATCTCGAGATCTTGGCTACCTTTGATTGTTTATATGCCGGATGGGGACTCCCGTCCGTCAAGAATCGAGATATTAGTCAGGTTGCTTTTCGACTAGGCGACGGGAATAGCCTGTGGCTTGTTAGTACGGCCGTCGTGCTCCAAGAGACGTACGTCCGTGAACCTCCGCCAGGCGATGGAAGATTCCGGAAAGGCTTCGACGGGAAGAGCACTAAGTCGACAGCGAGAGGGCCCAGACTCCAGGGCCGACTACCTACCACAGTCGGAAGCAGACGCCCAGTATCCCCGGCCACATCGGCCGCAGCGTACCTGCACCGACGGTGTGTAGGTCTTGCTGCTGCAAATGTCTGCAAGCAGATGGACACCATTGGGAGGGGCCGCGCCGCCATGCATTCCCGGAAGCTGCACGACGGGGAAGCCGGTCTCGCCGGTGTTCAATTCTGGAGCAACATCTCCTCGAGCATGAGGGTATCTGGACCGGAACGTCCCCGGACCCCGGTCGTGATCCCACGTTGTGATGTAGGCGAGAGCTTGCTGCACCCCTTGCATCGCCAGCTCTGCGTGGTGATGGAGGCCTGCCGCCACCGACATAAGCCTTCGTCGTCATCCAGCACGGAGAGGCGACTTTCTGACTCGAAGGCTGGTAGGTACATACACATCCTGCTATGGTTTTTGCTTTTGCGAGGAATCGTTTTCCTGCTAATAAGCTTAGGAGAAACACGTTTAATGTCTCTCTTCTGGGGGCTTGGCCGATAGACAATCGACGAGAGCGGGTGGCCGCAGCAAAGCTCGTGGCTTTCAGGGTTGGAGGTGGGTTGCTTCCGATATTGCCATTTCAAATCAAAAGCGATGGCCCGAGATCGCTGCTACCCGTGCGTCACAGAGTGTCGAAAGGTGCCGAGAACGGTGATGTGCCTTCGGTAGTGATTGGCGATGAGATCGTGTGGCTGGCTCGGGAGGGTGTGGCTGTCTGATGGCCCGATGATGCACTTACCACGACTGGCGACATCTGCGATTGAATGGGGAAATCTAGCCGTTCATAGTTAACTCGGCAAGATATGACAAGAGATCGGGTTAGCGAAAGTGTGGGAAGAACCTACTAGGCTCATCCTCCGTGATACGAGAACAGCCAATGTGCTCTGGACACACAGTACGACTACTATATGTTACGGCCGCCCGCAAGGACCCGAAAAACCTTGGACGACCGAAATCGTGGTGGTATTTTGTGTAAGCCGAAGAGGAGACGAGCTGAAGAATTTGTAATGCCTGTCACGCGGGATAGAAGCTCATGGAGCCTGGCTTGCCTGGATAGACAGTTGTATTTGGTGATATGACATTGATGCTTAGCCGTATCGCAGTCTTGTAAACCTGTCGATCCATCCGTGAACCATATGCAATAATTGACGGCAGATGATCTGATTATGTAGAGCGCAATGCCAACTGCTTTGGGACCAACGTCGCATCAGGTCCAGGAGCAAGCACTCTTTGAGTACCTTGAACGGGAGGAAAGGCGATGAACAGCTGCAAGACTGGGCTGGCGACCTCCGCCAAGCTGGGTTGCTGTCGTTGACTACTACGAAGTCCTTACTCCTTTTTCTGTCATTGAGAAGAATATTGACAGGGCCAGTACGCGTTTCAAGTGATTGGCAGCGACATTACGGATACAGTGGACAGGAAATATCGACTTGAACTCGCGAGTCGCGGACAAAAGTAAGTAATGCCCACGCCCGAAAAGTTGCATGACACGACGGTCAAGTTATCATGCCTCGGAGTCATTGCTTTTTCCTCTAGATGCTGGTTGCCTCGCGCAACACCTACTATGCAGGTCTCAAGTCTAGCAGTAGGTAGGTATTGGAAACCTCATCTTTATCGGATGCACAACAGAACAGCCGCGGTGACTTTCGCCACGCGATACCTCAGAGAACATCATGTTGTTAGCCGCTGTGTAAAGTGTGCCATGGGTCTCTTTCCTGAAGTAATTTGCAGCACTTTTACACCTGCTTTGCCTCTTGTCGACAGCTTACGAAGGGCTCACCCAAAATCGGCGCCATTGGGTGGCTCACGAACTGGCTAAATCACTTGACCTGTGAGGGAGGTGGCAGAGGCGGTGTCCACACCGAAGTCGGAAAAGCAAACAATCGAGACTGTGGCGTATCTTCGCTTGACGGCACCGCCATTACTAGTACTTGTGTATTGGCTGACGCCGCCATGGCCAATCACCAGCCCTCATGATTTCTGGTGTCTTCCCACTGACGACGGTCAATTGGATGAGCTTGCCCCTCTCAGGTCGGACTACCTAAGATGCTTTGGCGACCGTCGACTTGCATCCGGAAGCGTGAGTGCGGCGTCCGGAGGGTTTGTCTCAGTCATCAGTACGATGTTCCCGTACTGGAGCGGGTCTGCCCTGTGATCGAATGAGAATCCCGGAAATGGTAAAGCTGCTGATGAAAATCCATCGGAAAATCGTCCATTGATGAGAGGTCAGAGCCAGGATTGGGTGAAGTTATGCCAAAAGAACTGCCCATCGTGTGGTCGACGATGACCTGGGACCACCAATGTGACTAGACCGCTTCCATTTTAAACTGACTTGAGTCTCGAAAGCGGGTATGACGGTAGGAGTGAGGCGACGACCCAGCTTGCCAGCATCTGTCAGCTCTGCATCGTATCCTAGAGGAAGGACACGACGTCGTTTGTGTCACATGAGGTTGCGGTAGGCACGGGCTGTCGAGCCGCGACCGAAGAGCGGCTCCGACAAAGGTAGGTACGTCCCTGTTGAAGACGAGCTCGGGCATTGGCATCAAGCTGCGGCATCCCGGTCAGCCGAAGAGTTTCCAGTTCTTGAAGAGTCTTCCAATCGGGCTTTGCGAGCAGAAGTTGCTTAGCGACACCTGTTCTAGGCGTTTTTTCCCATTACTGTTGACGAACCCCCCTTGCGCAAGACGCTGGTCAAGCTGGTCTGCCCCTTGCGTTTGGAAGTCCTCCCTAGACCCGCATTCGCAACATGAATATGGCTTCGTGGCTCAAGGTCGCTGGTGTCACGGGCCGATCTGCGAGCGGGGTGGCTTCCAGCCTAGTCGAATAGACGTTTAAAAGCAAAAAACTGAGAGATTTCTGTGACAAGAGCGGTTGGCTGTGCCCGTTCCGACATAGGACTAAAAATCCAGGGACTCCTCTGGGCAAGGATCTCTGACTAGAGAAAGGGGCGGTTTTTTTTCATTCAAGCCGATCAAGCTCTTGGATCTGAAGTCTGGACCCTGGGCCGGGACGTTTCGCGGCCGTAGTCTCGTCTCGTCAAGAAATTCAAGCCATTGGTGGCTGGGCTGTCAACTAGGAGGAAGCTTCGTGACTGCATTCAGCAATGAAGGTTTATGACAACGTCCCAGCTAGGAAGCGGAGCTGAGGGAAGATTTGATATGGAGACGCTGCCGAGGGCCCAATTCTTGAAATCCAGTCGGGGAAAAGCAGCGCCGGAGGGTAAATTGCGTGTTGGGACGTTGACAGAAATGGGACGCTTCCGATGCCAGGGTGGCATCCCGGTGGATTTTCTCTGGGTCAACTTGGTGTTGCCAAGTTGGAGACAACAAAGAATCGTCCACTCGGCCTTGATATCCGTACTTTGTAATGATACGGGAAAGCCTGGAAGTAGGGCATTGTGTAAGAGGATGCAAAGCTTCCTTCAACTGGCCTGCTTGCACCCTCATAGTGCTGGTTTATTGGCTCGATGCAGCACCCTGCGGTCATTGTGGCTGCAATGAGGACACTCATCTGATGTTGACAAGTTTTGTGTGTTCGCATTAGCGGCGGCGATCTTTTCGGTGATGCCCTCAGAGGGTTACAGGTAACAGAAGTAGCGCGGCTGCCAGGTCGGCCTCGAAATCGTTCGTCGTGTTGCCCTGGCCATGCAATGCGCCAATTATCTGCCACGACTTTGCGCTCTGACGACAGTGCGAGTCGTGTCTGCGGGATCAACAGGCACGAGGCAGTGGAAAAAGTGACAGCCAGTGTTGAAGACGACGCTCGAGCCCGGTTGCATGCAAGCGAGAAAGGTTGCACAGGGTGCTGCTGTCAATATTTGACGGCGTTAAGTCCAAGCTTCCGTGATGGTGGAGAGAGCCGGGATGAGGAGGCCGATCACAGCGGCATCATATCAAACTAGGTGCGGACTGGCACAATTCGTGACTGGGTCAAGCTGCCCGAAGTATGCCTGAATCCGGGGGTGCAACTCTCAACGTGTCTGAAAGGCTCGCCAGATGTCGTGCATGGCGTTGCTTCACGGCGAATGAAGTGCGTAATCGTTTAAGAAAAGGCTTATTCGGTGCCCAATACATGGCGACATGGTAGAACAGAGCTATGATGCGACGTAGGTATCAGTACCAGAGACTCGTGAGGTTTTTCTTTGAGTTGAGGCTATCTCATGTCATGCGTCTCGCATCTTGTCGGGATCGACCTCTGGCGGGTGGCGTCTAGGCTGTTTGCGACGAGATACAAGACGTAACGGCCGTGATGGGTTTGATAGATGGCAGGAGTGGCTGGTGGATGTCGCTCTCCCCCGCCGACAGATGACAAGCAAACCTGCTCGATACTGACAAGGAAGGTCACTGTGTTACACAGAAAGACTCTGGTGACTAACGGAAGAGGGTCCGAATTCAGCCTCGAAGCGGCGGAAGTGATTGGCTCTCGAGAAGTCGAGCATGGACGACGGCTCGAGAGCCAAAGGGAAATTGGGGGACCACTGAGGAGCTGGTACTGAGGTTGGTTTATCCTGTTTTCGTGTTTAGGTGACGAAGATAGGGTGACGATGCGCGATGAAGGATCGGAAGGTCGTTGGGGGGGAATCGATCATATTGGCCCGGTAGTGGAATAAGAAACGAAACGAAACAAAATGATCAAAGAGGCAGCGAAAAGGGCATAGAGCGTGCAGCGGCAAGAAGCCAGTAGGTCTGGGCGAATATGATAGAAATGTCGAGAAAATGACGGGAACAGAAGATGACTGTCACGGACTCGAGATGGCGATAGGAAAGCACTGAAAGATACCTTGCTTCCAGTGTTAATTACCTCAGCACTCGGGCACTGAACCTCGAAGGAAAAAAGGTTCGTCACTTGCAGATGCAGGAGGGAAGGAACGAAGGACCCTTGTTCCGTGCACTGGTGCTCTTTCCCTCTTGGTCCTCTTCCATCGTCCTTGCCGTCTGCCTCATTTCTCATACCAGGTAGGCACCCACCTCAGGTAAGGTAGGAACCGAGTAAAAAGTACATACGATGTTTACCTTCAATGTGCAGGTGCAGGTAGGTGCAGTGGCAGGAGGATCCGCTGGGAAAGATACCTTGAGCATTTGACGGATACAAGCACAGCAAGGGAAAAAAACCGGCAAAAAGAGGGCCATGCAGAGCTGGGTGCTTCTGCCCTTGCATCGGCTCATGCGCTTCTCTTCCCTTTTGACAATGCCCTTTGGGCGTCAATTGGCTCTTTGGTCCTGAGCATGGGGTAAAGTAAGAATTAAGGTAAGGTAGGGCAGTCAAGATATGCACCTTATCTTAGGTGCTCTCCTGCTTTGCGCTGCCTCTCACGATCGGTCCTCCGGGTTTGTTACCGTAGTTATTACCTTAGTGTTGTAGCTTGCTTGCTCTTGCCCTCTGAGAATCCGTAGCTTCAGGTCGACCTCGGGCTGTTCTTTCCCTCGAATTGTGTCAGAGCCGTAGCTAGGCCCCAAATGAACCCCCTCAAGAAACATATCCAGTCACAACGTCTGAGAACCCTGCACGATCCCTGCTGAGCCATGAGAAACCACCCCTGTTTCTTTCTTGCCATGTCCACCCACATCCATACTGGTCGGGAGGGAAAGAAGGAAGAAATTTTGACTGAGCAGTTGCGACTGAGAGAGCTCCTGCCCTTGCTCCAGAAAGCGCGAAGCCAGAAGGTGCGCCCCACCCCACCATCCCACTTTCCAATTGCCTCTCCCGCCCGCGGACTCACCCCCGGTCTGCGCCTTTCCAGGGATGGCTACGCATGTGGCACCGGCTTGAGGTGAACTCCTCGGTACGTATCTTTTTAGCTTCATCCAGCCGTCTAGCTTCTTCCCTACCCGTCTCCTCGCCGTCTCTCAGACTCTCAGTCTCTCGTCTCACTCTCACTCTCACTCTTTGCACTTTTCGTGTCTCGTCCACAAAAATCTAAGACATCCATCTCGAACTTCGCTCACTGTCCTCGCCTTTCTTCGCACTAATACAGCGGGACAATACGCCCTCGTCCTCTCGTTCCCTCGCCTTCACCCACTCCTACTGGCCACCTCGTCCACTCCTGCTCCCACGCCCGCTAGAACCTCCCGTCTACTCTCCTCCATACGGATACCTCACGTCAGAGACACTGGTCCTCGACAGTGTCAGAGACCACACAGGACCTTAGACAGCAGCCACACTTGCCTTCCCCGGCGTTGCTGCAGCTCGACATGGACATGGACCTGGATCTGGCCCTCGACCCGAATCTCTGACCCCGACGTTACCTCTACATCTGAGCGCACCCTCACCCTCCCGAGTCCCCTCACCTTCACCCTCTCACACTCGCCTCGAGAAGTATTCGACCCTCAAAAAGTACCTCAGTCTTTTGGCCCGTCCCGTCGCCGCGTTTCAACCAGCCTCGACGGTCATATCTTAAAGCCTTCACTTCTCCGGTCCCTCTCTTCATGCCCGTGTCCCTACTTAGCCTTCAGTACCTTACCGTACTTCACCCTCGGTCTTGTGCTGATCTTCGGTCGACTTTTCATTTTCCATCATAAGCATCCTAATAACTTAATTCCCTGCTCGGTCCTATCGTATTCACCCTCACCTCACAGTCACATTTGCCATTGGCTCCAGCTTCAACATCTAGGCTGAGCTACCTTCCTTACCTTTACCCCTTGCCTACAGCTTCATCCGACTGATACCGAAGGCTGCGGTACCTACTACCTCTTTCCACTTTTCCACCTTTCTTATTCTCATATCGTGTCTCGCCTTTTCCTTCTGGCAGCACAATTCTACAAAACGCCCCCCCATTCCCACCCAACCATTTCGTTCAGTCGACGACGACCTAGAAGCCCAGGAAAAAAAACCAGATGCCCGCCATTTATATATCACGACTCATCTCACCTTGACGACCTGTCTCACCGAAGAGTCGTACAATCTTGATCGTACAAGTACCGCCTCCAGCCAATCTCTTTTCGACATTCTCAGTCAGGGTCTCTGTGTGGCCCATTCTTCGGCTCATTGCTCTCGAGTTCGTTCAGCCGACGTCGCGCAGACGAGGGACCACTTCATTCCTGTGTCTGACCCTTCGCCTTATTACCGGTTCAACTCTCGCGTCACCTTAGGGTGTTCTGGATTCACTCAGCCGATCCGGTGAGACTCGATTCACTCCAATTGTTGGCCTCTCCTGGTCTACAATTACTTCTGCCCGGGTGTTCCTGCCTACTTTCGTGGCCCCCGAACTTTCTGTCTCACTGTGACCTCACTTTGGTCAGCTCTCAACATTGTGGCCGAGGCCTCTTCTTCCCACTTTTACTCTCTACCTCGCTCCTTCCCTTACACCTCAGTGTCTCGACGACCACACACATCCCTCTCACAGAATTAATCTCTAAAACGTTCTTCTCCTCGTCATACCATCCGCCTCTCGCGGTCGACTTGACTCATAATACTTATAACCACGTCTCATATCTGGTATGTTTGAATTCCTGTCTTTCAAAGTGGCCTTCCTGCCAACCTCACATCCGAGCGCAAAGAACTCACAAAACTTTCTGGAGATCAGACAAACACGCGCAAGTAGCCATTACTCGGCCTCTTTCACCATGCCTACCAGCTTCGACCGGTTGGAGAAGCTCTTCTCCCGGAAAAAAGACTTCTCCATCCAAAGCGGCCCATCAACGCCAACCATGGAGTCATCGGGTCCCAGGACTGCAAGTTTAGACCACAGTTTCCCTCAGCCTTCCTTCATCCGCCCGCGAGTCTCCCGCATGAAGGCTAGAGAGGAGCGCATTGTAGCATCGCAAAATGAGAGACGTGCCCAGAGCCTCCCGGAAAACCAGTCCGAGCGTATCTCAATACATATTTCTCACCTCAGCAGCGCAAGCACGACAACTCTTACTCTTCCAGCCCGCTCCATGTCGCTCAATCACCGCAGGGAAAGTAAGCCGGTGGCAAGTCTGCGTGGATTCGATTTTCCTTTTCCTCCCACATCCCCATCCCCGGCTTCGCCTTTTAGTGCCACTTTCTCTCCGAGAACCCTCCCCACAACGCATAAAGTTTCTCTCGAGCACCGCCACAGCTCTGTCATCATCCCTCCCAGAGCCGACACCCCACCTACCTCGGACCACGAGGACGACTCAAGCATAAAGGGATCTCAGGGCCGGCCTTCTTCTTCACTCAGTAGAGACCTGCCAACACCTGCCGCATCTCCAGAAATGAGGCCCATCAACGACATAAGATCTCGGGACTCTGCAGAGTTGAGCTTGGCCAAGAGGAAGGCGGCTGCTGCAGCGACAAGACGTCGAAGAGAGGAAAAGGCAGCTGCCTTGCGTCGGCCCCAGGGCCAGTCCAGACCTCACAGATCCATCACTTCATCAAGCCAGATCCTCAAAGGTGGAGATGTCATGGATTTCTACAACCTCTCCGACGAAGACATCTTGGAAGAGCCAGAGTTGGAGGATGCCCCGGAAACCCCGATTATGCCCGCACCTCTGCGGCTACCACCCTCCCCGCCGACTCCGGCCTCTACGTTATCATCGGTCGGTTCTAAGCGACGGACATCTTCTATCCATGCTGACGACGTCGCCAAAGAGGGAGCGCTGCAGGTTGCTCAGATCGCGGCCAAGCACAAGTTTGACCTTGTATACATCGTCAACTTGTGGCCCGAAGGAGCGTCCGAGTCGTCGTCGCCCACGTTCCGCTCTTCTATGGATTTCTCATCAAGGCCCTCAAGCATGAGAAACTCTCTTCTTGGGACCATGGATGGACCAACGGTGGACACAACTCCCGGTATGACTGGGCGTCTGCTCGCCGCCTACGGTTTGTCGAACTTGACTAGCCCTTTCCGCATTTCGGCCACAGTTCAGTCCAGAATCTTGAAGCAGGAGGGCTGGATGGAATACCGCAGCGACGACGCGCAGGCGGGCGAGATTGCACGGGGTTACGGCCACGCCTTCCACACGGCCACAGGTCGAAGAGGCTCCGCCAACTCGAGTCCCCGGAGCCCGGGTCCGCAAGACATGGCCCAGAACGATCGCGGCATTGTCTTCGCCGCCTACCGCTATCCGAGCAAGGACTCACAAACAACCGGATGTACCAAGGAGGAGCTGGACGCATTGCGCGCAGATGCTGAAGGCCTCGTCGATTACCTCGTCGCCATTCACAAGGCTCGACGCCTCCGAGATCCCATGACCCTACAAACCTTGGTCGATGAGGACGCCACGCCTTAATTAACGCCAACGCGAGCGCCACACTTTAAACACGCCGACACGACCGTTTTCTGATTTATACCAAACGCGATCAGTGCAACGGATATTAGATGATTACGACCCGTCATTCCTTGACACATTCTTCTTTGGCTGGATTTACACGTTTTTGCGATTCGTCTTTTGATATGATACCACATGGAGAGCGTCGTCCCTTATTCGTGACATGGACTTCGTCATTTAGCTCGAAAAAGGACATTTTCAGTCACGTCCAGATAGTTCAGGTGCTATGCATAAGCATCGAGCGTTGGAAGCGACTTCACAGAGGCATGGCATGGAGAGGATGGGTTCTGAACTAGTCCATCCTGGACTCTTACGTAGCAAGTGGACTCGATCCATAATGAAAATAAAAACTCATGATACCTCAATCCGGTTTTCTCCCCAGCCACACTCGCGGGTCCCTGCTCTGGGCCGAGGCCATATTCCCATGACCGCATGACGAATCCGAGCGTACGCAGTCTTCGGCTTTACCGGCGCGACTCGTTTTTCCTTTCTTTTTTTCCACGGCAATCCGATCTTTTGTCTTAATGAACTCTTTTTCTTCATGCCTCAAAGCTATTTTCCCCCTCTTCGGCTGACATGGACAGACGAGCAAAGCTCATGAGTCGGGTCTTTATTTTTGGGGGCTGAGCTGGAGCCCGTCAGCGGTGGCGCATATAGTAATTGCTCATGGGAGGCCTGGCCAATTCGCCCATTCTTTTGGTTCCGGTAGGGCCACTGACAGGTCCCATCTTTCCCGGCATCATCATTCCATCTGGCAGCGGGCGATTTGCAGTACGGAGACACTGCTTGGGAGGCCGGGGAACCCCTGGTTTCAAAACTTCCCGCAGCGCTGGTTGGGTGGGGGTGGGGAGAGAGAGGAGGGGACAGAGGATCCGGGTCATTTTTGGATCTTTGTCTGGGCCAGGCTTTTCTGTCAGTATGGATACTCCAATGGCGATGGGGAGGAGGGAGGGTCCTCTGGGAGGCGAAAATGGCAACGCCGCGACGGCAGAGCATGGTCAGGCATTGAGGAGGTCTCCGTTCGCCATGTGGTTAGAGGGGAAAGGTGGCTTGTTCGGTTGTGACGATGGTACGCTGGCGTGTGTTTGGGGATGGAGTCGTGGCCGTTGAGAGCGTTGGTAAACTTGGCGCCGATGGGGATTTTGATTGTCGTTGCGTCAGGGTGTTATTTTTTCCCTCTTGATCCTTTCATTTCTGCGTAACCCCGCCCTTGACTATCTACCTAGGCACTATTCACAGTTCTGATGGAAGACACCTAGTTGGAGGGATCATTGGGCCAACTCTGAAAGTCTGAAGGGGCTTGACATGATGTCAGCTGTAGTTCTGACGACAGTCTGACAGAGAGCCGCAAACTCTGTGCCGGGAGGCACAGTTCATGATTCGATGCGGCTTTTCTGGGGGGCGACGCGGCTACGTACGGACGTACTGTACGGGATACTGCACGGCATGGCATCCCTGGTTCTTGTGAACTTTGCCCACCACCCATATTGCCTACATACCTCCCCTGCCCACCCGCTGAACCCCGTTTCGATAGGGTTGCAGTGGATTGGGAGAGAAAGCTTTCGAGCTCTCCGGGTGGTGGGAGGGCGATTGCGAACGTTTGGCCGGTTACCCTCATTCTTTTTTACATCCTTGGCAACTACCAGGAAACGGCAGGTTTTCTCGGGTTTAGTAATTGGCTTCCTGCCAGGCTTTTACCTGACTCCAGCGGGGGAGAAGAGACATGAGGGGGGCGAAGTTGTAACCTTTGATTCCCCGCGCAACTGAGAAGGGCGCAAAGAGTTCTTGCGTCTCTTGGGTGGATGCGACGGCGGCAGGACGGCACGAGCAGCGTGGACGTGTGCCGGTGCCATGTCTCGATTCTCTGGGTTACCTTTTTGCGAATGTGGCTTTCATTTTTCTTCTGGTCTCCCCCGCCGCCACGCCCGCGCGGATGACTTTTGGTAGTGAACCAGTCGTGAACGGCGTTTGGTACGGAACTACGGAGCATGAGTGTTACTCTTTTTTTCGCGGCTTACGGCTCGCGGCTCGCGGGCGCGCCCATGCGTATGTTGGGGGTTTGAACTAGATTGAGGGCTGGGCATACATACCATGCAGGCTTGGGATGCATCTTTGCAGGGCTAATTTGAGGGTACGACCACTTCTTGGCTGCGGCGCGCGGCGCGACCTGCAGTAGGAGGGGAGGGGGGGCACAAGGGAAAGAAATGATCGTCTGCGCCGTCTGCGGTGTATTTTTGATATTTTGTCCGCGGCGTGCCTTGCATTAAGTGCGTAAGGTAGGATTCTGTCTTTGTTTCTCGGTGTTTTGATAGCGGGTGGAAGCCGAAGGATGGGTTGCAGTGGTTCGTACCGGTAGTGAATCGTGGGTGGGAGGGCTAATGCAGGTTCTGGATTAACAATGACGGAAGTGAATGGTGGTAACGCCTGGTGTAGATCGGGGTTCTGATGTGGTTTGACCGTTTGAAGAGTGGTGGACGGTGGCATTGGACCTGATGTTGAACATGTCTGGTTCAAACCGCGTATAGTATCTATTCCGGTTTCTCTCGTTATTGACATTTCTTTTTCTTCAATGTCTCGGCAGAGTCTCGTCAAATCGCCCAGCAACAAACCCGAATCCGAGATGCAAGTTGGCGTTCAGGCGTCCGAGAAGGTGGCTGGCGTGCTTTTTTGACATGCTCTCGACACTGCCACGGCTGCAGCGTTGCCTTCACAAGTCGGCGCTCAGACGTTGACAAGATCGGAACCGATTTTCCGGCTCTCTCTCGAGGTGAGGTAGGATAGCGCGGATTGGAGTCCATCATCGGTCTTGCGGGGGCTATTCGCGAGATTACTACAAGATAGCGTTCTGACTGATCGTCGATGGGTGGTGTGGTTGCCATGATGTTTGTCAGAGGCGGATGATTCGATACCAGTGTTAATGGGGGCCCATTTGAAGATCTGATTTGACCAGCTGCTCTACATTAGTTTCAGGGGCACCCTCTATCTGAATTGTGTGGATTTAGCACTGGCGACGGTGCGATGAACTGCTCCGGTGGCGGCCAACGTCAGATGGAGACGTCTTGATGCCATTGGACGAACTGGGCGATGATCTGAAGTGTCAGAAACACCCAGCCGGCTCCGAAAGTACGTTTGCGACACTACATCCGGCGCCGGCGTGGAACGAAGAAGAGGTCACTAGGCGTATGGGAGAGGCGTTTTGCCCGTTTAACGTCCGGGCGCGGGTGCGGTCTCGAATGAGTTGAAGCTAGGTTAGTAGGCTTTGGTGGACTAGGGGAAGCGTGGCTAGAGCTTCCGGGGCCGACGCTAGACTTTAGATGGTCTGAAAATCAACGTCCGGGTTTCAACTGCGAAACGCAACTAAGGCGATGATCGAATTTTGATGGGAGGGGGAGGGGAAGAGACCTTGATGAGCAGGGTATGTCTGATGCAATTGAATATTGGGACAGTCTTCAATGGATACTAGAATCCAACGGCCTAGGATGTCATGGAGGAAAGAAAAGGAAGGTGATAATCAACTATTCACCACCTTTTCTGTATTATCGGGCATATACGTAGAAAACAACTATCACGACGTCTCTGCCCAGTGCTCCAAGAACTCTCTTATTGATCCAAGCTCTTCCAAGCCTCAAACACTTTGGGCGGCATACAGCTCTCAATCACATTGCGAGCCTCTGCAATAATTTCTTTCCTATGTTCTCTTGATGACCACGTTGGCAACACAACCCCAAGTGCAGTATGGCAGGCCCGTACAGTGCTGAACATGGCCTCGTCATTATCCTCCCCCAAGGGAAACCATCCACCACCCTCCCCAAGGACTTTGATCATGTCGGCTAATGCCTCAGCCAAACTTCCACCGTGAAAAGCATCGGTCACACAGTCCCAGGGCCAAGTCTGCGTGATGGTGTTGAAGAAGTGAGGAAGCGGGCTCCATATCAGATCTATACCAGGTGTTACAGTTGGAGAAGCTCCTTGTGTGATTAGCCATTTGGCGTTACGAACTAGGGCTTCATTGCTGTCTTCGTCTCTGACAAAGGCCCTATGTTCGAAAGCGGCGACCGTCGCATGCAGCGCAAGCATTCCAATAGTGCAAGTCGTGACCTTGGAACTATCACCCTTTATGTCCATGTCTGAATGAACCGAGGATTGAGTGTCGAAGAGGTCAGTGTCGTAGGCGTATTCTATTTCTTTAGACCCTACATGAAGTTCGACAACCTTTTGCAGATGAATTTTTGACGTATATAAGAAGCGTGCAAGAGTGGAGGTATCTAGCGCTGGAAAATTGCATTGGCATGCAATCAAGAAACAGTCGAGGATCTCTTGATCAAGAGGCGCAAAGTGTGGTTCGTGTTGCGCGATGGTTTCCCGCAAGATATCCGGCATCATCTTGTCCAGGCCCTGTGCCAGAGGGGTGTCATACTCCTGACCCCAATATTCGGACCTCGCCGTTGAGAGTAATTGTCTCAGCCTGGAGACGATGTTCCCTCCGGTTCCTGAAGGACAGTACCAGGCGCCTCCCGGCTCTGAAAAGAGATAACGTGCCGCGTCTGACTTTGCCACGTTTGATGAGAGTTTGAAGATGTCAGTTACCACTTTATATGAGAATAATTCAAAATCGCTCAGTGTCGGATCGGTCTTTTCCATGGCCAGAGCATATTCGAAGGCGTTACCATAGTGAACACCAAGCCTGTCCAGCGTGAAGGAACGCTCTGGGTTCGCCCCGAGACGTCGTAGGAGGGCCACCGAGAGATCGTTATGCGCCGTTATTGCGTAATACAACGGCGTCGCACCACTTTCCACCACGACTTCGTCAACATCCACGCCCATACGCTCCACGAGCTCTTTGATGATGGGCCCATTGCCGGAGAAGGCGGCGGATTGGAGTGCGGAAACTACCACCGCTGGAACTCTAGACTTTGTCGGATCCAACCCCCTATAGACGCTGGCGAAGGTCTGGTTGAAACGAGGATACTTTGGCGAAGTATGGCCCACGCTTACGATCCGAGATGAAGCGCCGCGGGAGAGCAGCAGGCGCGCGACGGAGTTTTTGTGGTTGCAAATAGCAATGTGTAGGGGCGTCCAGGCCTGTACAGCTTGCCCCATTAGGTGACAACTGGGAATCTGAAAGGTGCCTGGGGGAATACACTGGCACAGAAACCTCGCCGGCATTTCCGTATCGACAGAGTGTTGGTCCAGAAGCCACCGGACGGTATCGTAGTGCCCGCCCTTTACGGCGAAGTGCAAGGGCGTCGCGAAGCATGCTTTCGACAGCGCGACCTTGATACAGTCATCGCTTGGAACCTCTCGGTGTTTCCAGCTATTCCGATATTCTATTTCTACCCAGTCTTCGAGGCACTGAGGAGCATCGAATGAATAGACCTTGTTCATGTCGGCGCCGTGGGACGCTATGCGCTGGAGAGTGGCCAGGTTCCCTGTCGCGGCGCTCCTGGTGATGATGTCGGTATTGCTGTCGCGTATCGCTGCGAGGTATACTTCTTCCTGAAGATTCATGTGGAGCTTGATGCTGACTTGCGCGAGCGCGGCGACGGTGCAGCTGTCTAGGTAGCTGCAGATTTGCAGCCAGATTTCGGCAGGAAATTCCGCGCGCGGTGTAGTTGACGACATGGTGGTCTTAAGTAGGGGGTGTATGCTGTGATTGGTGGTATGAGAGGACGATCAATGCGATCAATTCGTGGATTTTTGTAGGGTGCCTTATTGAAGATGGTAAAAAACTCTTTCAGAAAGTTCTGGGACACGAAGGTAAGGCAGAATCAAAATATAGGAACTATATACTTCAGTGCAAATCATCAGGGTAACCACCAACGAGAACCTGGAAGGAGCATGGAGATAGCTCAACCTTTCTCCTTCTCCATGACCACACCTTGCAAACAATCTCTAGATTTCGATGCGAGAAAATTATGCGAAGCAGAAAAGGCTCTTTGAAAAGTGTTTCCTAAGAGACTCTCCGGCTTGCTGTTGAAGTTCGGCCCCGGCCTTCTTCCGGAAGATTGACTCCACCGAGCCGTCCCGATCTTCCGGACCCCACTTCTACGGGCCACTTAGTCTTCCGCTGAAACTGCATTCTCCTTTCTCATAAGGTAAGACTGGAGCCCCATACATTGTGCTTGAAAGTACCTTAGTCCGTGCAACTGAAAAGAGGCTAGATGCGTAGCATGACAGGTTCTTCGTGTTGGGAAGAAGTGAAGACTAGAAACCTTCTTGGTGCGCGAGAGACAGCACGTTCCTTCGCCCTATCAAGGCCCTGGAATTCTGCTGAGCGGTCACAGCCTGAATTCACCATCTCGCAGTCGCCGTAGGAAGAAGAGGCGGTGGCGATGCCTTCCAAGCTTTCGTGCGCCGACCATGCCCGGTCTTGTACGCCGTTCGTGACCCACCCGGCGGAAAATACCCACACCGCCGATGACTCGGCACCGCACCGCCGCGGCGGCCACTGGCCCCCACCCGCCCAAGCTTTCGTGTATTTTTCCCGACGTTTTTCGCGCCAGTGAACTCAACTGAACCCTGGCTCGAAAGAGATAAGGAAAACGCCTCCAAATTTCCCTCACCGATGAGTAAAGGCGAAGGCGTAAATATGCCAGGAGCTACTGGGTAAGTTTGATTGCTGCAATCAACGAGATAATCCCCCGTCAGATAGGCCGTATTGGAACTTTGGAAGTACCTTACCTTAGGTGAGTGACGGCACAATGCTGCATGGGGCATCCCTTCGGTCACGCCGCCGGACACTAGTCACGGACTGCGACCGACTCAAGGGATGAGCGGGCACCGGTGGAGAACAAGCCTTGATTGTCGCGAGAGAATCCAGGCCCGATCACGCAACGTTGACGAAGGGGTCTTTTTTCTTTCTTTTCGTTTATTCAAGCTTTCCCGGCGTCGGAGTCAAGTGCCGCCTTGCATACCGGATCTTCCGGATGAGCACTGCAGCTCACTTAGTCACTCTTGTCTTTTGACTACGACATATTCTCTAGTCGCAACGGTACATTCGCACGTTACGCTCTGAAAAACCCTGGGAATAACATGCGGATAAGAAATCATGCCCGTCGCTCAAAGTTTCATGATGCAGGACAAACACACAGGGTTCAACCCGTTTTTCCCGGATGTGCATGGCACCAGGCGGTAAGAGAGGTTTTCACCACCTAGTTCCACGCCGGTTCATTTAGGCCCAAAAAAACCATCCGACGTCATGACAGGCGATCCCTCCATCCCAGGTTACAAGTAATCTATTTCACCACGAGAGACTTTTTTCCCCCCAACAAAAGCCGAGGAACGAATGGCTAATGGCTGCCAAAGTGAGACCACGTTCCCGCCGCTAGGGCCGTCAACATAGGCATTCCGCGTTTGATCGGTTGACGGGGCGGCCAACATACTTCAGCCGCCCGATGTCCGGAGAGCTGAAAAGGCTGACGTCCTGTCATCTTCCCTTCCGTCCCATCTCACCTCATCTCATCTTATCTCAACTTTGCGATTACATACGTCAGACAACACATTGCTATCAAGTCACCATTCATCTTTCAAATCGTAGAGATCTATCTCACGCGAGTGAAGGAGGCCAGTAATCAAGAAAGCGCAAACCGATACGGGTACAGTGGCCGGATAGCTTGAGCTACACACCACACATGTCCGCTGCGGAAGCAACCTCATAATGTCATCCACAACCGCCATCCTCACATCTTCACAACCGACAATGACCTCGCCACATCCCCCACCCCCGCAAAGCTGTCATCCCTTCATGACACTCCCCCTGGAACTCCGCCTCCTCATCTGGGAAACCTTCAGCTCGCAACCCCGCGTCTTCGAATACCGAGAAGACACCCACCTCATCAAGCCGCCCCGCGAGTACCGCCACCCCCGTGCCGCGGCCCTCATCACAAACGCAGAATCGCGAAAAGCCACCCGCGCCCTCCTCCGGCCCTTCCCGCACCCGTACGACGTCCAAAAGGATTCCCGCCCGTCGCAGCCACCAGCCCTGGAATTCGTGCCCTCCTCGGATATCATCTACCTCCCACCGCTCGTCTACCGCACGCGGCTCGGCGCGTGGGACTCACTCTGGACCACGAAGCCGGGGATCGAGAATGTGGGGATCCACTGGTCTGTTCTCCTCGACGAGCGGCGTATCGCGGAGGCGTTGCGGGCTTGTTCGCGGTGTTTTACCGATATGATGAGGTTGTCCGTCTTTATCGAGTTCAAGCCGCTTCCGCAGCCGGAGGAAGAAGTCGGTAACGGCGGGATCGTGAGGTTATTGGGTCCTGCGGAGGATGAGTACCGCTTGCCGAGTTTGTATGCCGAGGCGCATGGGTTGATGGATGAGTTTTGGACGTGGGGGGAGTTGAGGACGGCGCTTGGGAAGGTGAGGAGGGCGATGAAGTGGACGCCTGAGGTTGAGGGGGTGTTGTATACTAGGGAGATGGAGGAGGCATCTGCATTCTGAGATGGGATGGGATTAGTATTTCGATGGCTTTTGTCTCATCTGAGCTGGTCGTTTCGATGAGGATATCGGGCTGATGCGAGGCATGCCCTGACAGAGGGTGTAATATTTTGGGCATTTATCAGGGATCAAGTTCAGGGTACAGCGTCATGATCGAGCGAGGGATTCACAGCATTTCAGCGGGCTTGGGAGATTTTATGACAGGTCTGATACGAACCTGCTAGCTACTATTGAATGAGAACTCAAATCATTTTGAGCGTATTTGGAGACTTTCTCGTGTATGCGTTTGTGTGAAAAGTAGAAGATAATGATCATGTTTGCTCTCTTCCACTATAAATTACATCTCATTTCATTTTCGAGGAACTCAACTTACAGGGCCCTGTATACCTGGGTATCGTCTACAACTTATTCGTACATCTCACTTCTGCCTTTACTCACGCCGTTGAGATGAGGTGCTCGTTGCCACATCCTCCTTCAAGCTGAGATCCGCGCCCATAGCGCCCCGGGAGCCTCGAGGCCTACATTCATGAAAACCTCAATCTCAATAACCTCCTCTCCAATCTCCCCCACACCCTTCCTTCGACCTCCCCTTCATCCTGGTCGTAGTCTCCATCTTCTTACCCCGAACCCGACAATGCGTCAAGCTCGCCATCCTCCAGTCCCTCGACTCCGGTCTCAAGCTCAAGCGGAGACTCAAATCCATGTTCAACCTTGTGCTCCTCTGGTATTCTCCACTTCATCCTCCTCCATGCCACTGTAAAGGGCCTCCTCTTCGGTCTCCTCTTCGGTTTCCTCATCCCACACTTCACTCTCCTCATAATCGACACAATCATCTTCGTTGATAAGCCCGTGCTGCCTCAGCACCTCCTCAACCTTGGGCCTGTCAGACCAGTCATCAAACGCATCGCGAATCGCGAAAGCCCACTCTGGCGCGGTTTCCGGCCTCTTATGTAAGTCGCGGACACACATCTCCCACGCCTTGTATACTCGAATGACTCCTCCGATATCATCCTCCCCGCACGGGATCCACGCTCCCTTTTGCACCAGAAGACGGACAAAGGGGCCGATGGAGCCCAACACCGAGGTCAGCGGCTCCGATTCTCGCGGATGGCCCACCGTGATCTTCTTCATCAGGTAGACGAAGGGGGTGAGAGACGGGTTCGGATCGGTGTCTCGCATGCCGATTGGATTCGCGCCCCGGGTCATCAGCCAGTTTAGGGTCGTCAGGGCTCGCCCCTGATAGTCCCAGTCCATCGCATCAATCGTGACACAGAGTGCAAGTATGCCGAGAGAAGAGCCCGATACACGGTCCTTCTCTTTCTCGGGAGGCATGATAAAGGGACAAGTTTCGCGCCATAAGCCGTTCCGCTCCGCAAAGCTCCATCTGATGAACTTCAAGAAGCGGGAATTCCGCTCCAAAGTCACTTTGTCTCCGAAATCCAATACGTCCATGAAAGGGCGAAGAATATCCGTACAGTCGCGATCGACGCCACAGGAGACCTCGCAAACAAAGAGAAAAATCGACTGAAGTTCTCCTACAAGCGGGGCATATTCCGGCCGATGCGTCCGTTGGGTCTCCCGGATGAAGTCCGCGACGACTTGAGCGAACGAGTCGAGAACCGATTTACAGTCGCGCTCGGTTGTATCAATCATCGCTGGTAACAACAGCTTTAACAGTGAGATTTTGGGGCCGTTGTCTGCAGGAGCGGTCCAAAGGCTGTCTTCCACCGTCATAAGCTGCTTAGCAGCCTCGATATGACCCTGAGCGATGGCAAATTCGAGTGCCTGCGTCATGAATGAGTATCCATGTTGGAAAAATATCTCCACATCGGCCCCGAGGCTGAGCAAATGTGACACAACGTCTCTCTCCGTGTGTACATTGCGCTCTGAGGGACGATACTCGCAGACGTATTGAATCGGCGTGGCGTCTCTGTTGTCAGGACTGTCCACCGAGAGGCCCCGGTTCTTGACGAGATCGGTCATCACCTCCAAGTTCCCAGCACGAGCCGCATCGTGCAGGGCGTTATGCGGCCTCGAACTTTTCAGGGCATCTGCTAACCAGAGCCCCACCTCTCTGGCGGGTGGTGGAACGAATGGGCATGTTTCCGCGCCCGCTTCTGAATCCCAGAAAGGGGACTTTCTCATGGCGTACTCACCCTGCAACTGAGTTGTCAGAGATGCTCCGGCGGAAAGCAGGAGGCGAGCGACGGAGTTGTGTCGCTGGCATAGAGCCACATGTAAGGATGTGCGGGCAGGGCGACAGATGGAGGGGAAGGGCCGGCCCCTAGCCCTCCTCCCGAATGGCATGATTGGCATGCAATTGCATAGGCTTCTCCCGGGGCCATCGACATCGACGTTCTGACCTAGAAGCCACTTGACCATCTCATAGCGGCCTCCTGCAGCAGCCTGGTGCAGCGGAGTGCCCCAGGTCGTCATTCTCTCCAGACTTTCGTCGCCCATGGGACCCCATGGTAGTGGTGCCACGGGATACGCCTTGGCAATGTCCGCGCCGAAGAGATGAGCGCGTTTCAGAGTGTCGAGATTTCCAGTCTTCAAGGCGTGAGTGACGCAGTCCGACGCGTCGTCCCGTATACTCTGGAGATACAGTTTGCGATTGAGGATGTCGTGGAATCTGTGATTGACCCGTACCAGGCGTGCCCTATCGGACTGAGAAAGGTAGCTGCTGACGAGCGCCCATAGCTCCACTGGTAGCTCGTCAGTCGACATCATAGATCCTCTCAACGCGATGCGAACATGGACTCAGCATCGAAGTCGATGGAGAGAGCTGCGATGAGATCGATGAGTACCCTATTTTTACCATGTTCTGGGACCCTCTCCTGCACGAAATTGCAAGTGGGGTGGGAGGGACCACACACCGCCACAGTGTGGCACGGCTGTCAATTAAAGGGGACAGGTACTTATCGACATTTCTTCTTCGTCTTGGCGAATGTAAGTTTCTGGTGTGTATTGCTGACCGCGTTGGAGCTCGACGATCGACAGGGTGATCCACGGGCAATGATAGAGTAGCATCTGTTCGGATATGCCCCGAGGACTGGAGTAATAGGGGCTTCTCTCCGTCACAGCCGGTGCCGATCCGGACGAGATCGGGGCAGTTCTGGGACGAGCTCTATCTTGTGCCTGGTATCCGGTTCGGTGATGATATCCAACAAATTTAGCCCACGTTGAGTCTTCGACTGTCATATTGGAAATGCATCGCAGCATGAGACTTGCTAAAACAATCAAGTCTCACCGATTCAAGTCTCCTTTCCTGCACATGCCAAGTGCCCCGTATGAATTGAGGTGGAGTCTCACTCTCGGTGGCGCGATTCCTTTCGGTGACGGATGTCCGTATTTGGCACCTAAGAAGAAATGTGAGATGGGCGGGAATTGCATCATGAGAGGTCGTTGACATATGGATTGTGAGAGGTTAATGATTCTTGATTTAATCTATGATGCATCAAGGCTTGGGTAGCGAGTAGGGCCAAATCCCCAACAGTATAGCCGGGCATCATCAATCGCCGGCGATACTCCTCTCTCTCAGGAAACCGAGGCTATCGGCGTCTCAAGATCCCGCGGGACATCTACCAAAGCTCACATGTAGGCTGTCTTTGGGGGCAGTTAAAAACGCTGCGGAAGTCCTTCGAGTTATCCAAGGGCCCTTTGATGCGAGCGAATCCTGGAGAGTGCACGTCGGCTCCAAGCAGGTAGACGTCGTACACCTTCGAAGACGACACGTCGCACCAGTTTTGTGCCCATTTCAAGAAGAAAATCTGGTCATGCGAGAAACTCTGCAGGCCAGGTAAGTCAAAATCTTGAGACTTCTTGTCTGCCTGTAGTTTCTTCCACGCTGCATAGCTTGTCGCCACACCTCCGGCATCGGCTATGTTTTCACCGAGCGTGAAGTTACCTCGAACGGGAACATTCGTACCATTAGGCGCAATGACCGTGAACTGCTGATACTGATTGGCGAAGCATTTGGTACGATTACTGAACGCCTTGAGGCTCTGCTCATCCCACCAGTTTGTGAGAGACCCGTTGGCAGCGTAGTTGTGGCCGCTGTTGTCGAAGCCATGGGTAAGCTCATGACCAAGAACGGTGCCAAGTGCGCCATAATTGACATATGATGGATAGGCAACATTATAGAGAGGCTTTTGCTGGATACCAGCATTGATCACAATGTCGTTGAAGGTTGTAGAGTAGTAAGCATTTGTTGTCGATGGGGTTTGCAGCCAAATGTTCTTATCAGCAGGCTTGCCAAGCAGAGCCCACAGCGACTTGCTAGAGAAAGTGGCAAACGCAAGGGCATTGTCGAAGTAGGAGTCGGTAACCTTGAGCCCATTATAATAGTCTGCAAGCTTGCGTGGATTTGTGGTGTCCGGAGACACGTCGGGATACCCAATCTTTTTCGAAATGGCATTGACCTTCACTTCAGCCTCTTTCTTGACCTCGGATGTTAACCAGTCCTTCTCCCCGAGGCGCGAGATAAATGCCTGCTGGATCGTGCCCATCATGTTGATAGCCAGATCACGAGCTTCGTTCGAGTACGCCTTATCGAGGTAGAATCGGCTCAGAATCCAGCCGAGCCCGGCAGGCAAGCCACTCCATGGGACACCCTCATCCACATGACCGACGCATTGCTGCCATCTCGGTGGCTTGCCAACCAACTCCGGATCTGTAGCGCGAAGCTTTGATTTCAAGTCGTTCAATCTTTCCGTGGCATCTGTCTCGACGAAGTTGGAGAAGGTGGATACTGTTTTCCAGATGAAAAATCCTTGGACCGTTTCGACAGAGGTGTTGGCGAGAAGCTGAGATAGGTTGCCAAAGTAGGCCGGGGAAAACACAAGTTGATCCGGCGTATAGTCCGCGGGAATCAAGTTGTTGATGACGAAATCGTGACCAAGTTCTGGGGCCACGCTTGTGACCTCTTCCAACTTGAACTTCCTTGCTGGCGACTTTGGTGGCTCTCAGTTCCTCGGTCAGACTTAAAGGTCAGGAAATCACTCACAGTTGGGCTTGCTTTGCTGTCATCGGTAGCCTGCAAAGCGACCGCGTCTTTCTCAAACTTAGTGACGGCTAGAGCGAGTCTCTGAGCATTCATAACATCGAGTTTCGCCGGGTGGACTGCCTGAAGAAGTGCTGCCATAATGCGCTCATACTCCGCAACGGTATCGTTATTTCTGGCTACAGAGCCTGTGAGCAATGGCGTGCCTCCGGGGACGACGGATATGAGTGTTTTGTTCTGCTTTAAAATTAGTATGCATCCATAGTGGTGGGCTCCCAGGTCTCGGATCAACATACCGTATTCTGGTCATCAAAGTCAACAGTGACTGATTCGAACGTAGAAATGCCAAGTTGACCAAAGAACAGCAACGTCTTGCCCATATTCTTGGCATCGTTCTTCGAGACCTTGCGTTCCTTGTCCTCTGTAGTATTGGCCACAGGAAAAGCCTCCGCGACACGGTTGACGAGATTGATGAGAGGGCCCAAGCCTGCAGCCTTGACGGCGGTGTCATTGAGGCAAGCATTGTATGTCTCCACGATCAGCTGAAAGTTGTCCCGATCCACGCCTATTTGCTCTTGAGACAGTGATGCCGTGATAAATCCAGCGTCTGGTCCACTGGGGTAGGTGCCTTCCACGATGTTCTTCAGCACTACCGAGACATCACTCCCGACAATACCCAGCGATGAGGCCTTTCCTTGGCCAGCCCCAGGCGCATGGGTTGCTTTCCACCCAGAGCACGCATCTGCCAAGAAAGTGTATTAGCCAACCAGAGTCATGCAACGTGCAGAATCCGCAACAGTGTCGAGTAGGAAAGCAACGGAAAAAGATGTGAGACAAGGATCCGAAGCTTGGGCGCGGGGAAACTAGAGCTGGAGGCAATGCGAGTGGGGGAAACAAAAGGCAATTGGAGTCCTGCGACGCACATTTGTCAAAGTCTGTGCACGGATCGATGTCGGTATGGTTCGGCGCGAGACTCATCAGAATGTTTGAGGCGATCTCGAGACAGATCGGTGTGGTGCAAAGGCTGCTGCCATCCGCGGCCGCAGTGAAGGGGGCCATGCTGTCGACTGTCGAGCAGTATTTCGAAACGTCCTTACAGAGCTAGCATCACAAGTCAGCGAAAAGCCTCTTGGGCAGTTGAAGTACTTGATAGACAGACCTTGGGATGAAGAAGCGACCTGGCTAGCCGGACAAGGAAGCTGAGACGCTTGATACTGGAACCAGAAGCGCCTTTCACCGACAAGCTGACACCCAAGTTAAAGAGAGAGGAGAAAGCTAGCGAGGATCGGTTGGAGCCGGTTCATCCAGTGTGGGTTTGGGGATGAGCTGGTCCCTATATATAATGGCTTGCAAGGAGAGAAGAATATACTTTTCCTGCAAACCTTTTTTGGTCTAGACGATGTCGGGCATCGAGAACCATAGAATACAGTATAAAGATGCCAAAAGCGGTGACTAGAGGGCGGCGGTGGTGTGGTGTCGTCGATGTCGCAGAAGAAGAAAGGCAGCGAGGCGTTGATCCAGTTCGCTTCACGCAGCCCGAGGGTTACCCCAATAGACCAAGTACCTGCCCTTTTCACCTGTCTCACGATCCTCACTGCCTCTAGCCAAGGCAGAGTCCAGCTAGTTGCACCTTCCTAACCGATCCTTAGACGTACCGGAGCATCGCAGCCTGCAGGCGAGGCTGCCTTGTTTCCTGCCAAGACTGCCATTTGCCAAAGTCAAGCCAACCCCAGTTCGTTGACACATCGGAACTCTATGTGGTGACGAAGTCGACTCGGCGGATGTTCAGATGTGCATGCGGCGAAGGTAAGCATTGCGGAGAAAGGCAGCACAAAAGTGCCGCTCGCCAAGGATCGGGGACTTTCGCAGAGTAACCTCCGAAGTGACATTCCAGCCGCGGGATGCCGATCCTGACTCCCCGTCCCGTATCCCCCCGCGTATCTTAGCTTAGCTTGCTCTCTCAAGTTGAGTGGCACGACGTCGATCATCTTTGAGCGTTTTTGCACAAGTATCGCTCGCAGTTTGAGACTGCCAGATGGATTGGCTCGACTGGTAGCTTGGCCTGCCCAGAACGGACAGCTGGAATATTGGGCTGATATGTGGCTGCGAGTGAGCTTCGGTCCTGACTACCCCAAGCTGGTTTCGTAATGCCATGCGGACGCACGTGTGTCCCAAAAGCCGACAAGTTGGTTAGCGCGGTGGTCAAAAGAACGGCGCGATTTGTTTCTGGAGGCTAGCTGGTACTCTATCAACTGCAATGAAGGACAGCATAACCGCTGTTCACCTCCAATACCGGAATACAAGAGATGAAAGTCGTCGACCAGGCCACGGAGGTATCTCATACCGCGAACCGTGGGAAGAATACCACTTGGCAATTATGTTGGCAGCGCCAAGAGTCTTCGCATGACTGTTAAGCAACGGCCGACTCTCGGCAGACCTGCATTTTGACTTCCTCAGAATAGCCTTTTAGCATGAACCTAGCGTCGAAGGCTAGAACTTGCGCGAAATGTGCTTCACAGGGGTTATGGAATGTGCAGCGATTCGTTGGGTCGATAGGTATTCTCTCCCAGGATCCAGTGGGACGAACGAAAACCTTCGACGAAGACCGTTTTCGAAAACGAATGCGGCGTGATCATTTGCAGCTTGCCACGCCTCGTAAGAGCACGCGAGACCAGACGATGGCGTTCCTCGGTGGCAGAGCCTCAAAGTAACCTAGTGTTACCGTTCCTGGCGTGGAAGCAAAATGATACCTAAATCCTTCATCCGGGCAGATGGGTCGATACTTGGGATGAGAAGGTCTGCACTAAATGCGGCTGGAGGATTTCAGCCATTGCGGCGAGTCCAAGACTTTGGCGCTGCTACTGATGCGATATTGGCACTTGTCATATTCCACGATCTAGAGATCTGCAGATCGTGGGACAGACGCGGTGAGATGGGATCTGACAAGCCATAGGTATCACCAATCTTTTGAAGGCAAGGTAAAGTACCTATGTAGATGAAACCTGAGAAGACGCAGCGGAAGATATCGAAGGAGGAGGGGCAGCTGGGCACGTGCTTGCTACCTACCTTGGAATGGCCTGTGCGTACCTTACCTCAGCAGAACAGCACAGACCACATCCAAAAAAGACAAGTGGGGGGATCCCCGGAGGCAATGCCCCGCAAGCTGATCAAGCCACGTTCACCCTTTGGTTTCATGCGCCACAATGACGTTGATGTCAGTCACGCCTGGTTCCTCGGGGAGGCGATACCTCAAGCGCAATCTTTCACCCGATCACATCAAGCCTGCAGCCCTCTCCTTCTCCCTTACCTTGAGGTTTTATCGCTATTATACCATCTAGAACAAGCCTCTTGCACCTCTAGTTCTACCGATCATCAAGATGGCGAACACTGGCGCCCCTCCAAACTACTGTAAGCTTCCCTCCAATACCCCACTATAGCTTTCAAGCTGCGGCTAACATTGCGCCTAAAGACAAGATTCTTGAGATCTCGGAGGCGGCTACGACCCAGCAAGTTCGCGATGCATACAAGAAGTAAGTGATCCAAGATACTGAGTCCAAGTTCTCTCAAATTGACCTTTACTTTTCAGAGCCGCCTTGAAGACACACCCAGACAGGGTCCCCGCCGACTCGCCCGAGCGAGCAACGCGCACTCGCAAGTTCCAACTCGTCAACGACGCATACTACACCTTGTCCGACACGCAAAGACGCCGAGAATACGACGCCCAGCGAAAGATCTTTGGCGCATCCGCCGGTACAACGTACGGTGACTTCTCTGACGACGAATCCGACCCAGAGGAAGTACCCCCGCAGGCCGGCCCCAATCCGCAGAACGCCTACTCGTGGGCATGGAACTTCTTCACCGGCGGGAAGCAAGGTCAACAGAACGAGGGTCAGCGCGCACAGGCAGACAACGCACAGTTCGGCGATGTATTCGAGGAGATGTTGCGCGAGGAGGGCATGGCCGAGGAGGGTACCAACCGCCCGACGAGCTCGTTCTGGAGCATGGTAGGCGGTCTTAGTGGTGGCGCGCTGGGCTTCATCGTCGGAAACATGCCTGGCGCGCTGGCGGGTGCTGTCGCTGGAAACAGGCTTGGCTCTGTTCGAGATGCGAAGGGCAAGAGTGTCTATGCCGTTTTCCAGGTCAGTGCGAATCTGGAGATATCTACCGGGTAGATCCCGTCAGCCTCTCTATCCAGATTGTCTTGCGAGGTGGATTTGTACTAACATGATGCAGGACCTCCCCCAGGCAGACCGCGCGAGGCTGCTTACCCAGTTGGCTGCCAAGGTGTTCAGTCATACTGTAGGAGCTTAGGAAAATTTGGGATTTCAGATGGGTTCAGGATGATATCACATGGGCAGCTCGGAGTTTTGGGTTCGGTCAAGATCGGTATGAATAGGTAGCTTCACCAAGCCAACTTGGCACTTTGGCATCAATACACTAGATAGCTTTTATCGCCTTCAAAAGTGTTGCGTGCCGTCGGAAATGTGATGTATCCGTGAAGCACAACTCAACGAACTTTGCCTCCCTTTGACACAACATGATCCACGATCGGATGGACCCTGCCTCAATGCACACACCTTGGCCATCACTGACCGGCATCTCGCCAATTCCACTGTCAGTCACAACTCCACCAGCCCTCACGAACCGTTGACCAGGTGGTGTACGCGGCTCCGCAGCTGTGGATGTGTGCAGCGGGGTGAAGCGGGGTCGTCGCGCGCATTATCAACCGCTGACCGCTTGCGAATCTCAACAATCAGTCACTAGTCAAGGTGCCAGAGTGGTTAATGGGCTGCCCTGCTATCATACTTTGATTCCAGATTAGGCAGTGGCTTCGGTCGCGCAGGTTCGAATCCTGTCCTTGACGCGCCAAATCTTTTGAGGTTATAAACAATTCGGTTCTAAACTCAACTTTTGCCAATCTCTCTGTCTCTTTACCTTCCTTGCGGTTCTGAGTCCAGTGCAGACTGGTGATGCGTCCAAGCGGGCGGCAGTGCCCCGGGTCCGGTTGTTCTGAGCCCCACTGCACATCCATTAGGCAAGTGAGGCAAAGCTGCGTGATCAAATACAAGGTGATAAATTAGCAACGAATGAATGTGAGTATGTATATGTAAACTAACTACATTCACTGCTATTGAGTCATCGTACACTTTCGCCATGCTTTGCTCGAATATGCTAATCGGACGAACTCCTGTTGAACAGAACTTTGTAAGAAACTCTTCTCTAGGGGAGCTCATCGCTGACAAACGCCGCACGTGGTGGCCTGGCCTTGGGTTGGACTTTTGCCAATTGTTCCTCAACCTCAACGTCCCATTTCTGGCGATTATTCGGGTCGCCTGTGTATTTCTGTGGTGCTTCCGTCCCTTTGTTGGATATCGGCATGGCCGCCAGCTGCGAATACTGATTTGACCCCACGAGTTTCAGTAACATGAAGAGCCACTTGAAGAGGGCCAGTGCTACAACCTCCGACACCTTCAAAGAGTTCTGAGAAGTACCCAAGCCAACTGACTGGGGAAGAGTGTCCACGGAGTTTTGGTCGCTGATGTCGTTAACGAGGGTATCGTCGCTGGAAAAAACGCTCCCGCTCTCTGCTGGTGATCGTTGGCGATTGATCCCCGCCGAGGTAAGCTGCTGTTGGGAATATTGATTCAAGATATCCACCGCCGCATCTTTCACTACATCGAATTCTTGACTAGGTATCTCGGCCGGTTGAGATATCTGCTCAAATGTTGCCGACATCGGTGCTGGCATCTCAACTGGGACGGTTTCGTAGTTCTCTTTCTGCATGGCCATGTTGAGACCATGTGCGACGCCATCGAGTTGTTTCTTGAAGACGGACTTCGCTGACGATAAGTCGATCCGAGTTGTCGTCGTATTATCGGTGTCGCTCGACCTTGAGCAAAATTTCGAAAACTTGTGTTTCCCCTGGCGCATCCTGCTCTTGAGACGTCCCTCGACTTCGACGCACATGGTGACCGGCCGACCACTGTGCTCGAATGCGAAGCCAGTATGAAAGATGTGCTGTCGGAACGGATTGCAATCTGTTTCGTTTTCTTTGAGCTCCCATTCCAGGGACCTGAAACCCTCTCCATGCTTTGCTCTCTTTACCATGCCTTTGAAGGTCCAGCTGTCGATGATTCGTCTGGCAACGCTGCGACGAGTACCCATCCCTCCTATTTCGAAGAAACCTCCCGCCCCGAGAGTGGGCTCAAAAGCCTTTTGCTTCAGCTCTGATGTGACCGTTTGAGGACCTACGAGAGACTGAGGTCCAAAGTGTTCTGTCACCTGAACCGCGTAGTCAGAGTCTAGCGACGTTCGAACGTGCTTCTGAGACCATCTTCCTCTAGCTTCAGCTCCATAAGGGTCTTGCTCGGCCAGCGTAATGAGGACTCTGGCGTCGCGCAAAGTATGTCCCGGCGGCTGCCTAATTGAGATGTCGAGGTAAACGATACCGGCAGGATTCCTGTTGGAACCGAGGACGCCCCATTGTGCCTTTTTCCAATGGTATTTGCACTCGACTTGGACTTTGCCAATGGCGCCGGATCCCACGCAGAGATGAGATCCACGAGCTGTGTCTTGATCGAAAAGTTTATAGTCTTTGCGGCCGTATCGGCGGATGCGGAGTTCTGGGCGAAGAGCCTGTTGCTCTACAGCAGGTTGGTGCGCAAAAACTGTACTCACGGGGGCGGCCATGGTTTACTGAGAAATCAATCCGTCCTGACCACGATGAACGAGGAGTAAGCAGCCTGATTATTTGTTGAAGGACAGGTCCGCATGAAATTAGCAAAATCAGGCTGGGGGCTGCCTCCTGCAGGCTATCAAGAAATGAACATTTTAGGAACCCCTCAATGTCGTGCATGCATGATGGATGGTCGCGTCTGCGCTTGGTGCGCATGTCTGCAGGCGCCTGCCCTAGGAACCAGCGAGATTCGTCTCAGTTGTCTTGGGGGAAGCATGTTGAAGCACGTCAATCTGGTTCCATTGGCCTCTTATCGTTACCTGGTAGCTATCCGCGGTGGCTGGGTAATTAGCTGCAGGTCAGCCCATGCAAGCTTACGGCAAGGCGCAGTTGGTGCAGACATCGATCCAACTCCATGTCCCTTTGGTCCGCCATTTGCCCCTCACTCTTGTTCTTCAGCCTACTGCATCTCTTGGGTATTTCCTTCATCGCGACTGTTGGTAAACGGCTTCAGAGAACATCCAGGCGATACCTCCTTACCTTTCTATGAGCCATGTTTTCTCGTCCAGAGTACGACATTTTCGAAAGAGGAGGGCCTTCAACATCCGCAAATCCTCTGGGGAGAGCTGAGACGGGTAACAGAAGAACGGCATTTTACGAAACCAAAGTGCCAAGGCAGCGACCGGATCTGTCATTTCTTGAAAGAAATACGGAAAGCGATGCAACCAAGGCCCTCCAACATAAAATTGCATTCCACACCGGTATGCTACATTTTGTACCAGCAGCACCACAAGTGCCGCAGGATGAGTAGATGCGGGAGTACCATGCTGAAGCAAAAGCAGAATACCTAAAGCAACACCAAAGGGAACCATCTCCTCCCACAGCATCCGCGCCAGTTAATGACGAAGCTCCTGCCACTTCCAAAGGGAAGGAACGAATGAAAGAGGAACGAACGAGTGAAGAGCGAGTTCGGGAATGGCAATCGAACATGGAAAGTGCGAGTGCGGGCGATAAGGATAGTCGGAGAGCTCAAAGCGGCCGACCGGATGAGTTGAGTTCGGGCTCTCTCACTGACTCGTCATTGGACTCCAGTTATGACGGAGACTCGAGGGATTTTGTTATACCCCCTAGACCTCCTAACTCTGCAAAATGGCCTCGAGCCAGCCCATCATACAAAGTGCCGAGACCTTCTACTCACCAACACACTCGTGCTGGTAGACAGCGTCGCAGTCTCCATAGACAGAGATCCTGGCGACATCAATCGTTCCCGGAGCCTAAATATGAAGGACGAGGTAGACATGATATGGGCGAAGCCTCATTCAACCCCCCGATGTCTACATCTTATCATTTACCTCAACAACCTAAGGCTGAAACCCCGTTCGAATCTTATGGCATCTCAGAGGCTATGAACGATCTTTTACCACGACAGAACAAGGCTGAAAATCAACCCAAGGTTAATGTCGATCCCCAGAACCCTCAGGATATCACGATTCATACTGAGCTTGTTGCGACTATTGACCTGGAAGAGGAGCTGGAAGACTATTCAAGACTTGTGAGGCTCGGGCGTTTCAAAGCTGCCCAGAAATTCTTCACCTACAAGCTCTTGGGTTTCATCGAAAATGCATACGTTCTGGACCACTATTGCGAGGGTCTTTCTGCAATGCCAGATTTCCATAAACTCTCACAAATTGGGGAAACCTTCGTCCCGAGACCTCAATGTGGAGTTGTTCAGGCTCATACTTATATGCTACTATCAAAGGCTGATTTCGTTGGGGGAGTCAGTATGTTGTCTCAGGCGGCAAACAGGCAACCGCCAGACTGGGAAAGTTGTATGAAGACAGTATGGGAACACTGGCCCAAGTTAGACTCTACAGAGGCAAGTATTTAAAAACGTCAATTCGTCAACGGAAGGCCAGATAATCATGTCAGCTGACACCAAGAAGATTCAGATCCTAGCTGGCGGACTTTCCCCGAAGGAGAATGTCGCGAAGTTCCACACCAATGAGATTGCCGAAGTATACTTACACTTAAGGGCAGAAGGCAGAATTTGGGAGTTTGGAGACTTGCTTCAAGTACTCCTACGGGGATCGCGAGAACCCGCTTGCCAAGTATTGGAAGCTTTACTTCGTTGCGATCTTGGTGACGGTAAAGACCGTTTGATAAAGCTAATCAAAGCTGTCGAAGAGGATTGGAATGTGGCCGAGACAAACGAAGAGACCTCATTTGCTCTACTGGAAATATTCACAACTATAGTTTTGGATTCGATGTGCCACTCAGAGAATGTTGGACTGGTCAACACGATATTTGAATTTTCCCAGAAGAAGGCACTGGAAGTTCTTGAACTCAATCCAACCAACTCAAAGTCTCGACCATATCTTCGGTGGATCATATCAAAAGTCTTACTCGAGCAGTACAGCGACCCACGCATCACCGGCTTCTTTGCACTCAAGCAATGTCTCCACAACTTTCCTGGACACCGAATCGCTCCAAATCTGTCTGATCTTCCAAAACTGTGTATGATTTCGTATGCACCAGACGAAGACGAAGCCCCAAGGTGGAGTCCTGACCCAGCTACTACGATTGGACACGATGAGGTCCTTCGAACGGTGCTTGGCGTGGCAGAAGAGCTAGGGGATGTTTGGATGCAGGCGACTTGTCTACAGCTGTTGATTTACCAAAGCCCAGAGCCCAGAACTCTGCTCCAGAGTCTGGATGATTTGTGGCGCTCGGCAGGAACAAACCAGAGACATCTCGGAACTCGCCTGTATCGCTATATACCTGAAGCTTTAAGGACCACCGAAGACCGCGCTGGCCTTCAGAGACAGATTCTCCTATCTGCCAAAGCTTCGTCTCAAGGATTGAAGCCTTACGCAGAGTATATGATCCTTAGAGCGTTGACATCTAGACAAGAAGAGAAGGACTCCTATCTCGAAAGAGCGATGGATGCTTTGAACTCATCGTTCCAGGGCTATGTGCCCCAAAGTCACACTCAAATTCCCATTGAAAGTCCATCGGCGCGGAAGGCTACAGGCCACAATTGGACAAATGGAAACATCTCGGAGCCTCCGGGCGGGCCATGGCAAAATATGCCACCTGGACCATCTGGAGGAGCAAACTATGCCGGCGCCCAATATCCACACATGGGATACGGACCGGCGCACGGAAACACGTATGCAGCAGGCATAGATCCATTCCAAGCGATGAGAACCGGGGATCCAGGTTACATAGGTGTTCCCGCAAACGCTCCTTATGTAACCTCAAACGACAGATCTGGGTGGACAGGAGGAGCGCAACATGGCTCTTTCGGTCAATATCAGACGACTTTTGGAACTCCCTACGCACAGAATCAGTTCCCTCATCATCAGCCAACACCACCACCACCACCACCACCACCACCACCTCCTCCTCCTCCTCCTCCTCCTTCTCCTCCGCCTACTAAGATACCAGCTCCTGGCTCGAAATTCAACCGGGGACGACAGCGCCCCTCTGGACCAGGTACAGAAACCAAACTGAACAATGGTGGGCCACCCGATCAGGCAAATAATCAAGCCGGGAGTGACAATCGCACTCACAATGAAGCTGCCGACACCTCGTTATCGGACCAGAGTGAACTCTGGGAAGTCTTAGAAGACTCGGATGTAACTTCCGAGTTGTATCTCAACAAGCATTAAAATCTGTGAAGAGCTTAGAAAGAAAGAATCTTGAGACAATGACTACAAAAAGTTTACACGCACACATGGCAAAGGGTTTCAAAGAGAATAGTCTGCTGAGTCCTGAAAGAGAGGAATGACGATTCATGGGAAGGCTAGTCAGTAACTAACACGTAAAGCTTTGTGAGAACGATGTGATCGCAACTGCTTCAGGGATCGGGTCAGGCCTTCAAATGATGTTTCAATGGTGCATGCAGCATGTCCTCCGTCACGAAATTTCACCATCCACTTTATAAAGTACTAACTGACTGTATAAAGAAAACATCTACCTCAGGTACCTTAGCTATCTTCAAGTCTCGAAAATCCCAGAATCAGCTGTGCTTCTGTGATAGATCTTGCCACCGCGTTCCATAACCTCTGTTGATTGACTCAATTTAATGGAGTCAGCTTTCACAAACAACTCCTTCCTTTCGCCAAGGATGTCTCGTAGCCAGAAGAGCTCGTACATGAGGATGAACCTGCTAACCATCGCCGATGCCATGTAGCGAGCCATGATCTTCAGACTATCCGTTGCGGAAATGAAAACAAGACTGGAGAACAACATACTTCCGTAAATAAGATGACATGTACCTAGTAGAGACGTTAAATACGACAAGGCCATTGATAAATACGTTTCATCCTCATCAATGACTGCTCGAGTCCAATCTTCCTTATCTAGAGGTTTGAATTGTCGCGAAAGTACTTCCCCGATGTACCCACGTCGAGTACCCTCGGTGATCCGTGTTCGAGCCCACAAGCTAGCAGCTGCGGAGACGTGGGAACTGATACCGATGATACTCCACAGGAACTCCAAATAAGTCAGCTGGGGGGCGAGCATACTGACAACCATCACGCCCAGCTGATTGCACAGTGTATACGTGTTGATGATGGCCGCAATGGCAGCAAGGAATTCGATAGCGAGAGCGATCGTCCTCAGAGGTACGGATGATCTTTCGGTGCGTAAACGGTAGTGCCGGGGCTTGACCAACTTCATCGGGTTCATGTACTCGAACGATCGGACGGGATGGATGGCAGGCGATCCAGCAGCGACGAGCAAGGCGATGAGTGGTCTTTGGCCAATAACGCAGAGCGTCGAGGTCTCTTCCACGCTGTTACCGACTGTGGCAAGTATCGTTGGCATAAGGCCGAGGACGACTGCGGCAGCTGCCATGTTGCTCATGATGTACTCAGACGTGTTGCCCAGAATGCAGTTTGCTACGGGCTGAGCGAGCCTGTTCGTGTTGCCGCCTCCCGTAAACCAGTCGATGGTGGCATTTTCTCTCGGAATTGTCAAGTATCTCTCATACTCGGCGGAGCAGTTGCCCTCCATGATAGCTTCGAAGGTAGGCCCGAACTCAGGATACCAGTTTTTGAATTGGTCTTTGGCAACGTATACTGCGAGGCATGGCCAGTTGAGAAGGGTAACAAAAACGAAGGAAAGAAAGAATCGAGACATCTTCAACATCGAGAGAAGTAATGCAGCAATTGCGATGGAGCCGGATACTAGGAATTGTGAAATATCTGACTAGAACTTGTACAATTATGGCATGAAATTGATAGCAACAGAAGAAATGCTTCGAAACTCATGAAAGCTAGGACATACCGGGGCTTCTACTTATCACGTAAGATACTGCAGCCTTGGGCCTCGGAAGAGAAACCTAACAACATCAATATTAGACAGGCTGAAATAATCCGGTTTGCAACAACCTCTTGTTGGATCATACACAGAACGCCGGACACAGAGCTGGACAGGAATGACATCCTTCGAGCCACCTTCTTTTCCAGGAAGCACCCAGGAGGTGGGTTAGAAAGCGGCATTCTTCCGACAAGTAAGCAGCCTTGGGAGGCAAGCGACTTCACAATCGAGAGTCAAGTGGTGTTATCGTATGTATTCCTCCCAGTGAGCATGCTCATTTCACCATCATCCAGTGGTACCAAGACATGTACCCGGAGTTGCGAAGGCTACACAACCGAAGCCTCATTCAGCCCGACTGATTACTGGAGTGATCAGAACCGATAAAACTCATCGAGGGCGGTAGTAAGCTTCTGAAATGGTGTGCGAGAGAGCGAGACTAGGATTAGGACTCTGCATTATTTGTAGCAAAAAGTCCCAAGCTCAAGGGCTGGGTCGTTAGATATGTTGACCAAGTAATTATGTAAACGCAGAGTCGAAACTGACTCGTCCTGTACTCGGTGGAGTAAAATCGTAAGAGCTCATCTTGATTGAACATATGCATGTCAATTGGTACCGCAAGTGCGTTTCTGCATAGAATTATGACCGAGACCCTGCTGTCTAGCTTCCGTTGGGATTAAGTTGTGCATTCCGAAGGGAGGGTTTCCGGGACCATTTGGGCAGATAAATCTGTCTTAATTCAGCTGGGGCAAGCATCCACTCCACCTGCCGAGACCTTTACGGATTAACATCCAATGGATTACTCAGCTCGGTCTCGGTACGAACGGCTACCCTGCAACTTGCCGGATATCCATACTGTGGCTTCAGGCTCGCGCTTTTTAAGGAACCAGCCAGACACACTTAGACTTTTCACTCATTCGCGACTTTCCAATAATCCCTCAGCAGCCTTCACTTCGCCTTTCGCACAATTCGATACAAGTCACCGGGATGTTTATGAAATTTCTATATCCAAGGCGTGCAATCTTTCAACAGAGACGATTTGACACCGACAACTTCTGAAGAATAGCGTGCTTAAAGGGCAGCTTTGAGCCGCAGCCGTGCTCATACGTAGGCCTCGGAGAAGGTGATCCAAGTCTCACAGCAACATCTACGGTGTTCAGCTTACTTTTGTCACCGTGGTCTCTTCGTTCCAGCCGGAATGCGTTCTCCGTTGCCATCCATACCCTACCCACCCTCCAGGGACGGGTTTTGGAATCCTGTCACAGCAACCATCAACTGGTGCGAAGAGGTAGGCTTATTGCGCAATATACCGAGAAGATCTACCTAACTTCTACCATCTGCTCGAACATTACTGATTCTGACCTTTCTTTCCAGGACTACTATGTCACACCGTACGTGGCCGAGTTTGTCAACACTTTCACAAACGCGATATTCGTCTATCTGGCGTTAGTTGGAATTTCCAGCTGCATTAGGAATAACCATCCTCGGGTATTTCTGGTGGCATATGTCGGGTACATGACCATCGGTATCGCAAGCGTGGTCTACCATACCTCATTGAAGTGTTCGTTGCCTCTCAAATCCTTGACCATGCTGTGCTACAGTACTGACCCTCGAGTAAGACTGGATGCAGCTGTTTGATGAGCTGTCAATGATTTACACCACATGTATCCTCTTCTATGCGGTATTTTCTCACGGAAAATCCTTGTTTGGCCAGGCTCTTCTGGGCACCTTCATCACTGGCTTGGCCATTTTCATCACAGTGTACTACCACTACCTCGGAGATCCCGTCTTCCATCAAGTCATGTTCGGAATACTCACAGCCACTGTTGTGTTTCGAAGCATGTACATCATGGAGAAGATACTCCGGCCCAAGTCTACACCTCAGAGCAAGGCTGAGCTTCTCGACACGCAACTCCTCAAGAAGATGTGGACATTGATCACTTGCGGTCTTGTTTCCATAGCCATTGGATTTCTGGCTTGGAACCTTGACAACATTTTCTGTTCGCACCTTCGACATTGGAGACGAGAACTCGGACTCCCCTGGGGCGTTCTCCTCGAGGGCCATGGATGGTGGTGAGTTTTAACTAACATCGGTGCCATAAAGAAGCTAACAGGCGGCTTAGGCACCTATTCACCGGTATTGCATGCTATATAAACGTGACTTACGGCGTCTGGCTACGCTATTGCAGAGACGGCAAGAAGGAAGAAGTCGTCTTGGCGTGGCCTTCGATGTTCGGTTCCATTCCCACTGTTGAGCGAGCGCAACATGGAGGACATCCGTCGAAGCCCGGATCTAAAACGGAGTGATCTTCAGTGCAACAACCGCTGGGATGAGGCTATCCAATACCAAGAACTGTGCCGGATAAGCGGAACCGAGATGGCGGCGATGGCTTTGGTTGTGTGTCACAGTGTGAATTTTGCCCATAGTTTGGCTCCAGAGAAAGGAGGGCCGATAAATACCAGTGAGGATGTGTAGGACAGCAAAGCGGCTGAGGAATATTGTCTGCTGTGACACCGCTTGGCTGTCGAATCGCAGAAATGTAAGATAGGACTGTGCGATGACATTTTCCCGCCAAGTCAATAGGGGGCGAAGGACGAGAAGAGGGAGCCACTCAAACACACCAAGGCTTGGTCGCTACATGAATATTTAGGTGGGTGTGAGAAGCAGGCTACCAATCATGCTCTGAACTGGGAAACCGGTGTGAGGTGGATGCGACTGCGTCCAGCAGACAATTCCAACAAAGGAATACACTTCGTTTCTCGTCGCGGCGCATTGGTCTCGTTTCACGCAACTACACATTTATGATTTGACCGTTGACTTGACCCCCCTTTTCTTCCTTTCTTCCAGAAGTACTTGTTTTCCCTAACAGATATCCGCGCTTTACTTCAACAAAGGCCAGAAGTGAATAGCGCTTGAACAGATGTCTGTCACTGAGATGAACAAACCTGACCAATAAGCTGCGGCGCCAACGCGCGCATCAGGTCTGCCAAGTGTTGTACAGACTCGAACCAACTGTCCAACATCCTTACGCTTGACTCCTTGAACCAATCAGTTACCGTACGGTAGGTTGCAGCTGAGCATTGTTCACAGTGCTTCAATATGCGCTTTTCAGGGAGTCCTAATCGATATTTTCATGCGTGCGGTTACACAGCATCAGGCTGCCTAATCAGTAAGCTGCTCTACGGGACGAAGAATTTTCGGAAAATTCGACCATTTGGTCTTTGTTTTCTCTCAGACGGAAAGGAGCACCTCGTCCCTGGATTTGCAAAGTTTCCTCTGGAGTCTCTCATTATCTACAACGGTAGCTGTTGAGCGACGACCGAGTGTTTTACGCCGTCAGTACACACCCGGACACTCTTTCCACATCCAAGGTCGACTTGGAAGTTCTGTGCGGCCAGAACCCCAAGGCGCATAAGGTCTGCCGTAGACATGGCACGCCCATGGCGTTTTACATGTCCCTGGCGAAGTATCTTGGCTTTACTATCAAGCGTTTCTCTTCTCATTGCATCATCCATCCCAGAAGATGCCAATGAGTACGGCTTCTCATTCACATCTCGCGATGTCGGAAGAGCAGTACCAGACTTCATACTGAAACACGGTAAGAGAATATCTCAACTACCCTCACTTGTCTCGAAAAATTTCCAGAGATTGCACCTGGCAAAACAAGGTATCATGTCGATACTGACCTAGCATCATACTAGCGCCACTGATATGGCTACACTCAGACGACCCATTCCGCCCGGCAGATATACTCGAACATGTCCGCCATACCACGCCGATGGTGCACATGGAGCCCATCAGAGGACTGCCACAACTCGATCTCGATAATTTGGCTATGCTAAACGACTACTGGAATAACGGCCCAGTTTCGCTGACTGCAAACGGCGACATCACCAGCCTTCCTACCTGGCTCTTTGGAGAGACGCCAGATGAGTCGGGGAAGCTACACAATGCCACCTCTTGTGTTGTGATCACCGTCGATAGGGGCTCAGGAGATCTGGATGCCTTTTACTTCTACTTCTACTCGTACGATCAAGGGGCAAACATCACTCAGGTTCTACCACCTATGAATGGATTGATAGAAGACACTGAGCATGGGATGCACTTTGGTGATCATGTTGGTGACTGGTCAGCTCCATGTTCAGATCCGTACCTACGAGATTGTGTTCACTGACCTTTTGTTGGACAGGGAGCATAACATGATTCGATTTCACGACGGGAAACCTACCGGTATCTATTACAGTCAACATTCTTCGGGCTCTGCCTACAAGTGGGATGATAAGGCCCTATCAGTGGAAAATGGTCGGGTATGAAACGCCTCCGATTTTTTGTTCGAGTTCAACCACGCGTCTAATGTTGTCTTAGCCTATCGTTTACAGCGCATGGGGTTCTCACGCGAATTGGGCATCTCCTGGGTGAGTAATACACCATACTGTCCCATCTACCGACATTGTGTAATGACAGCATTCGACCAGCGATCACGTTCACGACTCAGTCTTGTTAGACTACTGTGACGCAGGCCAAATCTGGGACCCTGTATCTTCGGCATATTACTATAAATTCGACCCCGAAACATCACTCTTAACGAGCATATTTCCACCCGGGGCGGAAGCTTCTACCAATCTCACATCCTTCTTGTACTATTCCGGTATATGGGGAGACTTCCAATACCCCGACGACCATCCACGTCAGAAGATCGTACCCTACTTTGGTCTGAAGCGTTACGTCTCCGGCCCGACGGGCCCGACTACGAAGCAGCTTGTAAGGAAGCGACTCTTTCCCGACCACCCTGAAAGAAAGAATCTTTTGCAGTGGGGAGTTGGCATATACATGTCGCTGTATCCATGCTGTTTTAGGGGATGGAGAGCCTGGGCTTCTGGCATCGCCTTCATTGGGTTGTTGGTGTGCATTGTCCTTGGGATCAAACGCTCTTTGAAGTGGGCTAGGGCGCGGAAGGAGGGGTATAAGAAGATCGGCAACGAGGAAAGCATTCCGTTGTGGGAACTGGACTACTTAGATGACAGAACTTCGAATCACCGGGATTGAGGGAAAGTGTTTAGAGCGCCTTCGACGTAAATCAAATGTCTGAGAACATGCTGATGAAATCAGGCGAAAGTAGGACTCAGCTCCGAGGTTGTATGGCCTTAGTATTTTGTAACATAACTAGATCGAGTCTGTAGTATATGTGGGCATAAAATAGAGCTGCGCCCTTTCTTCTCTATCATTAGATCATGGGATTGTCGAGTTTTGATACCTTCATGCGCCCCTAGGCTTTCTCATGCTAGCTTCGGCATTATCTTGCGACCCAGCGAATGATGCAGATGTCGCCTGCTGATGTACATCGAAAAATGTTGACAAAGACATCCTGGATTTTAAGGTGGGAAGTCTTGCAACATGAAGTTTGGGAAGCTTACATCTTGGATACCGGGGATCAAGACTGTGTTCGGTCTTTTGGGCCTTGGAAACGTGCAAGGTCGTCAACGCCTGCCTAATCATACGGGGTCGAGTCTGTAGGTGAGTAAAGTAGAGACGTACCTTAAGCCTCCATTGAAGTCGCGCAGAAGTTGATGAGCCTGTTAGCAACGTCGCCTCGTCGACGACCCACGATGCCAAGCATGCGGTGTTGAAGCTTAACAGCCCGGGACTCATCACCACAGTCAAGGCTCACGTCTTTAAAGACCATTTTATTTGATCTGAAACGTTCACTCCGGACATCTTGGACAATCTTCTCCCCAACGCTCATGGTCCAAGCTGGCATACTAAGGCACTGTGGCGCTCGACTAAGACCGTACGCAGTTAGTGAGAAGGTCCAGCCCGTCTAGGCGGTGCGCCCAAACTTGTGTTGAGGCTGCAAGACACTGTCAGCGTCTAGCCCACGTCGGGATAAGCGCCATTCCCGCCCCCAAGGGATTGAGCTACCGGCTCCCAAGGGGGGAATCCGAGGAAGGAGAGGAGAAGAATGAATACAATCACAGAGCCTCCCTTTCACTTCAACTCGTAATGATCTCATAGTCTGTGCACTCAAACAACAAACAACATCCCATCGGCGAGCGAACACGACTCGAGTAGAGCTTCCCCAGGATATCAAACTCGAGCAGTCGACCCTATTGCATACTAGACTACAGTCCGGTACGGAGGCAAGATGTCCATATCAGCTTATCTCGCAGCTTTTGGCAAGGCGTCGCCAGCAACGTACGCCCTCGGCACCGGACTCCTCGTCACATCATCTCTCTTCTTTGGAAACATCGGGCTGTCTCTCACCGGGCCTCTTCCTATCATCAGAGATCAACTTGGCGCGTGCACTCTGAGTTCGAAGCAGAAGATCAAAGTATGGAGACTCTTCTTTGACGAAGCCTCTGTGAGTGAACCCCTTCCTCATCATCAGCGACCATCATGAATGAATGAGATGAATCTTCGCCGTCATGAGAGAAGTGATGAGTACTAACGCCTTGCACCAGAGATACATCATCGGCGGCACCGGCGTGACAGCGACACTTCATCTGGCCGCCTTCGCACTGGGTGAATCGCCCGTATCCCGAAGGCTTGCCGTCATGTCGGCGCTGTGCAGTATATGCATCCTGCCGTACACGCTCGTCGTTATCATGCCCACCAACAACAGCCTCATCGCCCTGGACGACAAGGTGGCTCTATCGGAGCTGGACAGGAAAAAGGTCGGGTGGCTGATTGAGAAGTGGGATCGGCTGCATAAGATCCGCTTCCTGATGTACGGATGTGCGTGGGCTTTGAGTCTTGCCGCGTTTACGTCTTCTTTGTGAGCTGGATCTTTGGAGGACTGGAGTGACGAGATACTAAAGATAGCTGGTTAATCGTTGCGTTTCTTTTGTCTTCGTTGTTTTCGGATGGGTTATAGGTTTGATGATTGGCAATGGCTCAGCCTAATGTTCCAGATGTAATGTTAAATTGGATATGAGTAAACACACTGAACCCTCGTAATTACAGTATGATCAGGGCGCGCCATATCGCCCGCAAGACCAGAGTGAGGCTGAAGCATCGGCTATGGCTAGCAACGGAAAAGCGTGACAAGGAACCCTGACGACTGCTGTTAATATGGCCAAACACATGAGTTCATGACAAATTCGTAGTCCAATCGTGGTTACTTAAGCTTGATAATAAGCAAGAACCCGTAGCCTATCAGGTACGAGGTGCATGTGATGAAACCTCAAGGTCTCATGGCCAGAAAGCTTCCACGGAATGTAGACCCGGTGTGACCTGGAACACGTGCTTCGTCTCTCATGAAGGTTTTGGGGGAAGAAACCTTGCCCCGATTTCTGGGAAAAGTTCGAGTCCCGGACTCCGTGGAAACTTTGGCGGCAACTGCACATCACAACTTTATGAGCCGATCACTGCTGGTCGAACATACCATGTAAATCCGACAATTGTTTCCCCGGCATGTTGTGCCGTGACCCGTATCCCCGTAATCTGCCATTTGGTCAGTATGGTTGAGGAAGTTTTTGATCAGAAGTATGCAGCGATTATTAGCATCGTTATCCTGGTATCGTGTATTCGTGTCATGGAATTCGTTGTGACTTAGGACTCGTCGGCCAATAGGTTTTGGGCAACAACTTGGAGTGTGTACATTTAATGGCTATTATTCGAGACTAAGACTATGTATTCAACGTTGGACTGCATCAGTCATTCACGTAAAGAGACGGGATGAGGTAGCTGTTGACTGAAAAGAAGAGTTTTCTTCTGTTTGACGACCCCGATGCCATCGTCCCCCTCCAATCCCGGAAGATGTGAGTCTATGTGGTCAATCCATGCGCCGCTGCCCAACCAAACTCCAAATAGACTTTACTAAATCATTTCCAGAAGCAGAAAGGCCCAGCGCTTATTGAAGCAGGCTCTACCTTCCCCCCTCTCGTCTCAACTCTACGACAATTCAGGGATCCTGGTGCCGAACATGCGGTTACCCAACATCATGTCGGATAATCCCGTTGCTATGATCCCAAACAATGACCCCCGAACTCTGTCATGGAAGTGTCATAGAATTGAGGGAGGAGAGTTCAGCCGTTGAAACGATCCTGTTGTCAGGTCTCTGAGCCATTCGAATGCCATCGCCATTCGATGATTGAAATATGAAAGAAGACGTGAAGAATTCTACATTGCCAAAATCACCACCGTGAACGTCGCGATGAGAACCGCGAGTCTGAGTCCAGCACCGGAGATGCCCTCAGCTGCGGCACTCTTGCCGGCACCAGGCAAGCCGGTGTTGTTCTGGCTCTGTCTGAACAGGGGATCCATCGTAGCATTCTTCGTGACAGGCACTTGGGAGCCCGCAACGCAGAATTGCGTGGGGTTGCTCCATGTGGCGTCGACGACGCGCTTCCACGCGTTATCGGGCTTGAAGAGCATTTCGCGGCTGTAGAAGATGCGGCAGTTGGCCGGCTCCCAAAGGAATTGCAGCGGCGTCCTGGCGTCAGACATACTGTAAGCGTTCTTTGCGTTGATGGCACCGGCGCTCTTGGGCGTGGTCGCGCGCTTGATGGCGTAGCCCTTTGCCAGCTCGCCGAGCTCGCCGTTCATGATTTCTTCCTTCTTGTCCTTGGGGGTGAGGGCGATGATGGCCTTGGCGTCGGTGGTCATGTCGTTGAAGGCGAAGACCTGGGCGCCTTCGACACCGGCGATGGACTGCATGATACCAGATTGGGGACGGCCACCGATGACGGTGGTCTTGATGCCCATTTGGAGGATCATGAGATAGGAGAAGATCGTGCAGGTTGAGCCGCAGGTACCATCAGTGAAGAGGACCACGTTCTCAGGGTCGAAGACGCGAGGGGGCGGGTTGGCTTTGCTGCCGACGCCGGTGAGGTTGAAGGTGGGGTCGGTCTGGTTGAGTGGTGCCTGCTGGTACGCAGTGAAGGTGTCACCGTTGAGCGAGACCGGTGCCAAGATCTGGTCGACGGTCGTGAAGGCGGCTTCGTCGGGTGTGTAGACGCCTCCAGGAAGCAGGTTGCTGACGATGGAGCTGCCGCCTAGAGCTTCAAGGGCGTCCTTTTCCTCGGGCGTGGTAGGCGTGAAGTTGGCAGGGATGGCGGCGGAGAGACGAGCAAGAGTAGTGAGACCTTCGGACAGACGCAAGTTGTTGGCCTGGAAGCGGTTGACCTCAGGGAACAGCTATCATATAGGTTAGCAAGGGAAAAGTGGTAGGGGGAGAGGGTGACAAACCTGAGCGAAGAGCTCGTAACCAGCAACGACGAAACCACCACCGTTGGCAGCGACATCAATGACGAGACGCTTCTTCCCGGCGTCCTTGCTCTTCTTCAAGAACGTGGCGACGGTGCTTTGGAAGTTGGTCAAGTACTCAGTAGCGTCAATAGAGTCGGGAGGAGCGAAAGACGAGACAGCAAGCACGGCAACATCATCGTATCCCGTTCCATTGAGGAAGTAACCGGACGTGGTGTTGGCACCGCTATCACGGACAATCGGGAAGGGATATCCCTCAATTGTCGGCTTAGGAGGGGGCGGCGGGCCTGAAGTCTTTGGCGGGGTCGGCATCGTCTGGTTAGGCTTCATGCCAGGCTGCGACGGCTGAGGCTTGGCGGGCGAGTCGGGGTTGCAGAACTTGTTGTAGTAGTCCTCGCCGCTGTTGACGCCAGTGAAGTTTGCGCCGGTGCGGATGAGGGCGAAGCTGTCCTCGGAGCGCTCCTCGCCGTTGTCGTAGGTGATTGTCACCTTGGGGCCCTGGAAAGCGAGGGAGGCGGCGACGACGATGAAGCTCTCTTTTGACGCGTACGACTTGAAGTTGGCGTTCCATTGAGAGTCGGGGTCCTGGTAACCGCTGAACTTCAGGTTCAGGTCTGCGATCATGGTGGCGGCATCTCTGCCGTTGATCCTGACGATGGCGGGGGCGGTGGAGTTGCCATCAAGCTGGGCTGTTGTGGAAAATCAGTGCTTGATCATAATGATTGAAGAGCTAACGTTAGGACTTACCAAGATGGTACAGCTTAGGCACTTCAATACCATCACGCGAGACCGACACAATATCGGCAGCAAGGTTGTTGCGGAAGCTGAAGCCCTTGAACACATCACCGCGGAAGGCAAAGTGACCGTCGTGAGCCGAAGCAATCAGCTGGAAAATGGCAAGCTGGAACTCATATTCGCTCTTGTATGAGCCGGCCTCTGCCTTCTTCTCAATCTCGTCCAGGCCGCCCTCGATATCGGTAGGCGGTAGCATGTACGACGCCGGCGGGTTCTTGAGCCATGACAGTGTGGATTGCCATTGGACGTAGGCCTTCAAACTCTTGATGAGGTCCTTGGCCGGGCCCTTCTTGTTCGGCACCGTCTGGAGGCAGTCAAAGGCCAACTGAGCTGGGACTTGGGGTGTTGCTGTTGATTGGGGTAAACTTTGTTAGCGGGTTTGCTATTGTGTTTGCTTTACACCATGACGTCCAACACTTTTGTAGAGGATCTTGGGGAATCTCTAGCGTTCCCCGCCGTAATCGTTGCCTCTTCCTCCCCAACATAGGTAGCTAGCATGCTCTTCCAACAACGTACCTTTCGGGCTTGCCATAAGGAATTGCTGGACCTTGGGCTGAATCTGAGCACATGCTTGAGCATTGCCGCTAGGAACCGTTCCGTTGGGAGCGCTGGGCGTTGTCGGCGTTCCGCTGCTCGTGGGAGTTGGCGTTTGTCCCGGGGCCTGGGGAGCCGGCGCCGCCAACACAACGGCGGCCGAGGCCAAAGTCCACCAAGTGAATCTCATCTTTGTCGTCTGCTCACGAGGTCTCTTTTGTTTCTCGTTCTCTTCTCTTTGCAAACTTCCTCGTTTACTTCGAACTGTCACACCTCTTCAAAGAATAGAAAAGAAACAGATAGCACAGCTATCGGCGAGGCCAGCTCAAAGTCTCGAGACCGAGACGGGCACTGAAAGGAAGGGAAATGATGGGGCTGGAAGCAATTCGCCGAAGCCTGAGAAAAGAGACTCAAGAACATCCACGGCCGGCGGGATCGACGAGCATATGGGGTTTTAAGAGTTGCATTGTCCTCTTCCCTACTTCGCCTTCGGGGGCCAGTTTCCGTGGTCGAGAGGTTACTCGCGAAATAGGCCGGGTCCCGCTCACTCGCTCTCGTTATTGCCTTGGCGGCGGGCGTTCTGTGTCTCTTGCGGCGCGCTGTTACCCCCATGCCCACACACGTCCCAAGTTTGTGCTCCCAAATCATGAAGCCATCATGAAACACGACAACCCTCACATCTTCAGATAAGCACCCGCGCATCCTGGGGGGGCGGACGCTGCAAGATTTAAACTCGGACATCATGCAAGGGCACCCCCCTCTACGACCCTCTTACTACTTGGGAATAGGCCAGATCTGTGCACCAAGGTAAATACAGAAGAGGCTTAGGGCAGGCCCCTCCTGAGCCTAGACAGGCAGAGTGCGGCGACATTTCAGAGGGTAAGAAAAGGGCCTCATTCTGTTGCTTGGCGGTTGATTGGGTTGATGTTTCGGTGCAAATTGGGAGAATTCAGTCTCTGTCTGAAGTTCAAAGACAGGCCATCCTCGACAACACACACGATACAAGATATCGATGAGTGATACTCGCGCCGGCTGTCTACCGGGCTGGGCGTCTGAGGCTTAAAGACTGAGCAGATCAACTGTGTTCTGTGCTGTGGCCTCTTTTCCGTGCCTTTCCTCCGTCTCTTCCATTCTTCCCGTGTTTTCCCCCCTCATCCCACCCTCCTTCATCTCGCCAGAGCCTCATTGTCCTTGTCCTGAGATACTCACATCACATCCGTATCAGCCCGGCCGCTTCCATCCCCCGCCGTCCGTTAAGCTTCTCGTCGCCTCACCCTTGGCGATATTCTTGGCAGCCCTACCCTGCTGTAGCAGATCCCGCCGGAGGAAACGCATTCCGCACCAGTAACGCTCA